ATAAAATATATAGGTCAAATTAAATATATTTGTCTGCACTAAATTCTAGAAAAATCTAAATGCATACATTCAGATAAAAACAAAAATAAAATCTTATAATTAGTTTGCAATTTCATTACTATTACAAATTCTATAGTTGTTCATACATATATATATATATATTATTGCTTTATTTTTGTTTTGTATTTCACGCATGACACATATTTTTAATTCTTTAATCGGTATATTAACATCAGCTAAAAGGCAAGAAATTTTGAAAATTGGTATGCTATTCTAGCGGTATAATCAACGGTGAATGTGAATGACACAACTATCAAACTTTATAAAAGATTAATGTAGAAACCATCACTCCGCGCTGGGCGCGGGTCAAACCCTAGTATATGTATATAAATCGATGTGCTTCTATTATACTAATAATACCTCGGCGTTCCTTTGTCGGTAAAATAATTTACTTGCTTTATAACAAAGTTACCCTACATCATATCGAGCACGGTTAATATGAATGAATTTCATTATAAATTTTGAAGTTTTCAACTGAAAGTAATCATAAAACGGTCAATTTTTTGCGCAAAAAAAATAACAGGCGTCGACTTAATTTTCAGCTTTCGGAAGTACTTTTCTAAACTTAACTGAAACTATCTGTTTCTTTTCAAAAATGTTAAACGAATGTTGACGTTTTGTAATTATAAAAAGTTGAGAATCACTCCAAGAAAATTCCGAATACTTTACAACGAAAGATTTATAACCCTTTTATATTCAAAATGGAATATACTTCTATGACAACTAGTACTTCCTTTGAAACGGACTAGACAAACACATTAAAATCAGAATGTCCTTTCAAAGTAATTAATTTATAATACGTTAAATTCATCGTTAATGCTATGTTACTATACAAGTCTTTCACATCATAAAAAAACTGAAGGCAAAGTATTAAACTTTTGTGGGACAAAGACAATGTGTTCTTCAAATTACCCACTTTTAAAAGTTCTCTTTTTCCTTTCTTTCTCTACAAACTTATAAAAAGATTCGAGTACGAAACCGCATATACCTAGTTTCATAACCTATCAGTTTAACTGCACTGCTAGTATAATCTAATGAGATTGTGATATAAGTATAACTATCATCGTCATGGTTATTATAATAAAATAAAAATTGGGTCGGAATTGAAAAACTCGAGAAGAATGTGGAGAGAAACTAGAGAAGAATACAAGAAATAGATAAATGCGCATGCAAGCATGCAGATACTAATATACTCTTAAACTTACTTATTTGTTTATACTCTCTAGAACCCTACATCGAAGGAATGGGCAGCATCTACTCAGATCTTGGGATTGCAACTATTTTATTTTCTTAGTTACAGTATTTACTCACACGCTTATACACATATTATAAACAAATAAACATGATATTGTTAGGGTGTAAGTGTCTGCTTTAATTTACAGTGTTAAGTATAACTGTATAAGAGTGTGGGGGTCACTGCCATTCCAAGCTAAGCCAACTATTCATTAGTTTTACGATATAGGGCTTTGAGTGAAACTAGTATTATTCTTCAGGTTTTACGATCAGTTCTTAGGTTTTTAATTTTTTTTTTTCATAAACCACATTTATTTATTTATTCAAGTTAGTGAAATGGAAATGATGACTAATTTTTTAAGCTTTTAATAGTCCAAATATTTTTGAACATACAATTTTTTTGATTATCCAATAATTTTTTCAGGTTAAATTTTGAATAATAGACTAAATCAATCAAATGTCGTTATTGAGAAAGAGTAACTTTAAAAATAGAACAATGAATAACTATTTGTCTTGAAAGAGATTTAACCATAATTTATAACCGATTGACGTATATGAAACACTGGATAAGTACGTTTTCAACAGAAATGATTACTAGTTCCCTGAGCTTATTTGTATTATACACGTATATAAGACATCCACACTGTACAAGATGTAGCTTTATTAGTGCTCTATGCATGTCATCTTCAGTAACATATACATATTCTAGCTACAAGTTTACTCTTGAATCGTATCAAAGGCGTATATGTTTAATTTCCTTTCGTTAGTAAATATTGTTGAAAAGAGGAGATGTATAGAAGACTAAAAAAAATCATCAACAAAAGTGAGAGAAAGACTAAATGAATTATCCATTAATTTGTGCAATAGTATTATATATATACACCAAGTGGAGTTAGAAAGACAACTTAGTTACACAAGAAGATGGGGAAAAGCTTAGAAATCTTTTTTTTTTTTTGGTTTTAAGCTTAGAAATCTTTTTTAGTACAATGATAAAAGAAGGTTAAAATGAATAGAGGGGAATAAAAAATAGAAGATATGTTTCCTATGCAAAGAACAAGAAGAAGGTTGTCTACATAGGGAGGGTGAATTGGGATACATTGGTAATAAAAGCCATAACTCACTTTCTGTTTCTTATTTCAATCATCAATGGCACATTGCTCCATATCCAGACATCATCATCTCATTAACTTCTTCATTCTATACACAGTATATAAATAAAATTTTGTGCGCGTATATATCTATTGGTCTACCCATAACATCTCCATGGTTCCATTAAATTATATTAGTGGGTTTTTCTTGTCTTGGTTATTTCCTTCCTTTTCTTTTTAATTTCGTTTGCATGAGTATCAGCAAATAACGTTTGTACCCATCTTACACTGTCCAGATATAAGCTGTCAATTCTTTCTTTCCTATTTGTTTTATAGAAAATGAATTGTTTGTCCTATTCTTGATAAAGGGAATAAAAGTGAGGGAGCTTTATCACTGTCACTGAATCGGTTTTAAAAATCTAAAATGTTTCTTTTGTTTCATTGAGAGCTCTATTTGAAAATTCTTGCAAGAGTGCTTTATTATATCTGTATTATAAATTTATTTTATAGTTTGTTATTTATGTCACGATAAGTATCATGGTCTTAAATTACTTACTTATCTCTTGCACATCATAGTGTTAATTAATGCAAGTCTTATTAGTTAGATTATATCTAGATGTTATATGTCGTGAATATTTACGACATATAGATGTGTACACGATGTTTAGGTAAAATATATTTTTACATAAAAAAATTATATCTTGTTCTTAATCGTTCGGAAATGGATACATATTCAAAAATGAAAAAGTGAAAATTTAATTAACCTGTATATGGAAAATGATGCTTTGATTATTTATATATATCAAGGTTTATTCTTGTAGTTTTTTTTTCTTAAAAGGATTTTAACTAAGCAAAGAAAATTATAAATTATAAGCTATGTTCCGAAGACCATACCGCAGATTACACAACATATTTAGATGCGAGATAACAAACTAGCATCAAAGCTATGTTGCTGAGTTGATGGAAGCGTGAAAGAGGAAACTTAACAAGAGGATTGAAAAGGTAGTAAAGGAGAAAAAAAGGATTATAGATGAGAATTATCCTCTAATTTCAATGTTAAAGGTAGAAAGAAGGAAAATAAAGAGTAAGAAAAAGGACCAAAAGGTATTACATTATTCTTGTAATTTAAATTTGATGGAAATGTATGTTTGTCTTTAGAACCAATTAAGAATACTATTAGTACCTACGTTTATACATACATAGCTGATAGCTCCAATGAATCTTCACTACATAGGTGTCTTACAAAAACTCTACGATAACATATCTTTATTTCAATATCGCAATCATCATGTAGTCGTATTTTAAAAATTGTTTAACCAGATATTTCATATATGTATATAAGATGTTATGCAACTTGTTTTGTTTATTGGAACATTAAATAATAACAGAACAATTTGATGTTATGCAAGAATCAAAACAAGAATCCGCTCACCTTAATTATCAACCTTAATTCTCATTTCTCAACCTTAATTTTCAAAGTAGAAGAGTAAGATCCCATGCAAGAGTCATAAAGAGTTAAAATATTCAAATAGTTAATAAGCATATCACGAATTGTCCATAAAGACTCAATAATTTACATTTGCTCTGCCTCTGAAATTGTTACATACAGTACATTTTTTTCTTCTTCAAAATTAGCCGGGGTTCGTGAGTCTAACAATAACCGACGTTCGTGAGTATTTTCTTTCAGCAGTTTATGACCTTGCCAACCATAACCGAGGTTTTGTTTTCGACCATAACGAAGGTTTTTGGTATACGTTTTATACTTGTGTCCTTTTTATATTTTGAAAAGAAAACAAATAAGAGGAAAATTAACACAAGGTAGAATTCGGCCACGCGCGTGCCAAGATGAGCTGTATGTGCGGGTGGTGAAAGACGCGCGTGCTTTAATCTCTCACGTGTGAAGACCTCAACATATAACAAATCATTTTCTTGGATATAATTAAATGGAGAAATATTCCCAAAAAAAATATTTAGGGTATTTTTGGTGTTTTGGTAATTTTTAGGGTATTTCTGGTGTTTTGGTATTTTTTAGGGTATTTCTGGTGTTTTGGTATTTTTGAATTTTTTTTCCCAAGATTTTCTTTGGTGTTTTGGTATTTTTTTGGTATTTTTTGTTTTTTTGGTTTTTTTGGTGTTTGGTATTTTTGGTGTTTTGGTATTGTTGGTGTTTTGGTATTTTTTTTCCCAAGATTTTCTTAGGGTATTTTTGGTGTTTTGGTATTTTTTTCCCATCGTCCACAATTTTTCTTTTTTAAAAAGCCTTCTATAAAAGTTTCCTATTTTTATTCTTTTTGGTTTATTGTTAAAAAATTTTCAAAATTGTAATCCCTTTCCTAAATATTTTAAAGCATTAAGTGTCGTACTTTCGAAAATACCAAACAAAAGCAAAGTAATTTTAAAATAAATAAACTAAATCGATGCGAGCATGACGAAAAGATTTTGCACTATATATATAAGAACAATCCTGGAGCATTAGATACACACTACAACACCCAAAGAAAGAGATTTTGAGATTTCAATTATCTTTGACGCTTGTAACTTGTCTTACGAAATAAGATTCTTGTGCTCAAAGAAACCTTAAAACAGTTTGTTTACCTTTTCTCTTGGAGATCAGAGTCAATGGAGATCAAAGCTGAAACAATGCAAAAGTCAAAGTTCAGAAGAATCTGTGTCTTCTGTGGAAGCAGCCAAGGCAAGAAGAGCAGTTACCAAGATGCTGCTGTTGATCTCGGCAACGAACTGGTAATACATAACATACATGACGACTTTAATTTCAAACGTAATTTTATATGCCTTTGATTCTGCTGGTGGGTTTTGAGATATGATGATGTGCCTTCTTTTGATTCATTTGAAATACTCAAAGTAATATAAAATCAGAACATTATGGTTGCTGCTTTGTTAAATGAGTTTGAATCTTAAAAGCTTCGATTGTTTTGTTCCTTTCTACTTATTACCAAATCTAGGCTTCATGTGTAACTCTGTTTCTTCATGTTTTTTTTTTAAATTTGTTTCTTTTGCAGGTTTCAAAGAATATTGATCTAGTCTATGGAGGTGGGAGCATAGGATTGATGGGTTTGGTTTCTCAAGCTGTTCATGATGGTGGTCGACATGTTATTGGGTAACTTTCTTTTTTTAGTCAAATCGCTTAAAAGCTCTTTACTGTCTCCAATCTCTTCTCTTAACAACTTTATGATCTTTAGTGTGAAGATCAAAGAAAATAAATTTTGTCTTTTTGAGTTTCTGATGGAGTAAAACTCTTGGGTTATGTTGTTGATTACTTCTAACAATCCTCTTTTTTGTCATCTTGTTGTCACTCTACAGAATTATTCCCAAGACCCTCATGCCTAGAGAGGTATGAACTTTTCAAAGTTTTTTTCAATAAACATTGTTTATTAGTTTCTCTTATTCTAAGTTATGTTTTGTTCTTTCTCCAAATCCCCATTCAAACCCATTTTAATCTTCAGTCTTTGCTTACGTTTTACTCTTCACCCTATTTATTACCTTTTGTAAGTCTCATGATTACCAGTAGTTTCTCTTTTCTGTCTCTCCTCTTCTCCCTTTAGGTACCCTAAAATAAAAATATCTTCTCTTTAATTCTATTATAAACAAAAGCTATATGAAGCAAATGATGAAAAAGAGGTTAAGTAGAAGATTAGGGTTCTGTAAAAAAAAAATGATGCAAGAGTTTTCAAAAATAGCCAAAAACTTCGATTACTTGCATTGCCATCATTGCTTTTGCCTGTAGAAGAGTCCAAAGCTGCTTTTTCCCTTTAACTACTTTTAATTATGACTTCCTTTTATATTTTTTAAAATTGGTGGATGGATGCTCTTTGTTGTTTCTTTTGGCAGTTGACTGGTGAAACTGTAGGAGAAGTAAGAGCAGTTGCTGATATGCACCAAAGGAAAGCTGAGATGGCTAAGCACTCTGATGCTTTTATTGCCTTACCAGGTTTTGTTTTTAAACCCCATCCACCCAAATATATCATCATTTTATTTCGCTTTTCTTTTTATAAAATTCAAAATCTGCTTTTTCTTTCACACAAAGTAATGATGATAATGAAAACTGGTCAAACTCTAGTGACGCAAGGAACAATAGGAACACCAGTTTAGGCCTTTTTTAGCCTCTTAATAGATAATGTATGTGAAATCAATGTTTAAGAGAACGAATATATGTTGCAAAAGAAAGAAAGAAAATAATTTGGTATTAACATGATTTTCTTGGTCAAGCTGCAGTGTGAAAGCTACTGTGAAAAGTTTTCTCTCCTTTTTTGTATGGAAAAATGTAAAATAATCAAAGTCACCCGAGTCACCTTGACCTATCAACATCTGTTTATTGCTCTGCTTTTAACTTAGGGGGTACTCTCTGTATAGCTTGTGTAGTCTTACTGTGACCAAACTTTTCTTCTTACCCATTTCAAGTTAAGAGACAAAACCTGAAACAGTCCCACAAATAGCATAGCCCACACTGAATCTGAAATCATTATTGGAGTTGGAGAGTCAAGTTCTTTCAATTGTAATCATATCCATACCAACGTACAAACTGTAACAAATATGAAGAAGAGTATTATTTGGTTGTGTCTTTTACATGACACACTTGTTGACTTGAGTCACTTGACCAGATCATATGAACAAAACTAATCTCCTCTCTTTTTACAAATTAAATATAATAAAAAATTTGTGTAAAATTTTGCAGGTGGTTATGGAACACTTGAAGAATTGCTTGAAGTCATAACTTGGGCTCAGCTTGGTATTCATGAAAAGCCGGTAAATAAACAAACCCGTTCACAGATTTTCAAAAAAGATTTATACAATTAATAGAAAATTCAAGAACTCAAAATCATTTAAACAATTTTTTTCTGCAGGTGGGTTTGCTCAATGTTGATGGATACTACAACTCTCTGCTCTCATTCATCGATACAGCCGTTGAAGAAGGATTCGTCAGCCCGAATGCTCGTGAGATCATTGTCTCTGCTCCTACTGCTAAAGAGCTTGTGAAGAAGCTTGAGGTAACTAAAAGATGAAGAAAAATGAACATGGATTGGTTATGAAATTTCTTCATAATCTCTTATAAATTGTTGTTGTTGTTGTTCTTGTTTTGCAGGAATACGCACCTTGCCCTGAAAGTGTTGCGTCTAAGCTTTGTTGGGATATTGAAACGGAGTGAAGAATGATTAAGAAATATCAAGATCTAATATATTAATTATCATATTTACACATATGAAGATGTGGGAGATTTCACGATTTTAATTAACCCAAGCAAAAAAAAGGATGAAGGAATAGATTATGATTAGTTGGGTAAATTAAGTAAATAGTTTCCACTACTGAGGAAATTATTTTGTTGTAAATTATTAGTACTGTCTTTTAACTTCAAACTACAATGTCTTTGATTATGTAAGATCCCCAACTCTTCTCTGTAACAAAAAAAAAAGTTTCACACTTTTGTTGTTCATCTCATATCTCCTCAAAGAAAATCAACACAGAAACAAAATTACATATGTAAGATTTTGTATAGTCAGTTATAAGTACAACAACATCATCAACAAATCTAGAAGAGACAACTAATTTTGTTCATAATATATAAGATGGCAAAAGAAAATGGGTTTATTTCAAGTGTTCAAGTAAATTTTGAGTGTTTTTCAACAGTATTAAAGTATCTAATTTTAAAGTTTTTTGTTTAGTCAGCATTTTTTTGACTTTTGATAAAGTTTGGTCACTGTTTGATTAAGAACATTAATCGTATGTTTTGGGTCGATTTTATTTTAAATAATCAAAAAATTACATTTCCGTATATTTAATTTAACTTAGGCAGAGAGTGGAAACGTCTTCTTCAGACAGACGCAGCGAACTCGCAGTTACTTGCTGGAACTGTTTGAGCATATATGATGAACGTGAGCCGGCCGGCGATTCACCCGGTGGATGTGGTCCCGGTGGCTCCGACCGACGGAGCGAACGATAGACCGCCAGTGAGGATGAAGGATGTGCAGGGGATGCCCGGAACCACCGGCGGCCTCATCCTCCGCCTCTCTCAGTTCGTCCCCGCTCTCATCTCCGTCTCCGTCATGGTCACCACATCCGACTTCCGCTCCGCCACCGCATTCTGGTAAAAATTAAACTAGGTTTTAGAATTCGATTTACCCAGTCCGATTTTAGTAATTCTCGAAATTTTAGGGCTTTTAGTTTTCTATTGATAGATTTGATGAATCCTTAATCGTTCTATGGCAATTAGAATACTTTCTCATCTAATTATATCATTTCTTGCTCCTTTGCTCTTAAAGTTTTGATTTTGAAATGATTTATTCTCTTGGTTCTGAGCTAGTAGAGCGAATCTTTCATCAAGATTTGAATTTATTTGATAAATTTGGTTCAAGACAATACGAATGTGACATTTACCTAAAACTTTCATTTGTGACAGTTGCTTGGTTCTTGCGGTTAGCCTGCAAAGCCTGTGGAGCTTGTCTCTTTTCCTGATCGATGCTTATGCTCTTCTGGTGAGAAGAAGCCTTCGGAACCACTTGGTTGTTCAGTGTTTCACTGTTGGAGATGGAGTAAGCACAAAACCCAACCAACCTCTAGTTATGTTTTTGTTACTTACTAGTGAGTGTTGTTTTTTTGCTTCATCTCCGATATTTGTTGGTTGCAGATCACATCGACACTTACGTTTGCAGCTGCGTCTGCGTCAGCTGGTATAACGGTGCTCATCAACGATCTTGACAAATGTAACGTGAACCACTGCACAAGGTTCGAGACAGCCACAGCAATGGCATTCATCAGCTGGTTTGCTGTGTCTCCTTCCTTTATTCTCAACTTATGGTCCTTAGCCTCTCACTTATAGAGCACACAAGATAAGCAGAGGGTTAATTTTATCAATTTTTCTAGTATATTGTAAATAATAAAGGGTGGAGATTATTATAATTATCGCCTCGATTAGCTAATAACAGAGAAGAGTTTTCCGTTGTTTGGCCTGAGATACATATAGTTGATCTTATTGGTTAAACGCAGTTGCATAACTTTTCCAATCAGTTTACATCAACATATATAGCTGATTCATGAGGCAAAGTAAGTTAAGATGAGGATTGAGGAGAAAGGGAGTGGTTGAGTTGTGGTGATTGGTGAATAGATGATGTTGAATTTAAAAGTTAATTTAAGAATTCAAAGGTAGATTAAGATGATGTTGCATAATAATATATGCAGAGAGATATTGAGAGAACAGTGTGCAAGTTAAACTTGGCAAATTGAGATATCTTCCTATTATTATTATGTAAATAAAAAGGGTGGAGTAAATAATTATCACTCGATTAGCTTATGTTTTGAAACCTCGGAAAATCCATAATACTAGTAGAGAACAGTTTTCCGTTCTTGGCCCTGAGATGCATATAGTTGATCTTATTGGTCACTTTTCATATCAGTTATCCAATTTACAAAAACCTATAATAAGAGAAGAAAGAGAGTAGTTGAATTGTGGTGATTAGTGAATATATAGATGATGTTGAGGAAAAGTGTACACGTTAAACTTGTCCATAGTTTCTGGAGCCCAACTTAGAGTAACGAACAGTAAAGTTAGATATACGACGAAACCAATCAGTAACTCAAATCTTTTATGTAAAAAATCAGTAACAATTAGATTGATACAAATCATGTCGTGGATTTGTTTATGTAAAAATCAAAACTAAGCAAAAATACTTATTGTTTTTGTTTTGTGTGTTATGGGCCTCGGCAACGACACCAGCAAGTAAATCTTGGGGTACCACGACTAGTCTCCCCGTCATGACATGTGCATACTGGAGTTTCCTTATCCCTTCCGGTAATATTGAAGCACATTTCTTGCGGCTTAGCACCGCATTTTCCACGTCTAAGATAGGTTTTTTCGCTACAATATTTGTCCGCTTCGACCTCTATTTTTGTAATTTTTAACCAGGAGATTTTGTTAACTTATGGGATCAAAAATGATAGAATAACAATAGTACATCAACACGTACCTTTATCATTGTTCATCACGAAGAACATCAACACGCAATATATCACTAACAGAGTAGTAGGCTTCATGATTTAAAAACAAAAACAAAAAATTGTCAATGTTGGTTACAGAAACTTTTTGTTGTTGATCTTACTTCCCTGTAATGAACATTGCAAGTACTTGTCTATGTTTGTAATATATATACACACTGAAAATAAATGTTCTATCTCTAAAGAGCTCACTAAAAATAGATACTAAGTCCGACCGAGAAAACGCTAAAAGAGAGTGGTCGCGCGAAGTTGACGTGATCTGATATGATATGTGGTTTACTTATTTTGTTAAGACAGTAACACTTATATATATAAAAAAAAAACTATTTATTAAATGCCAATATCTATACAAGTTACAAATTACAATACTATACAATATGAAGGTACACCATGATATGATGCAAGATGGCTTGATACTGTATCTATGAACTTAAGGATGCAAGAAAACATAACACGATCCAAAACACAAACATGAGAGCACAATGTGAGGAAGTTATGGTGTTGTATATCATAGGTATTGCTAGTGTATACATGACAACTGTTATACATCAGAATGGAATATTCAAGGTTTTCCTACAAGCAGCGTAAAGAGCTAAAGACTCAAAATCAGCAAATCTGAGGATGTCTATCAAAGAAAACTAATCTAACGGGGAGCCTCTACTTGAACGGCACTTTAACCGTGAAGCTTCCAGCTCTTGTTTTAATGTCTCAATCTGCATTAGCAACGCCGCATTTTCCTAACCAAAGACACAAACAACTTAATGAGCCACACAAGCATCATAATAGTATACAAAGGATTGTCGATTTGTAATTGAATCTCTGGTTGGGAAAATGTCACCTTATGTAATGACTCTAGCTTTTGATTTCCATTCCCATCTTTGACCTGTACATGAACAAGAAATGCTCCAAAATCAACCGAAACAGAGAATTGACAGTGATTGTTTTACACTGATGATATAAAAGCTACGACCAATATTAACAACAGTCATAGAGCCAACAAGACGACCAATCCCTAAAGCTAAAAGCTGAAAAGAAAACATTTCTACATGGAGGAGCTTAGAAAATAGTAATACCAGAGCAAGTTCTGTGTTACATTTCGAAGCTTTCTCTGCTTCCTTGTCAAACATTCTTCTCCATTCTGCTGATTCGTCCATTGCCTCTCTATTCGCTAAATCAAACTGTCTCCTACACCAAAGTAAATCTCAAACCATAAATATATTTACTTCGAAATCAATCAAATAAACCACCACTACCACACTAACCATAAACCCAGACGCAGCTAACATACGAAAGTTCATCAATTCACAGAAAAGTTAAAACCCAAAAGTTTGAATTTTTTTTTGTAATCCACTGATCTGGCTCTACTGAAACCCAATCAATACTTGGAGCAAATACCACCCGAAATCCCAGAATCGGCAGTAGTTAAACTACATCAAATAGGGGATAAAAATCACTTTTTGATTTGAGAAAAGAGGAGAAAACCTTAAGCGTTCTGTGTCATCGGAAGATAGAGTATAATCGATTGTCCAAAGCCTCAAGTAAACAGCGACGCCGAGAACGAGAGCTAAAACCAAACCCACCAGTATCGTCTTTCTCTCAGATCCTCCCGCCATTCTTCCTCTTTCCCCGATTTGAGGCAACATCGACGAGCTAGCACCACCGGAGAAATGAAGCAAAGAGACGACGATTTGATTTTTATCAAACCGGAGATTATTAAACTAAACCGTAATAGAACCAATTGTCTAAATTTGTAACAGTTTCAGATTAAAGCCCATATTCTCTTTGGGCCCGAATATGTCCAAGGGTAAACTCGTCATTTACATTCCCGTAAACCCTAATTTCGACTTCTTATCTCCTTCAAAAACCTTCGAGCTTCACTTCAGTCGCCTCCTTTCGTCTCGGGACTCAAATCTCAAACGAGAAGAGTAGAATCCTTTTGAAATCCGTTTAACCGGAGAACAGCCATGCCGCCGAAGTTGGACCCGAGCGCGATCGTCGATGTGTACGTCCGTGTAACCGGAGGAGAAGTCGGAGCCGCGAGTTCCCTAGCTCCGAAGATCGGTCCCCTCGGTCTCGCTCCAAAGAAGATCGGAGAGGACATCGCCAAGGAGACCGCCAAGGAGTGGAAGGGACTCCGTGTGACCGTCAAGCTCACGGTGCAGAACCGTCAGGCTAAGGTCACGGTGGTTCCGTCGGCGGCCGCGCTCGTCATCAAGGCGTTGAAGGAGCCGGAGAGGGACAGGAAGAAGGTGAAGAACATTAAGCACAATGGAAACATCTCGTTCGATGACGTGATTGAGATCGCGAGGATCATGAGGCCCAGATCCATCGCCAAGGAGCTTAGCGGGACCGTGAGGGAGATTCTCGGGACTTGTGTCTCCGTTGGATGCACCGTCGATGGCAAAGATCCGAAGGATATTCAACAGGAGATCCAAGAAGGTGAGGTCGAGATTCCTGAGAATTGATAACCGAATCGGAAATGGTGTGTTCGTTGTTTCTGTCACTTTTGTTTTTTATCTATGAAATTTTAGCTTCTGTGTTTTATCCATTAGAACGACTCAGTTTTGGATTGTTATTTCCTCTTTTTATTGATTCCCAATTTTATGCTATGATATTGATATCTCTACTTTCTATAGATTATTCAAACGAAATGCTTGAATCTGCGCTGTTATAACTGGAAAATTTAGGAACTTTAGAATGTGTTAGTTGAATTTGGTACTGCTGAATTTGGTGGTAAAATATCATATTTGTCATCAATGGATTTTGTACAAGGCATAGGTTATTGAGTATCTCTATTTAATTACCAACAGTTCTTCATTACCATCGAACTTAATGTGCGTTTGCTGTTAAATGTATTGGAAATGTGACAAACAAAGGCCTCATTTGGATTTCCCAAATTTCATTCATCTGTATGTAAGTTTGGCTTCTTCATTGCGTTTTTCGGCTTCTTTGTTCTTCGACCTTACTTTACATTTCATGGTTATTAGAAGTATGAGATGTTTCAAAAGTAAGTAAGCCATTGTTTCGAGAATTAGAGGAGAATGAGTCGTTGAATTTTTTTCCTCTTGCTAGATATATAGGCAAACGCAAACAGCGCATGAGATGAAAGCGATAAATTCTATTAATTGGAAAACACACGCACAAAAATACAAGCAGAAACTAGTGAAAAGAAAAAACAAAATACAAACGGGAGAAGAGGGACAGATTTTAAAATCACATGCCCAATTTCTTCTAGTAACCACAATCATTTTTGTATTTGTGGTTATTAATATTTGTGGTTGTGGCTAAACTCAAACATTGGCTGCACTTCTGAAGGATCCGAGGGACTTGGAGCCTGAAGCTCTTAGAACTATTTGGTGGTAAAATGCAGCAATCGCAGCTCCAACGAATGGTCCGAGCCAGAAAATCCACTGTAAATATAGAGCAAAATCTTTCCATTATTTTATTTCCTTTGAAACAAAAGAATTTAAAAGTTTTGATTAGTTTTTAAATTAGGATATTGAAAACATACGTGATCATTCCAAGGCTTGGACTCGTTGAAGATAACGGCGGCTCCGAAACTTCTTGCCGGGTTAATGCCAGTTCCGGTGATCGGAATAGTTGCCAAGTGCACCATAAACACCGCAAACCCAATCGGGAGTGGCGCCAATACCTTTCATTTTCATAAACAACCAAAAGTATTAGTTAATGTTAATTAGCAATCTCATAAATGAAACTAATAATTAATACTAACGGGAACGTGGGAGTCCCGGGCGCTTCGTTTGGGATCAGTGGCGGAGAAGACAGTGTAAACGAGGACGAATGTGCCGATGATCTCTGCGGCGAGGCCAGTGAGTGTGCTGTAGCCGTCGGCGAGAGAGTTGGCTCCTCCGCCGTAACGGACGTAGTAAGAGCTTTGAAAGGCCTTCACGAACCCAACTCCACAGATCGCACCCAAACACTGAGCCACTATGTAAAGCACCGCTCTGATCAGCGACACCTTCCGGGCCAATAACAATCCGAATGTCACCGCGGGGTTTATGTGACCACCTTTGTAACGTTTTGGGGCAAATGTCAGATAAACGAAAAACCAAAGGACTTATAAATATGACAAATTTGTAAACCGGCATGAACCGGACTGGTTCCTGGTTCGGTATAAGTGATACCTGAGATACCGGCGGTACAGTAGACGAGGATGAAGATCATGCCGCCGAAAGCCCAGGCGATGCCAAGGATTCCGACGCCGCCGCAGTCAACTCCGCCGGCGGTTACGTCTGACTCAATCTTGTAGCCGATGACAGTCAAAATGGTGATGTACAAGAAGAGGAGTGTGGCAACGAACTCGGCGATGACGGCTCTGTATAAAGACCATTTCGTTAGCTCCTCCGCGTCGAAAAACGGTGCTGGCGGCGGATCTTGGTAATCCTTCGCCGGATATCCCTCCGCTCCTTCTACGTCTTTCCCCATAGGTGTGTACTGGATGTTTCTGGATTTTTCTAAGAAGTTGTTTTGCTTCTAGATGTTGTTGTGGTTGTGATGAGAAGAAGATAATAGACTTCTTTATATAGAGAGTGAGCTCTTGGTTTTTGCTACTGTGTATTTGACACTTTTCTTTTAATGTTACAACTATTTTCTAGCAGCATTTTACAATTATTTTTTAAATGATTTTTGAAAGGAAAGAATAATATTTCCTCTGTTTTAGTCGACAAAAAGAAGAAGATTTCCTCTGTTATGCCTAATAAGGTTTACTGTGGAAGCCAGTGTATTTTGTCACGGCTCTGCAGTTTGGTAGTAAGGATACGGATAGTGATTAGATGATGACCCAAATGGAAATAATCTTTCTGGATTTAATCATCAGTACTCACATGAAACTAATTGCAATATTTAAAATAACCTGCTGAACCAAGTAGAGTGAATGAATTTTGCAGAAAAGTCTGTACTTAGCCAAATATATATCGAGTAAATTACATTCAAAGGCACATTTTGAGTTTCTTATAACAAGGGAAGGCACTTTTTATTCCTTGGTGACTTTGCCAAATCTGAAGGGATGAGAAATTCCAAATGTATCTTTTAATTTTATGAGCAATAGTTTTTTCTTTCCTCCGCCCTCCACCCTCCACCCTCCATCGTCGTATCTAAGCTTTGTCTCCTCGTTCCGATTAAAATCCTCTCACCTTCCGTTTGCTTCCCCTCAAAAGAAATACATTTTCGATTGGACTTTCTCACCTTAGTAAATCCCTAGTTCTAACAAATTCCAAACGATTTTCTCAATCGACGATATAAAGTCGTGATTCTTTGCCGTCAATCTCTTACTGTCATGTTTTATTCTACACACAACAGCCAATTCTTCTTTACCTCATGGACCCTGAATAGTCTAACAAAGCACCATACATGCCCTTGCTTTAATTTTGTAATTACATCTACAGATTTTTTTTACCATCCGCGACACAGTAACTTCCTGTTCTTTTACAGCTGGAGAATTCGCCAAATAACTGAAGAATGGTTATGGATCTGGGATTTTTAGCCAATGAATTCAACAGAACAAACGAATAATGTTTGTTGGATCTGGGAGAGATTTGTTTTTATAATTGAAAGCAAGTATACTATGAGATTTCGTGTCGAATTCGATATCAATAATCAATTTAGAAGATTTCGTCGTCGAATTCGTTGAAAAAAATTCTGCTGGTTTTTAGATCTGGAAAATTTCCAGTCTCCTTGAAGTTTGGAGAAGATGAATCTATGTTAACTCGCGATCATGTCCACATCTACATATCCACGCAGTCGTGTACATGCGCCCATCTGGACGCCTTTGTTCGGATAATTAAATATTTGGAGTTTGAATGAGATGTGTGTGGACATGTAGATGTGTACATAATTTTGTGAATACAAAGATAATTAACAACTGAATAAGTGTTTTTCGAGTTATTGTTATCGCCTAGACTGTTTCATAGAACGTATCCATATACTTGTATCCATACTTGGGGATGTACACACACAAAAATGGATGCATGCACACACACAACAATGGGGCAGAGCCATATGGATGGGTCCGTTTGGATGTAAAAACGAATTAACTAATCTTAATACAATAGGTCTATGAGATCCATTAAAACTACTAAGATCACAAGAGATCCATGACTTCGTGTCCACAAAGTTATGTACACGCAGACATGTCTTAATAACCATTTTAAATGTCAGAATTAACTAATCTTAATGCAATAGGTTTATGAGATCCATTAAAACTACTAAGATCGCAAGAGATCCATGATTTCGTGTACACAAAGTCATGTACACGCAGACATATCTTAATAGCTATGTTAACTGTCAATACAAATATATGTGTAGACAGTTTTGAAGAGTTTTTTTTGTCCATATCTTATATCCACAGTATTCTTGGATACAAACTATTGTTTGTCCATGCTTATTTATCCAACAATTAGTATTTGTTTGCTAGTTTGCTATCTTGGTTCAATCAACTCATTTCTTCATAAACGTATCTTTTATGCTAGTTGTGTCCATGCAGCCGCATCCATGTGATAGTTATTCATTTCTTAGTATAGTACACTGTTTTCATCCACGACTGCGTGGACATCTAGATGTGGATATGATCGAGAGCTAACCCAGATTCATCTACTCCGAATTTCAGCGAATCTGAAATCAGCTATATTCATCTTCTCCTCACTCCAAGAAAAGAAATCCAAAAAAGGTGAGAGAAACTGAACTCAATTTGTCAATACAAATATAAAAATGTGAAATTGAACTCAATTTATCAATTTGTTCAAAGGTGAAATTGAACTCAATTTGTCAAATACAAACTGAAATCAAGAAAAAAAACCCAGAAAAAAGGTTCAGATTCAGTTGATTTTGGGTAAGATGAAAAAAATGAGATGAAAAGAAAGTGAAACAAATGTTGGGTAAAAGAAAAAGAGAACTCAAATTTAGAAGAGAGGGTTTTTTGGTCATTCAAACACTCCAAAGTCCCTTAGGAGCACAAAGTGCCTTTGAGTGTAAAAAATAACTCAAAAGTGTCTTTAAGTGTAAATGACTCATATATATTTGCATGAAACATTACAGTTTAACACTAATAAAAAACCGGGGAAAAAAAGTTATACTACTGGTCTGTACATTTAACTCCATTATTGGTACTGACTACTGAGAGATCACCGTCCGAAAGTCACGTCATTAAAATTTGTATGCATCACCCAAAATTTTTGACCGTTGACAAACCAACCGAAAACCAATAAAACGTGTGCAATCATGAAGTGATGAACAGTTGTGGTAGTGATAATTTTTAATACATATTTATACAAATTAAGCTGTACCCACATGCATAGCTACTTTAATAGTTTGAAAAATTATTCATTATATCATTTGTATGGATGAAAAAGTTGTCTCCATCGTGTTTAAGAAAAAAAAAAGAATTATTCATGTGTTTCCTGCCGTTTCTAACACATTCTGGACTATTCCTGTATCTTTTTCATGCTAATTAGTCTGGTAAGCGTATGGTAAACGAATATTTCTATAGAGAAACAATAACGAGTATTTCTATAGTGTATATTTCGAGTCATTCTGTAAGATAACGCATAGATATGCATGCATGTAATGTGAGATTTATTAATTTATTATGTAAGCTGCAGAATACACAAAAGAAATGACCAACTATTGTAAAAATTTGTCATAGGACACTATATAGTAAGCGAATCTTTTTATATAGAAATGAAACTATATTCGAGTCATTATTTTCTGTCAAACAAAATACTATAATTAAGTCATTTTGTAAACTAACGCATAGACATGTAATTTGAGACCAACAGTAAAACGATCAATTAGTGTAAAATTTGTCATAAGACACTACAACAATTTATGATTCTTTTTTTAACATCAAATGTTTATGATTCTGTACTGTCTCTTTTGTTGACATCAAATGTTTATGATTCTGTACTGCATATACTCAATATATTCACACATCATAGTAGATGTATAGTCGAAGTGACTTTATCTGTTATTGTGGTTGTGGATTCATTGTCAGCAAATATTTCCGTGTGTTCAAGAGAGTTTGACAATAATACCTTTTACATTATACACAAGTTGTCTCAAAGAACCATGAAATGAATGAAATACTGATTTATATGATACGTAAAATGTGTTAATCAGAACAAATTTTTGCCTATTTTCTACAGAGAATATGATCGAGTAGAGTCATTAGACAATTCTTTTACAAAAGAAAGCGTCAACAATGAAAAGACAAAAAAAAAGAAGGTGAGAGATAGCGCATTACTGACGTGGAGCTATCGTCCAATAAGAGCAAAGAGACGTTGCTAAAGCGATAAGGTTATTGTGACGTGGAAAAACATTAGCCATGAACAACACACTACACCACATTCCTTTTGTCTGTGTTCAACTTTATTCTTTTTAAAAATATTTATTTCTTCATATATAATTCACAAAACGTAGTGAATAATATATATACGTTTTTATCAAAAAATTAATAATATATATACGTAAGAAAATTGCAATTGGAATTGAGGTTGGAGAGAGAGTGAGAGCAAATGATTGTTGTGACTTGTGGGGTCTAATTACGTGGCACAACAGGAGTGGTTGAGTTGAACCGACGGCTGTTCTGAGTTGGACTTTAATCTGCATGGACGGTGCCGATGCATTTGTCGGAGCTTCTGGGCGGTTTTCAGTGGACCTCTTTAGTGGAAACAGAAACCGTGAAACGACGCCGCTTATGTTATCCTGTCCTTGGGATAATAATTATGTTAATGTAATGGTAGGGTTTGCTCCTGCTCAGAGAGACTACATATAATATATGGTTTTGTATTAATTTTTTATTTATTTAAATGTTTGAAAACAACTGTGTACACAACATAGGATTTATACGAAGTTTATGCGGTAAAAAATAAATATTGCAAAGTGCAAACGATGTGGTAATGGACTCGTTGGAATTTATGATTTGTCTGTGGCTATTTGGCTCCTAGATGGAAGTAGCAATTTCAAAGATGGTGGAATCGACCTAATCAGAACTTTTACCATTGATTATCTAGCTAGCTATCTCAAAGTTTTCAACATGTAACTTTATGGCAACTGTAAAGCATCCGCCGAATGTTTTAAAAACGAACTTTCAGGTTAGCCTCAATTGATAAGATCCATAGAATTTTATTATTCGTAAAAGAGTGACAGTCTAATATTATTCTAGGGGGAGGACAAGGCTCGTGACATAGGACAAGAGAAAAACAAAAGAAGAAGAATATAGTATATTAGGGTCGGTCCAAATGAAAACTACATTTAGGTGATGGGGCGGCAAGGCTAAGTTAAATTAACCATAAAAACTCCACTGGCTACCATAAATTTAGAATGAAAAGGTCGCTGTTCTTCATAGCTCCACGATCATTCTTTTAAATTATCCAAATCTCAAATAAGTTCAGGTTTATGCTCAAGACCTAGTAACGTTAATTGAAAACCAAAAATAAACTTGAATTCTGCCTTTGTCAACCAAAAAATACGTAACTATATATATATTTCTTTTAATTGGTCGACAATATATTTAATAAAACTAAGCAGAAGATACATATATCGTTCCAAGTTATTACATATTTGATCCATCTCAAAACAAGAACTAGTTAAGTTTTATCATCAGCTAATTCTACAATCATTTTGCTACGATGAATACTGTAACTGAAATAAAAAATAACAGTGCTACTAAATAAATAATTTAATTGATACGATTATTTCAGTGTAATATGAAAATTTGAAACCAGTGCTGTTCTAAGTGCTAACTAATGGATATGTATTTTATTTTTATTTTAAATACTGGAATTTTAATTATGAAGCAATGATTAGATTAGCTGAGATTATATATGTCAGGACAGCTAGCTAGATAATAAATTAGTGAAAGCTAGTTTCCACAAAATTAATCATAATCGTCATTTACATTTCTATATTCATTTCATTAAGAACGAATAATAAAAAAAAAACATAAACCTACCGAGGAACACATTATTGTAATATAATCAATAAAAATACGTATATCTTACAATGATTAACATGTATACAAAATTAACAAGAGCATTCAGTAAACAACTCACTCTATATAAACAACCCTCCTTCCTCTCTTTCACAATCACACAACATAACCAAAAACACATTTTCTCAACAAAATTATATAAATGGCGAAAGACGTGGAAGGAGCAGAAGGATTCACGGCGAGGGACTACGAAGACCCGGCGCCAACACCGTTTTTCGACGCGGAGGAGCTGACCAAATGGTCTTTATACAGAGCCGTCATCGCCGAGTTCGTAGCCACTCTCCTCTTCTTGTACGTCACTGTTTTAACTGTCATCGGCTACAAGATTCAGTCCGACACAACTGTCGGCGGAGTTGACTGCGGCGGCGTCGGAATCCTTGGCATCGCCTGGGCTTTCGGCGGCATGATTTTCATTCTCGTTTACTGCACCGCCGGTATCTCAGGTATATCATAAACTCAACTTTAGATTTGATTCAGTTCTTGCAAGAAAATTTATTTCGTGATTAATGTTTACAAATTGTTATTATAAACCCGCCTGAATTCAAATAAAATACATCATATATCGAACCGGTCCGGTTTTAGAGCTTTAAAAATTGAGTAATTTCAGATTACAGTATTGGTCTTTAAGTTTTTATTTATTTGACATTGACCCCAAACATTTATAAAGGTGGTCACATAAACCCGGCGGTGACATTCGGCTTGTTCTTGGCCCGGAAGGTATCTCTGATTAGAGCGGTACTCTACATGGTGGCTCAGTGTTTGGGTGCGATTTGTGGAGTTGGGTTCGTGAAGGCTTTCCAAAGCTCTTACTACGTCCGTTACGGCGGAGGAGCTAACTCTCTCGCCGACGGCTACAGCACAGGAACTGGACTCGCCGCGGAGATCATCGGCACATTTGTTCTCGTCTACACTGTCTTCTCCGCCACTGATCCCAAAAGAAACGCGCGAGACTCCCACGTTCCCGTTAGTATTTATCATCAACTAATTATAATTATAACATCGTTAGTTAATTATCAACTAATATGAAATTATGAAATGAAAGGTGTTGGCGCCACTTCCGATTGGGTTTGCGGTGTTTATGGTACACTTGGCCACTATTCCAATCACCGGAACCGGTATTAACCCGGCGAGGAGTTTCGGAGCTGCCGTTATCTTCAACGAGTCCAAGCCATGGAATGACCACGTATGTTTCCATTTCTTAATATAATCAAACTATAATCCAATTGTTTAATGGGAAAGTAATGGAATGTGTTGGCACTATTTGCAGTGGATTTTCTGGGTTGGACCATTCATTGGAGCTGCAATTGCTGCGTTCTACCACCAATTCGTCCTAAGAGCTTCAGGTTCCAAGTCTCTCGGATCATTCAGAAGTGCGGCCAACGTTTGAATTTAGCAAAAATAATAATAATAATAATAATAATAATGATAACAACAATCACAAAATGCCAAAATGGTTGTTATTATTGTTATTATATGCATGTACAAATTTGGCAGCTTTGGTTTTAAACTTATCCTCTGTTTTTCTTCTTTCCTTATTTCTAGTTTCATTGTGATGTACTACTTTTGATATGTGAATGTTTGTGTACTCGGGAAAAACAATCAATGAAATCAATTGTTTTTGCCTTCTTTCAGTTTTTTTTTTTTTACTACCATCAATATTCCCAATATTTTATCTACAATGGTTGAATTTACAAGTTCCATCTGATTCAAGTTGGCCTCCTTGACCTAAAGAGCATTAAGACATAACTACAAATTGAAAGTAATCAATTCTAACCGGACAACGCTAATCTAACGTGCATGAAAGTGAAAACTTTGGTTTTAAGTTGACATTTTTATTCACTATTACAGTACAAGCAACTAGATTTTGTATTGCTCAAACTAAGTGTGTCACTTTTCTGAAGCATACAAGGTCTTTTTCAGAAATAACAAAAACAAAAAGTACAGTATAGATGAGCACAGGTTTGGAAATAGTAAACATACAAATAAAAGCCGCTAAAGATCTTTAATTCAGTGTCGATTATCAAAAATTCCAAATGTACCTCAAGACCAAAGTCAAGGTTTAAATAAATCGAAACAAAAATAGGATTGCAGTTCACTGTGCGTCTTCACCAATATTGAATAATTGGATTTTGTTAGTATTTGTTGGATATAAACCCTAACTCCAAACGAGCCGTTTTCTTATAATTACATAGGAAAAATCTCTTCGTCTCTTTCGTCTTTACCCATCAATCTTCAGGTTGTCAGATTCACTTCAATGTTTTCTTCAAAGAAGGAGAGATATTCACATGGCTTCTTTTCGAAACCAAGACCTGAAACAATATGATTTTAGAATAGTGACTGAACTAACTGGAACCACCGACCTTGCTGGTCTGTGAGGGTTTGCCAGTGGTTGGATTAGCTTCTGAGCTGCTGGACACTGTGCTGTCTGGTCGTGTCCAGATCTTTATTTGGCCTTCTTTGCAAGCTGTTATGACCGATTCTTGGGTGAATATCAATCCCGAGAGCGGCTCGGTGTGAACACGGTGAACCACCACTGGCGAGATCTTTGGGATGTCTCGCATGCATGGCGTTGGCTGAAGAGTCCCCATTGGAACGACATTGTCCCAGTGAGCAGAGTGACTCCCTGTGCTGTAAGTGGGTGATCCTCCTGGTGGTCTCCGAAGTGGAACCACAATCTCATCCATCTCTAGGTCCCATAGCAGTAACTGCGTGTCCTGTTCAGCACAAGCAAACAGAATAAAGACTCAAGAAGGCGAGCCAAAATCTAGATGATCACAGGAGAAGAAACAGAACATCAAAACATATGTTAGTAACACAACTTTTTCATCAGACGTTGAAGCAAATGTTTAAATGGCATCACATAAAAGAGAGAAGAATGGATGTAGCATGAATGAATACCTGACCCACGGAACCAAACCTATACATGACACTCTCTCCACACCCGTCTGAATTTGGTGACGACCAATACAAATCAAATGCCACTCCACTTACCTAATGATAAAGCATTTCATATTAGTCAAGTAGTTGCATTCGAAATTCAGTACACAAGTTTAAAATCCTTACCCACGAATTGTGTCCTTCACCCCACGCCACAACCTTTCGGTCTTCCATACTCCAAACTTGAACCAGGTCATCTTCGCCTCCAGTCAAAAGGTACTTTCCATCCATACTGTCAGGCCGATCACAATGTTAGTGTAGAATTGCATTTCCATGCTAAAAGCAAACTTGAGTGAACAAAAATTGACTCAGAAATTTATTTTCCTTCAAATGCAAATAGGTGAGATAATTTATCAAAGGATTTACATCCACTCACCTCCAAGCACAGCATAGTAAAGCACCATAATAGCTTTTTCCACCACACACTAGCTTTTGCGTTGAGAAATCAAAAATTCTAAAATAACCTGTACATGGTAAAATAATTAGACGAATTCTCAACCGCAAATATAGAGAAAGAATTGGAGCCAGCGAAAAATAAAAACATGCATCATACCATCTCTTCCAACAGTTGCCAAGTATACCCCATCATTTAAAAATGCAATGCAATTAATTGAACCTTGACTAATATGCCATCTCGCTACTGGATTACTCTGCATGAATAATTATGGGAGTGAAGAACGGTACACGAGAAAGAAACGAAAAGAGCAATCTCATCCTGCCAGAGATTCACATAAAATCCTCAAAAGCAACATCAAATGGAAACAAGACTAAACTCAAGTACCTTGCTATATTTTGCTTTGTCAACTGAAAACTGTGTAGGATCTCTTATAGCAGAAAACGAAGATTCAGTAGCACCTTCTTTATTCTGCAAGCATACTTACTACACTGGTCAGAAATTAGACAAAATTAGGTAAATGATAAGTCAAACGCAATAAATTCTCCGATATCTGAGCTTGCCTTCTCATACACGTACAGATTTCCATCGGCATGAGCAACAACAAAGGATCCATCACCTCCAGGCACCCAAGCTATACTAGTACAACGGCTGTTAAAAGCAAACAAACGTTTTATTTACATAACCATCTTTATTTCTGATTATTTAAAGCAACAAATCTCTTGCCTGTTATTTACAGAACCATCTTTGTTATAATGCTGAGCATTAACAAGCTTCTTACTCATATCCTATAACTGCTGTCTCAGTGATACGGTGTAGACTACAAAACAATTCACCAAAATAATAAATTAACAAGAAAATTTTCCATCTAAAACCAAAAGTAACAAACTTGAGCTCAAAAGTTGTACATTACCATCCCCAGAATTCATCCCAATAAGTAGATCATGTGCATCCTTAGCATCTGGATCAAACACATGACACACAGGGTTCGAGTTGCTTATATGTATAGACTTTACTGGATCCTACATCAAATAACTTTTCTTTAACTTGTGAACCAAATCAAATCAAATCTTAAAGAAACATAAAAGGAGTAGGGAGTAAAAATGTAAAATACCTTGTCTTGTGAGTTCAAGTCACATATGAAAACAGAATCACCCACATTGAAGATTAAGTAACTTCCTTTCCCATCAAAATTTGGATTAGACGCAGAGGTACTAGAGTTAGGAGAAGTGAATGTGGCACCGGTTCTTGCACTTGTGCTCACGTTCTTGCTACCTCCGTTGCCTCCAACAAAACTAAGCGCACGGTTACCATTTCCACCACCTAACAACCTCGCCGTTGCTGATCGGAAACCGCTACCACCACTAGCACTTGACGAAATACCAGTTGGTGTCGATGGAGCAGGTTTGTCCTTTAGATGAGCTAACGTTACCTGATTACACCGAAATTCCCCAAAATTCAATCCTCAAAAATTCGCATTTTATATTCATACACCAAACCTTGCGAAATTCAAGTTGTAATTTCACAGTGAGCAATGCCACTGAAACACATCCGGATTCAAATTTCCACTAAACGAAAGTTCAATCAGAGATGATAAATCTCCCAAAAATGTGGAAACCAAATAGCAACTACAATCAGAAATCGGATTGAAAATTCAATTTCAAGGATGAATATCAATCGAAGGTTTGACCTGAGTGACAGTTTTTGCCATGGGTGTAGTGAAGGAGGCCAGAGGGATGCGTCTTCTCGTAATGGAGCTTATACTTCCCTTCAGGCGTTTAGAAATACGTCTTGATTCCTGGCGACTGAGGATTCGCCGATGAAGAAGAAGAAGGCGCAGAGATCATTCCATTCGAAGTATTCATCGAATTATTCACTACTCTTCTCTAATCTACGAGCCAGCCAAGCATCTGATCACATCCCTAGGGATTTTCTTCTCTTCCTTTTACCTGATTCCCTCTCACACTAAAACAAAATCCAGAAATCTGCACTTACTCTTCTTCGATGCAATTTGCTTTAAACTCTGTTCGACAGCATCCTTCGTCGCTAAAAAATCAAAATCGGAGTTTATATTCTAGGTTCAATGGCCACTGGATGAAAAGGATTACTATGAATATAATGTGGTCTCCGATCAAAAGGTTAACTTTGTATATTCCGATTCGCCATTTTCTTTTATTTGCTTCTTAATTATGAAATTTGACTCTCTTAGTGGATAAATACAGTAAAAGTCATAACGATCAACGGTGGATATCACCTGGATGGTTCAAAGACTAGAGATCCTTGGATCTAAGCGATACGCCAAGAGAAAGAAACTCAGGATAAGTAAAGAATCTAGACATTACAAGCTAAAAATCATTGACATTCACTCAAAATGACACTAGTTTTGTTTTTCTGGTCAAGCATTAATCTTTTGGTATTTTGTTTTAATACTAAAGTTAATCTCCGAGTTTATATACCTAAGTGATCAAGTTGATGCTCAAATATATAATCCAAAACAGAGGTCCATTACCAAAGAACCTTTAGCTTCTTTGACTTGCCGTGAAAGGAACAGTAAAAAATCCCAATATTTGCCTAATCACGAATTCACAACACATTTAAAAACTGTAAACAAATGAAATAGTTAGGAGTCGACTAGCAAACATTAATTGTTTCCTATAATTTTGCTTTTCTTAAATATGAACCGATTCTTCTCTCATTGCCCAACCATGGCCAAAAAAAAAAAAAAAGGAACCGATTCTTCTCTCATAAAAACTGCGTCATTTCTACGAATTCATTCATCTCATCGCCGCTCGCCGTGGTATGTTTCTCCTTTCTCCGATCATTGTTTTGAGCTGATGATTCGTGTTCTCATATGTGTATATGCGTGTAGATACTGTATGCTGAACTGATTGCGATTTTTTGTTTTTACTATATTCCGTCGGCATAATCCTGTTATTTTACGGTATGCTGCTACATCGGTGGCTTTTCCTGCATTATTTGGGTATGTTCGCGACGATCATGTCCCTGAATCGGATATCGGCCCTTCGTTTTTGGCGCGAATTTGTTTGCTTTAGTTTCCGATGATGAGAAAAACCCAAATCGGTGATTAGTTTTCTGTCAACTTTGTGTGTTGATTAGCTGTTGTTGATCAGGGCTGCTTCAGCGGCGGGGTAAGCTATCCAGTTTGGGATATAGTCTGAGCAGTTCCCTATTAGGCTAGACTTAGCTGGTTTGTATCCTACAGGTTTAGGGGCAATGGTGGTTTCTCAGTCTATTATACCTTTCTCGACCAGGGTAGTTGAGAAACCGAGGAAAACCTTTGTTGGTGATTCAAGTGTTTGAGAGATTTAAGAACTAGTAACGCTACAGATTCAGGTCAGAATACATCTTCCTCTTTGATGAATTCGAGAATTTACTTCACGTTTTGACATTTTAGCATCATTCTCTTCAAAACTTGTTTATTAACACTTTTCCAACAGATGTTAGTCCCTCACGTTAGCCTTTTGTAACAAATAGGATCGGTGGCTGCCATTGTCATGCTATTTTCTTTGAGGTTTTCTAACTGGCAGATGTTGTGTTGCAGACCTTCTTGGTTAACAAAATTTGTGATAGCAAAGTGAACTTGAACTCATATATGGCCAATGACCAAGGTTATGGTAGTAATGGCTTTGTGAGGTTTTAAGTGGCGTAAGATTTATTCTGATCCTGTTGAATTACATCTTTATGGGAGTAGGCAAATGTCCTAGTTACTTAAAGATGCCTGAGGTCTGGTAAAGGTATCCATGAGTGCGAAAGTTCAATCTTTCTTAGGGTAGAATGACACGATGTTTTATACAAGCATTTAAGTTGGTTGCACGATCATATGAACCATAATTCTAGTCATTTAAACGCATAATTCAACACAACCTACTTTCATTCACGAGCCCTTGCACTCACAAGTCGCGAAATTAGGACAGTAAGAGCACCAAAATAGTAAATGGGGTAGTTAAACCTGTTCACCTAAGGCAGCTGTAGTGTATTGACTTATGATCGTGGACCTGAAGAGAAGAAAATGCGTTTGGTGGTCTTACTGTACTAGTGAAGTCAAGGATCTTATTGCTTCTGGCTGGTCTGCTTTATTGAACGGTGTGTGGGAATGGTGAATCAGTTGATCAATCAAGCTCAACGATTATTTCACTTGGGTAGTTTAGTGTATTCTTAGTGGGCATTTTCATAATTGTTTTCAATATCCTTAATAGGAATGCACGTGCTCTTTTGGAGGTTTTGGTTCCGAAAATCTTTCAAGCTTATGTCCTGTTATTGGATCCTCTTTGTAATTTTCTTAGTTACATGTCAACCATAGTTGTACGTTTTAGTGAAAGACTTTTACAAAGAATTTATACATACTACAGAAGCGTCCCATCTATCATTAGTGAAACAGAGTATTACTTGAGTTCATTTTGTTTGGATGGAAAAGTCATCGTTGGTGAATATAAACGAAGAGCTATGCATTCATAAAAAGCAGAAATGATCATATCAAATATCATATCAAATAAGTTGTTCAAAAAAAAAAGTTGTTGTTCAAAAAAAAAAGATCATATCAAATATTATCTATTTTGCCTGAACCTGCCTTGATACTCTTTTATAGAAGCAGATCCTTTGTATTAGTACAGTCAACATGCCTTATTCTTCCCATTCTTTTCCATGTCCTAACTGGTTCTCTGGACTGTTGTAAAAAGTTATTGGATTGCTAAGTTTTTTTTAGTAAAGTGTCATTGTATTTAGTTCTGCATATGATCAATCTCGATACTTGCACTTGAGTATGCTATTCTTAATATGTTTGGGTTTGAAGAAGCATTATTTCTTTCAAACTCAACGATATTAAGGGTCTTCAGTAGGCAAATTTAGTTTTTTTTGTTGTTGTTGAAACATGACTATCACTATCGGACTGAAAAAAGAAAGGTTAAGTCACCACTTGGTACTTATTGAGTTCACTTTAAGAAATATCATTCATGAAACAAAACTGAGTTTGGAGATGTTTTTTTGGATGTAGAATGCTGAGAGAACTTTCTGTGCAGGTTTAGTAATCATGGGGCACAAACATTTTCCTGGTTCATCCCAATTTTTTTACGATGAACATGATCAAGGCTGGAATCATATACACCCAGAGCATCCATATACGAATTCAGGTAATTAGTACTCCATTTCTATACATTATTGATCTGTTTCCGAGTAACAGAAATCAATCTTTCAATAGTGTTCTCCATCGATAGACATTGGTATTCAGAATTTGTAACAGCTATTGGGTTGTTGATGCATGTTTATCTTTAGGTTAAGAGGTTCCATGTGCTTATCACCTGTGGGTGTAGATTGGGTTTCACTAGGCAAAACTTGAATCTTGATAAGTGGAAACTCTCGGCTAGTGAGAATTAGGAGGCAACATTTTATAACCATCACCAATGCACTCGACTTTTTCCTGTGCAACGTGTCAAGAATTTCTGATTATTACTATTTTCCCCACATTTTCTCAGCAAGATCTAGGGCCAGTGAGAACAGATCGCATGTTTATCCAGCAGAAATGCCAGTTTCTTCACATTGGAACTCTTCTTCAGGACCAAATGTTTATACTGCCTCAGGTCACAGTGTGGAGAGACCACACTACAATCCGGGGGCTCCGGGCCCATCCCATGATCCTTTTGTCAGTTCAACAGTTGCAACTTTCTCAACTCCACATGAGAGTTATGTCACATTTGCATCTTCTTCAAACTGCAATATCCAGACATGGTCAAATTCTAGTTACATTGATCCATCTAAGAGGATTATAATGGCCACTGAGCCTTATCCTTCTAGGCATCTAAGGGCACCACCACACATTTCATGGCGTAACGGTGATCGCACAGGGAGTCGTAGGAATTCCTATGAGAGATTTCAGCCTCCTTTCGATGAAGCTGCTCTCCACGTACGATTTTCATCTGAGGTATAGCTTTTTTACTTGCAGAGGCATCTAAATATTTCCTAATAACTTAGACTTTGAAGCTTAAGCCAATGTGCTATAGTCCATATATATCGAGTATACTGCTGCATACTGAACCGTTTTTACTTTTATGTGGGTATTAAAAAAAACAGGGATTTATGGTTGTGGATCACCAACAACACTACGGATCCAGAAATATGCTTGATCACCACAGAGACTTGAGGCTGGACATCGATGACATGACTTACGAGGTTACTTACTGAAAAAACATTTGGTTTTTGTTTTGTTTTAAAGCTTCACATAGCCAAAAGTTTTGTAACTGATAGTATCTTTGAATGATTAATTGGCACTATGCATGAACTTCTTGCTCTTGGAGAAAGGATTGGGAATGTCAACACCAGTCTATCAAACAAAGCTATCTCCAGTTGCTTGTTAGAGACAATGTATTACCCGTTGTATCAAACGGAGGAGCAAAGCAAATGCGCAATATCCTGGTAAGATTTGCTGGTTCTGAAACATTTAATTAATGATATATAAAGTTAGAAATAGTCTAATGGTGGTTGTGTGGTAATTAGGAGGAGTACAAGGAAAGAGAAGAATTAGGGAAAGTGAAAGGGTGTGGTCATGACTACCATGAAGGTTGCATCAAGAAATGGCTTTTTATGAAAAACTCTTGTCCTATTTGCAAATCCCCTGCTTTGCCTGACGCTTCTAAGAACCCATAATTTAGCTGCATGTTATATATTCATTTGTCTTTCTTTTAAAGGGAAAATATGTGATAGAATAATAACATTAAACTGTCCTAGTAATAGTTGTAAATATAAAGAAGTCCATGATTTTATGAAGTGTTTGAATATATATGTTACTAGTATTCTGCCCGGTGCTATGCACCGAAAAAATTATTTAATTTTATTGTATTTCTTCAACCAAATAGTAGTTTTAGCACAATTGATTTTTTTGTAAGGGAGATAATAAAGTGTTTCAATCCATAAATACCTTTCCAAGAAAACTACAACACATTCTATACAAAGAAGAAGAGTTAAAAATCTGATACACCTAATCTCTTTTAATTGTAAAATGACAAAAGTTTAGATTGTAGAAAACTAAATAAAACCTTTCATGCATCAAGTCATCAACGCAAACATCAACTAATTAAGGCTTAATGCTGAAAGGAAACTTAGAAATAGAAAATAACATAACAATATATGGATTGAGCAACGATAAAAACTTGGGTGGTATGGTATTGATCCAAAGATAAAAACTTGAGTTCACGTGAAAAAAAGGAAACATTTACAACTTTTTCGGTGATGAAATGAACATACAATAAATAGAAAAAGATGCACAGTAAAAAATCAAGAAGAGGAAATAGCAGAATATTGATGGTGAAAAGGTAAACTGTTTAAAGAGACAAAGAACAAATTATGATTTGATATAACTCGGGCAAAACTTCTCTTTTTTACGGTAGTTCCGAGTTGGGTATATCGCTGTCATGATAATGAAAGACCATTTTCGTTCATGACCTGCAGACAAATCAATAAACCACGTTATCAAAAGAAAACCACCAAGGTAATCTCAACCCTTGAACTGGGAAACGAAGACCAGCTAACGATACTCAAGACTACAAAAAAAACAGACTTTTGTATTTAGGGCAAAAAATTGTTTTCTTGGTAGTATCACAATAATAGAAAGAAGAAGAACTTGTACTGATATGTTTTTAAAGCTTTCTGCAACAGCTTAATTCAAATCCCAAAGATCAAAAATGCGAAACACCAACGATTAAAATTGTCACAGGAAAAGAAAGCAGGAAATGTAGAATACCATTCGTTTAGAAATAGAGAAAGTTTGATGAGCCCTTGCGTTGTTCTATAATCGTGTGTTGATAGTTTCCAAGAACCTAAAAAACAAAAAAAAACACATCGTCAAACTTATTTTGACATGATTTTCATTTGCACACCAATTTAAGTGATCTGATCTGTATGAACTCAGCATAAAACCAAAATAAATTGTAACATTAAAACAAAGTATATATATGGGTATTAGATAAAATGGAGCTTTAATATTTTGAATTTGACCCAAATAAGGTTTTGTGTCTCCAATTTGATCAAAATTGATTGCAGTAATGGTTAAAAAACATATATATATCTATATAAGAAAAGTACCATACCAATGAAAACATCATCAACATTAGCTTAACGATTGTGAGTTTGCGGTTCCCTGGTAATCGTCAAAACTTCAAAATTCGTGATATCACGACAATGATCCTTCTTTCAATTCTTTTTTGAACTTTTTAACCAAACTCTGTTTTACAGAGGTTTGAATCATATCTTCCTGTCACATAAACCATTGTAATCGAAGATTAGATTTGTAAACAAAAGAAAAGCATACTATAACAAATCAAGCCATCGATATACTCGTGGGTACCTTTTTGCATAAACGCCAGAACTCATAGTTGACTTCCACGAAGATGACTTCCAAGATATATAAACCCTGCAAAATTAAAAGAAAAACGGTTACTAAACCAAAGTTAAAAGAACCTCTGGCGAAGGATAGAACACACTAAAACAGTTTGGTAAAAATAGAATTAGAGGAGAGCTCATATGAAGTTGGAAGATGATTACCTTGACGTGGAATAAAGTCAGGTTTATCTTGTTGATGAAAACCCCAAATTCGAGACATCAAGGCCATGATTAACCTAAGACATGTTGACAGAATCAAACAGTAGGTAAATGAGATAAAGCACTGAAATGAGTATGAAATAAGATGCCTAAGTAACTTGTGAAACTGAGAAATAGAGATAAACAGAATTAGAGATCAAAGCCACAAAATTTTAGTGATGAATCTGAGAAAATGTAATATGAATCCAGAAATTTCTGGTCATATGGAATATGAGACTGATTTAAGAAATCGAAGAGATGAGAGAAAAAAGGATTCAATGGTGGTGAGATTCGAGTAACTCACAAGGGAAGTAGAGTTTTGCTGAAGGATCAAGCTTCAATCGGCGTTTAACTGGAAGACGTGATCTCACGACATATGACATTCGTCGCGGCGGGTTGATGATGGTTTTGACCCAATCCTTCGACGACAGGAGGTCCGTTATAGCCAAAATGGCGAGATTGGTGAGTAGCCATGGAAGAGGAGGAGGGAGAGCTAAGCTAGCTTGACCATTGGAGTTTCGCAAGGGAAGGCTTGAATAACCCCCAACGTCGACCATCGGAATCCGACTTTTCCTCCGTCAAAGCCCAGAAAATTAATCTGATTTGTAAAGGAGGAAGATGAATTTGGAGATTAAGAAAAATAAAAACACAGAGGGTGGTTTCGTTTGTCTCTGCAGATGTGAGAGATTCATGGTAAAAGTGGGTTTTCGAGTTTAAAGATCGTGTGGTGAAATGATAGCGGTTTCGAGATCGTGTTCTCGTGGAGGAGAAAAAGAAATTTCGGGAAAAAAAAGGAAAATAAAAACATGGAAAAAACCATCGAAAACAAAATAAATAAGAAAACAAATTCCAATGACACGTGTCATTCATATAAGCCATGAGGTAACTTCTGTTTTATTGGTATTAGATTGGAAGAAAAAGAAAGAAAGAAAAGACTCTTTGGAAAATCTGGATTTGTTGTAGATGTTACAGTCTTACAGACTTACAGCTGACAACAACAACACACTAGAATTAAACGAAGACCATATACAGGTTACAGTAACTGGTGTTCAAAGAGGAATGAGATTTTCTAATATAGTCATTATAGAGGTAGTGTATACTAGTATTTGAATTTTCACTTGGGGGATTCGTGAATATTCTTGACCGGTCCTATAGGCCACAATACATTAATCATTTTTCTGGCATAACTGCATTAGTGGCTCGTGATAGTGATCATATGATATCGCGTGATATTTATTATCTTCCTCGTATTAAAGTACTCTCTCTCTCTCTCTCTCCACATTTCCTCTATGCTCACTCCGTAATAATTTCATGTAGTTAGTAGTTTCATGGCACTCGCTCTATACCATCTGCTTGTGTGTCATCATGCATGTTCAAACATCGATTAACCACAATTTGCAACACGGGACTATGTTGTTGATATAAGACAATTTGTAAATATGTTATAGAACTAATCGGCTTGATTTTGAAATCACAAACTGAACTAACCACACGTTTGGACATCTAAAGAGAAAAATATACTAGTATTTATTAGTGAAAAGAGGAACGATGCTCATAAGCATCTAGAAAAAAAACACAAATACTTTTAGATGTAGAAAAAAATGGAAAAAGAATCATTACATAATGAAGAAGTGAATCCCGTAACAAAGCATTATGTGTGCTGTGTGCAAATGAAATGGATTGGACGGTAAAGACGAGATAGCATTACAGCCGCCATCGGTTACAAACTTACAATATAATAAAGAAAGTGGGAATTGGTTTTATTAGTGGTTTGCAAATGCAATTGCGCGTGCGATTACGCAAGTGCCTCAATTGTCAAACTTAATGGCTTTCAATTATTCATACACCAATGAATCTTAGAAAAAATACTTCTTGCTTCCGAATCAAGTAAAATATAGGGATAATTATGAAATTCATAACTACATTGATACAAAACAACTCATTACAATATTAATGTAAGAGAAGTTTTGAGGAAAAAAACCTTTAGATTTAGAGTTTTATAATTTCCTAAGTGATATATATGATCATCTATTGTATTATACAATCTTGATAATGACAACATTTTCATTTAAATATGATGAAACCAGAAATTCAGCAGTTTTCAAGGACAATGTTTATTATAGTATCAAATAAATGAGACATCTTTCTTTTTCTATGAAGGCCAAAAATAGATACAACATTTTGATGAGTGATAAGTTCACATGTGAGTTGTGACATATACATAAACATAAAGACCTAAAACATAGTGGCAATCGATCTCAAGCTGCTTAAATAAGCATGATGGGTCTTAATTAAATTTTCAACAACACCCAGCAATAAAGCATTCTAAGCGGTCTGTGCCACACTAAAAGCATACAAAACGAACTCACCAATGTTTTGTTGACTGTGTTTGGATCTAGATATCTCTACTGAATAAAAAACTTACAGTTTAAGACACCAATCCTAATTAATCAAACTATTTTAAATGATCTAATACGCCCTCATTCAAACCTATATAGCATAATCTCTAAGTCTAATGATCTCCCACGGTGGATTAGTCATATTTCGAGTAACTGATCGTTTGAGCAGCTACTTAAAGCATCTTTCAAACTTTTTTTCTTTTTATACTTTTAAAGTTCCTTTTATTTATCTTCTTTCCCCTCCAAAAGAGTTACCATTTAGAGTTATAACCAAAGCAAAAAGAAGATGAATTAATAAACAAAACATAAGAAGGAAAATTACAAATAATAAAGCATAGATGGTACACATGTGAAGCAGAACTTCATGCGTAATGCATAGTGGGAGGAATATTTGATGAAGAAGAAGCTAATGTTGGAAAAACATCTTTCAAACTTGATTAGTCTTATCCTAATTTACGAATTTAACCATTAAATAACCATCATGATGCAGCCTGGCTCACAAAAACCTTACCTAGTTTGAGACTATACTAATTTATACTCGAGATTAGAACAGTAATTATTTTCTTACAAAAGCATCCATTACCAATTTCAGCGTACAAAAATCCTCTAAATACACCACACGCCAATGTCTCTATCGAGTATCGAAGATCAGATCCTTAACCCAACCCAATTCCCAACAAAACATTTCAATGATTGCTACGTATATTATCAAACTGTACTGTACAGTCTACAAGTTTATCCGAAATATGTTTTGTTTATGGTTATACATATTTGAAATTTAATTTTTGTGCTATTTTAAGTTTTTGTTTAATATACATAAATATTAAATAATTTTTCCATGATGTAGCACAATGGGCCATGCATCTATATATATATTTATGATTAGTCCAATTCTCTCCTTCTACTTTCGTTACAATTACTCTAACACAATTAAAGCAATAAAGTTTTAAAAGTGAGCTAGTGAATCCAATTTGGTAGCGATATTTTTTTAAATTAGTGAATGAACTTATACAATTGAAACCTTATTTTATATAATAGGCTATATATAGTATACCTATAGATTAGCACGGTTGTGGGTTAATAGAGTTAGTTAATCTAGACGTTGATGTGCACTATTCATATTCATCGCAAGCATTATGTAACAAGTTAATAATTCCACTTTTTTTAGTCCGATCAAATCAGTTAATTAGACCGTAATTTATATAATAGCTCTCTTTACTAGCTCTCTTCGTTTTCAATCAAGTGCATGGAACATGAAATTGTTTGAAGATGATATATGTGAAGCTTGAAAAATATAATAGAGGAAAAGGAGGATACTTGAATCGGTTTGACATGTAATAATATAAGGACCAAAACTAAGAATAAAATGCTAAAATAATTTAGTCGTGTATTATTATTCGGATAAAATGGGAAATTGAGTCTCACTGAGTTCACATGTTCAACAACTATTCAGTTCAAGATAGCTAGTGGTTATATTAATAGGCGTTTAGAATAAGAAACCCCCGATAATTACAAAGATCAATAATTAATATGGGCAACCACTATGACTAAGAAATAAAGATACTTAATTATATAATACACGATTAGAGAGGTTCTCAAGTCTCTTGAAATCTCTATATAACCCTACATTGGTACACATAAAGAGACACACCAATCAACAAAGTAGAAAAGATAAGAGAGAGAAAGATGGCCAATGCGAAGATGCCCTTCTGCCTTTTGGCGCTCTTTTGTCTGTTATTACAGTTATTCTCTATCTTCCATATCGGTAAATATTCTTCTTTTCTCCAATCATTTTATGGCCACGCTTCTCTAATCTCTATGCCTCTCGAAACCAAATCAGCCTACATTTATAAGTAGTGATATTTCTCTCTTATAGTAAACTAATTTCCACCGTAAAAATTCAAAAAAAAAATATATTTTTTTTGTTGATATATACAATCGTTAGTAAACACATATTTGTATAAAGAAGACGAATGATTTATAAATTAATAAAATTGTAGGAAATGCGGAACTGGAGATGAATTATTACAGAGAGAGTTGTCCGAAAGCGGAAGAGATAATAAGACAACAAGTGGAGACTCTTTACTACAAACACGGCAACACAGCCGTATCTTGGCTCCGTAATCTCTTCCATGACTGCGTCGTTAAGGTAAAATTAACTAACTCTAACATCTATTCACATGACGTCATCATCACATCACATCACATAAGTTAATTACTCATGTTCATGTGTGTGTTTGTAGTCGTGTGATGCGTCGCTGCTGCTAGAGTCAGTGAAAGGTGTGGAATCTGAGCAGAAATCGACGAGAAGCTTCGGTATGAGGAACTTTAAGTATGTTAAGATCATCAAAGACGCACTCGAGAAAGAATGTCCCAACACAGTCTCTTGCGCCGATATTGTAGCTCTCTCTGCTAGAGACGGTATTGTCATGGTGCGTAGCCATATATTTAAATGCATAATTTAGGTCCTTAATATAATTAGTTTGGAAAAATTTTAATAATCGTGTTGTTAATTTTTTTGGTGGAATGAATAGTTGAAAGGGCCAAAGATAGAGATGATAAAGACAGGAAGGAAAGATAGTAGAGGAAGCTACTTGGGAGATGTTGAGACTTCAATCCCCAACCACAATGACTCTCTCTCTTCTGTTCTCTCAACCTTTAGCTCCATCGGCATCGATGTCGAAGCCACCGTTGCTCTCTTAGGTACCGAGTTTTTCTAATAAGCAAATCTGAGTGAAAAAAATCTTTTAAATGCTAGTAATAACTAATAAGTAATATAATTGCACTATTAGAGATGGATGTAAAAAGTCAAAAATATATTGTTATTGTTTTACTGACCAGTCAATTTTATATTACCGTAGGTGCTCACTCAGTGGGTAGGGTCCACTGCGTTAACCTAGTGCACCGGCTATACCCAACGATTGACCCGACTCTCGACCCAAGTTATGCACTTTACTTAAAGAACCGTTGCCCAAGTCCAAACCCGGACCCGAGCCAGGTCTTGTACTCCCGCAACGACCGTGAGACTCCGATGGTTGTGGACAACATGTATTACCAGGGCATCATGGCTCATAAAGGGCTCCTTGTCATCGATGATGAGCTAGCCACCGATCCAAGGACCTCACCTTTTGTGGCCAAGATGGCTGCGGACAATGGTTACTTCCATGAGCAATTCTCACGCGGTGTTAGGCTCTTGTCCGAGACCAACCCTCTCACCGGTGACCAAGGGGAGGTCAGGAAGGATTGTCGTTATGTGAACTCTAATTGATTATAATGTTGTGAAAGATAATAATCATATATGTATGTATGTTAATCACATTTATATATATGTATGAATATATGTATGCATGTTATTGGTTTGGATTCAATAAAAAGAAATACCAAAACCGTTATGGATCGAGATATGATTAAATCGTCTACAGGTTCGATGGGTATTTTTATTTTTTATATTTTGTCATTCGTACATTCGGGTGTAATTCCAAAACATTAACTACCGATCCAAACTTATTTGAATTCTAGTACTACCAAACATAACGCACAACGATTAGATTTAAAATCATCTAAAACTAGATCATAAATTTGTATGATATATAAATACATACTTTGTTAAGAACTCAATATCGAAAGTTTGAAGGGATATAGTGTATGGTAAAATATAAGAGATATGTGTTAAGTGGTCATTACTGATAGATTTTGAGGTAAAAATGTAACATAGTATCATAGTTGGGTTAGAATGAAATGAAATGTGGATTTGACATTGAATGTAAAAACTAAAAAAAAAAAAATATGCTAGAAAACTCATGTAATGAGAGATTTCAAGTAATATATAAGAGATATAGATGAATTAACTAATTAACCGTATACTAATTTTTTGGAGTTCCAGTTTTAAAAATTTAACATATTTTCTGTCTACGATATCAAGCTTGTTTCCATTTACGTTCACAAGAAAATAGACTAGAGGTCTTGAGGGAAATTGATAAGCTAATGTTATCAACTAGTTGACTTGACTCCAAGCCATCATGATCGTGTTTGTTTAGTACTGAGATGCCAAACGAGTTGGGTACTTCTCCATGTGTCTCATTTGACTCTTTGACAATTATTTTTTCCTTTGCAATCATTTGGATTATTATAAGAGTTTTGGAGAATGTTAAAAAAATAAAAAAATATCTGCGAATAATTTGGTCAGTCCCGTTTGGTGTCTAATTAATTGACCTATCTTATATATAATAGGAGAGTTGCTCTCTCCATCTAGGCTATCCACATCAGCAAAAAATTCATTAAATTGTTTTTAAGATATTTAATACATGACTATTCATATTTCTTTACATATATTTATATTTTAAATATAAATAAAACTAAGAAAAATACACAACTAAATTACTTAATTAATATAAACTATGTGATAATTTGATGTTAAAAGTTATCAAAAAGTTTAAATATAAGTAAAAATATATTTAACTTGAAATGGTATATATTTACCTTTTTATTAAAAGGATTTATCCTATTTCTAAATGTTATAATGTGTTTACAAATTAAAAAGTTGATATAAATTAATTAAAATAATAAAAAACCAATGACAAAGTAGAGTTAGAGTTTGCTTTTTTAAACAAATAGAAGTCGAGTTTTTATATGTAAATTTAATTGCAGTGAAAAACATAATTTTAAGGATTGTGATATGTTTGTTTTAAAATATATTCACTTACAAAACTAACATAATAGAAAATAATCAATGGTCATGAGACTCATATGCTACCACAACAAAGTAGATATGTAAAAAAAATATATTATTTTTTTTCATCTTATTTCGGTGCAAATGCGATTTTACATTATACTTACAAATTTTAACATTGAGTCAAATACATATGCATGTTTATAGTCTAACAGAAGTAAACAAACATAATATTTATAATATGCTAAAATGTTTGAAATAGAAAACTCGAGATAAAGTGGGGTGTTAACATCCTAATAAAATAAAATAAAAGGACATGCGATGTGAGATAAAGTATAAATAAAACTAAACAGAAAACTATCGCAAACAACCCGCGCTTGCGCGGGGCTTCAAACCTAGTTTAATTATTAATGGCAAATGTACCAATATACAGAATCTTGACATTTATCGATCATATATAAACTCATGTGTATATTAAAAACCAATTCAAAGAAGTTATATCACATGGAAAGTAAACTCACGGAGACAAATTAATCACTAGTTTAGTCCAATTATACCAATGGATCTAGTGATTAATACGAGATAATGCGTATTATATGAATGAATCTTGAATAATAAAACTATACCATAGTTGCTATGATGAATCTTGGTACGTGAAAATCCAGCTATGGCTAATGTAGTGTTCAACGGAGACTTCTCTTGGTAAGCTTACATGGAAGTGTGACTACATTAAATGCAATCACACTATCTTTGTATACGAGCCAAAACGGTTTGGGTAGGCCAGGCAGAGTCCATTTTAACCGGGCCTAAACGGACTAAAAATCCACATTAACATCTACGGGGAGATTAAGAGTTAAGACAACAACAAAAACAAAAAGCATGTACGTACATTGGCATACAAAAGAAGTCAAATAATTTGCACGCGACCGCTTTGGCAGGTAATCTAAATATTTGAAATATTAATAAGTAAATAAAGGCCCACATTTACTTCCGTATGACTTTAGTACTGTATTAGTTTACCTGCTAAAATCCTAGCAGTTTGTAATCCACATTTTTGTCTTTTGTCTTAATCTCCGAAACGTTCTTTGCCGCATTGTATCTCACAGATTTTGGGTCGGAGCCATCATGAGCAGTGAAGGTTCAGCCGGAAAGGTACGTCTCCGCGTTTCAAATTTACTTAATTTCGATGAAATCGAGTTGGTTTCTTCCTTGATCCATTAAAATGGTTATCATTGTTGGATCTATTAGAGCCTAGCTGCTGTATCATACATATTCTATCGAAGGAGATTAGTAATTTCGCTGTTGTCGCTTGTGGTATTAATGGTCTTGATCTTGATGATCCCATTCGCATGCATTGTTTATTTTTTTAACATGATCTGGAATTTTTCATTTTTACATGCCAATGTGGTATATATACACACGTTTTGCTTCTCTGAATCACGCACAAATATTCAATAAGAGTTGGTCATAATTGGCCTCTAAAGACTAAAGTTGAAGAATCATCTGAGGAAAATCACATTTTTAAGAGACTGATTGTGATATTTTCGATATTTTGGTTTGAACTTTTGCATACATTGTTGTGTGAATCAACAGGCGGCTGCTGAAGCCAAAGGATTGAATCCGGGATTGATGTTGGAGGTCTTCTTGTGACATTCCTTATAGCTGATTACGTTATGTACATGCATGCTCAGAAGAATCTACCCCCAAAGAAGAAGAAGCCCATCTCCAAAAAGAAGCTCAAGCAGGGAGTCCCCGTGCCCGGTGAATAGATTCCAACTTCTTCTTCAGCTCTCATGAGAATGTCAATTGAAACTTTTGTACGGTTTAACACTGAGAGTAAAAAAAAAAGTCTTCTTTTGCCTGTGGTTACTAGAGTTCAAGATTTAAATCTCAACTTTCGTTTAGAAACAACTGAACATTACAAACCATATCAAAACAAGTGCGTAGCAATAAAGATATACATATACATATGTTTGTATGCGAGGGTTTAAAAGCAAAGACATCCGACAAATTACAACCATAGAAGCGTTTATTCAAAAAAAAAACGAAAGCAAAAAGTATCATCATGGTTCGAGAGGTTTAACACAACACTTGTTACAACCAACGCCGTTGTATACAAATTGTAACAAGTTGCTATTTAGACGACTCAAAAGCAAAAAGCTTTCACTTACGACCCATGGTTTGCTCTCTGGGTGGGAGCACGACGACAGTGGACTGAGCATTGAAACCAGGGTGAAGAACCTTCCTTCGGATCTCACGTCCTTCTTGGCAAAGCGCACATGTATGGCAAAGCACATGCGTCACAAAGTCACAAGTCGTCTCCATATGTTCCCTCTGCATCTCGTCCTCTATGCAGCTTCCGCAGCAACCACACGACCTGTTCATCGCCTCAAAGCTTCCCTGTTTTAACACAAAAGTAACCGAAAGATGAAAACAATCTTTTTTTCCCCCAAATTGACATCTCTATTAAGAAGATGAAGGCAACAGAATCGTTACCTCGAGGTTAAACTTGCGGCGAATAGCAGAGCGGCTGGAATAAGAGAACCATGGAGCAAGACAGTTCCAGCCAAAGAGAGAATTGCCAACAAAGTACAATCCCAAATACGTCAAGCAATGGTTTGAAAACGTTCCCGGAGCAGATCCAAGCCTCTCTGCATTAGTTCCATACAGCACACAAGGAGCCACACTTCCAAGCAGACCTACGAAGCAAACCCATCTTATTATCTCATCAAGCCAACAAAAAAGCAGAGCACATAACACATTTTTCATAAACATTAGATCTGAAGTTTTGACTCTTCAACAACCCAACCAAATCCAGAAATCAAATTCCAATTCAATCAATCAATATCGTTCAAAATCAACATATCAATTCCAAATTCCCCCAATTTCGGAAACCGATTGTAGAAATCAAACGAGATACTCACAAACTTCGAGATCGCTGCTGCAGAATTCATCATTTCGGCCGAGGCAAGAGAATAGACCGGAGTTCCACTGGTTTCTCCCGATCGGCTCGCCGATCACGCTCCCGTGGCTCACCGGCAGTCCATCCGCCGTCCAGCCGTATTCCTCCGCCGCGGGAGGAGACTCAATCGACGCCGCCTTGGCCTCCGCTTTCGAGCAGATCTTGGTGTCGTTCGCCTTTAAGAGAGGGCTCGATTCCTCATGGTTGTCGCCTCGTTGAGCTTCGCGGCTGTCTTCTCCCGCCATGTTTTGATAGAGAAATTTACGGTAGATCCTCTAGAACAAACGATCTCTCTCTCTCTTTGATCTAAAGGAAGAATTGAAGAAAGATGGGTATAGAAGAAGAAGAGAGAGACTAAACAAAAATTTAATTTATTTATTGGGCGTCCCGTACGCGTTAAGGAATTGAATTAAGATAGGGATAGTCAAAGACAGACACCTTAAAATTTAATTGTTCAAAAACAAATTGATCTTGTTAGGCCCAAGGCCCAAAGGCCCACGAGGATGGTCTTGTGAGCAAATTAATAAACAGTGTATGGTTTTGTGATTATTAATCCCAAAAAAAATAACAAAATAATTTCCATGTATTTGGGCAAAATGTGTCTTAAAGATCAAATGTTCTAATAGCATAACCCAAAATGAATCTATGATCTTTTTTTTAAGTAGTGTACGAACGAACTTGTTTGTTTACATTTTTTTGTCAACTTGTTTGTTTACTTACATGTTAGTATGTTACAGAAAGGACAATAGAAAAATGGAAAAATTTACATCACCAAGGAAACACAAGATTCTCTAGGGGAAAATAATTTTTTTTAAGCTCTAAATTTCAGCGAAACTTTCCAAAGTTAAAATCCAACAAAGAATATAGTAGTATTCGTATCAATTTAAATAAATGTTCTCGAGAAAATACAATGGTCAGAAAAAAAAAATGATAAAACCCATTACGTAAATCCCAACCTTCGGTTCTCGGGAATGAGTTTCTCTCCTATACTCGCAGGCTCCGATTTGCAGCGCGTGAGTACCAGACGCCGTCGTGATGGAGATCCCAAAATGCTCCCGTTTGCTTCTTCACTCGCCACCGAGTCTCTACCGGAGTCCTCCAATCTCTCTGTTTCCGTAACGCTCGAAACCGACACATTTTCCGGTGAGGCGTTGACATTATCAGCTTCTTGTCGTCGAAAACGAGGGTCCTTTGTCACTTCTTCTTCCCAGAAGTTATTAGCCAATGAAGGGGATCTATTATACGGTGCAGATCTGCATCGAGTTAATAACAGAGCGTTTCTCGGCGGCGTAGCTGCGAAAGATTTATCAGAATCTGCTTCTCCTTCTTCGTCTTCTTCATCTTCTTCTCTGCGAAACTCTTCCCGTTCTTCTGGCTCCACCGTGGAGCGGCCGAAGATAGGCTCACTCCTCGACGAGCTTGATCTCTTCTCTGATTTTTTCGAGAAGCTAACATTAGAAAACGATTTCCATTTGCGCCACACAGGATTAAAGCAAGTCGGTTTGAGTTTCCCGGAGAAAGAATGGCAGGAGAAAGCGCTCTTCACCCACCCGCCGCACCGACGTCGACGACGCTGGCGGCTTTCATTTCCACCTTCGGCGACCCGACCCGTTCCGGGTTTGGGTTTCTTTGACCGGTTTATCCTTACTTGACCCATGCAAGTGACTTTAGGTGAAGACGGCTCCTGCGTCTCCGCCGTGGCCGCTGAGTTCTTTCGCCGGAAAAAGATAGGTCTCTTTCGTGACCGGGAACGGCTTCTGCTTCTTCTGCTTCTGCTTCTGCTGCCGGTGTTGGTCCGCAAGAACCGCATAAGCAGAGCCGGGTTTTCGGTTCGACCCGGACTAGAAACGGGTCTTGAAGAAAACCTCATCTTTGAGTACTGAATATTTTTTGAAGCTCTCACTCTATTTTGGTTTTCTCTTCTCTGGTCCCTATATGATTCAGATCGAAGGCTGCTTTTTTTTTATATAAATTTTTAATATATATGTTCTGCTATGTTCACACGTTGGGTTCAGAGATATTGACGGTTGAGATCTTTTCTACAAGAGGCCATCGACAGTTCTGGTCGTCTGATCCTTTTTTCAAGGAGAGTTTAATGTAAAAAATGTTGTACTTTTTGTCTGTATGCTCTCTAGTTGTTTTGTTTAAGATCCTCTTGCTTGGATTCACTTTTCGGGACATCTTGCTTTCTGCTTGAAACCTATAAAAAGTTATTGATCTGACACACACTTACGAAAACTGAACGGTGTTTTCATTTCCTTGTTCAGTACTTCAGGCCTCGAATGGTTCATAAACCAAACTATCAGTTTAATTGAAGACTACTTCCACTAAGATTTGAGTTTGCCATCGATCCGGCGATAATGTTATGTTGGCACCTAAACTTTTTGGTATAAGTAGCTAGTGATGCTCTATTTGTCAACTATCTTGACCTTGTGCTACTTACACAAAACTAAAAGAAAATGACTACATGCCCCTATCGACAAAATCAAGCCCAAGATCTCCTCATGGACGTCCGTAATCTGTCCTTCGATGATTACAAGTTATTCACTCGATTCTCTCTAATTTTTTTTTTTTTTAATTTAGTAATTAATTTGTTCCATTAGTAAAATTAGTAATTATTACTTTATTAGCTGTTGATATTCCATTACCTAAAAGCTAAAATCTGTTTCATTAAAGACTATACAACTTAGTAATATAAGGTATGGAGCGTCTGTTTGATACAATAGTATCTTACGAACTATCATATTAAAGCTTGAAATTTAAGAAAAATTGTAAAAAGCTTGAATGAAATTTTCAGAAAAAAAAAGAAGTAAAATTAATTAATTATTTATAACATGCGTATTTCCATCTACTATGCTATTTCTTTAATGTTTTATACAAAGATATGACAAACAGTTAGACTTAACTGTTAATTTGCCATTGCAAAAAATAAATAAAAAAGAGAAAATGATGCTCCTAACTTCAACTCTGGCTCTCGACGGATCCTCATTAGATTCGATTGAGATCCCGACATCGAACAACAAGTCGAATACGAAGCAATTCTAGCTGGACTATGTTTGGCAAAGGGAATCGAAATTCGCCATATTGTGATTCACAGCTCGTCGTAAATCAGTTAAGTGGAAAATACGAAACAAAAAATGACTGCATGGATGCTTATATGAAGGTCGTCAGGTGAAGGAGTTCGAGACCTTCACTAACTTGGGTTTGGCGAATGTCCAGATTTTATTAAATATAACAATTTACAAGATAAATGAAGATTTTTTTATTTATCAATTTATTTGGTATTTATATATATTCTCATCATATATTTATATCATTTTTCGTGGACAATTTTCACCGAAAAATGGTCATATTCTCTTCCACTATTTGTGTTAGTCCTTTTGTCTTCTTTTTAACGTATGTCGTATTTGCATAATCTTTTTAAGTTAGTAAGTTTTTCTGGATTTGTTTTTAAATTGTTGAATAAACATGAAACTCAAGTATTCAAGGTATTGAATAATTTTGTAAGAAACAAAACTAGAAAATTTATTTTCCGTTAGTAATGTATTATTGTTATATTCGTAATTTACATTTTGCTTTTTCAACATCAAATTTCATTAATAATTTGCATTATTTTGATTATATACTTAGAAATACAATTAAAAATGGCTAAAAACTTTCTAATATACTAATATCTTAATATAAGGTCTCGAGCTTGTGACTAAACATCCAAGACAATAGTATCTTACGTACGATACCATATTGCCAACTAAAGAAAAGTGGAGGTTTGGTTTCGTGCCTGGTTAGAGATTGGAATCACGTTCTAGTACTTCAATATAGTTGGTTCTTATTTCAAAAGTTTGTTCACTACTATTATAGTGATGCAAAGAGATATTTAGAAATATTCTAACTATTTATATTATTTTGGTAATTTCCTATTATTGTTTTAGAGTTTTCTTGTTTTGAGATTTATTATAAATAAGCCGTCTAGGCCTCCTTTTGTATGAAGTTGTTGATTAATTATTAATAAAAGAGCTTAGGCTTTGAGAGAAGACTATTCTCTATCCTTATTTTTGGTAGATTTAGAGAGATCTCAACGAGTTCAAGAAGCAGGTCCCAAGAATTCTATTGAATTCTTTGGTTGAGTTGGCAGGTCCCGATTGATTCCTTTGAATCATAGGTTGAGCTGTGTTTATCTTAGCTTCCGCTACATCAGTTGGTATCAGAGCCAGCACTTTGATTTCTCAAACAAGGTTCGATTCTGCTTTGATTATCATGTTGTTTGGGAGTTTTTGTTCCACAGATCTATTTGTTCCAAGTGAAGATTTCTCTGAAAATTTTAGAGAGATTGTTGGAGATCCAATTTTTGATATTTATGTTGATGAAGGTTTTATTCAAAAACAAAAAGACGAAGCCTTATGTGATGTTCTCTTAGAGAAGAAGAATAGTTTAAGTCTTATTATAGATGATCAAAGTGTCTTCCTTTCATCGGAGGAAAGCTACGACTTATATAAACATGTCAACAACGACGATTGTGTGGAGAAAAGAGGAATAAGGGTTTCTAGTCTGGAGCATGGAATGTTTTCAAAGAAAGGCTACAAAAAAGAAAGGATATTATAAAATAATTTTAGTGGACAGAGTTTTGGAAACGAAGATCACGGCTAAGAGATTCGAGGGTGAATCTTCTCCAACCCGGAGAGAATGATGCAGAGAGATATTTAGAAATATTCTAATTATTTATATTATTATTTTGGTAATTTCCTATTATTGTTTTAGAGTTTTCTAGTTTTGAGATTTATTATAAATAAGGCGTCTAGGCCTCCTTTTGTATGAAGTTGTTGATTATTAATAAAAGAGCTTAGGCTTTGAGAGAAGAGTATTCTCTATCCTTGTTTTCGGTAGATCTAGAGAGATCTCAACGAGTTCAAGAAGCAGGTCCCAAGCGAGAATTCTATTGAATTCCTTGGTTGAACTGGCAGGTCCCGATTGATTCCTTTGAATCATAGGTTGAGTTGTGTTTATTTTAGCTTCCGCTACATCATATAGTCTATGGATCCTTGGGCACAATGGATCTGATCCAGCACTATAGCTTGTGGGGAAGCTTCATTCTCAACATTTGGTTTTGTAAAAGACTCATGAAAATTCAGCACTTGTGCCACCTTGCTAACCTATTCTTCAAATGGAAAGTTGAAGTTGGTTTGATTCATAGATTTCACTTAGTATCTTATCTGGTATCTTTGGCTTGAATGCCACTCCAAAATATTATACAAAATCAAGTGTTACTGTATTACTTAAGTTTATTGGAATTGGCCCAATGCATGCCGTGTGATACAAACAATAATATAGCCAAATAGTCCACTTATAAAATGATGTAATCTCTGGTGAAGAACCAATATTGTGATTCTAATCGATATGAGAATATAAGTGAGGTCAAAGTTTTATCTCTCAAGCATATAATAGTAGTTGATATAGAAATTTGTGTTCGCTCCTAATTTATAATTCAACCCTATTTACTGCTCCCTTCACCCACCGCCAAATATTTATATCCTACAAACTGAAAAGTTCCCATTTTGATTAGTAACATTTCCGATGATTGAAGTGAAGGGTACAAAGCTTTACTTTTGGTTTAAAAATCAGAATAAGTAGCATTAAGATTCATTAGTAAGCAAAGTTTTATTTTAATATATTTGCTATTACTCTATTAGGAATGATTTTCTTTTGTTTCCCGAACATGTTTCAGTTAATGTGTTCCAATCCCAACAACTGGTTGTTACAGAAGACAACCAACACAAGCAATCATCAAACAGCATGATACTCTCGCCGTAGCTCACCAGTTTCAATCACACACCAAAAATACAAAGACAAAAAACTACACAATTGTCCTAAAATTCTTATATATCACAAATCTTCACACAAATGTTCTTCCCAAAAAGAAAAATAGAAACTCACTCAAGAAACCTTCTTCCTTACACATAATCCTGATGGGAGGATCAAAGAAGAAAACTCAAGTATGGAAGAAAGCTGTGATCCATTTCTCTCTTTGTTTTGTAATGGGTTTCTTCACTGGCTTTGCTCCTGCTGGTAAGGCCTCATTTTTCTCTAATTTCGGTACCACACCCTCTACTTCTACCAAATCGCAGATTCCTCCCCAACCTTTAGAAAACTCTACATACACACCAAATCCTCTAGTAGATAAAGCCATGCTCACTTCCCAAGGCCAAGCACCAGCTCCTGCGCAGTCACAAGAAGCCGAACCAGAAACAAAATCTCTCTCCGAGACGGAAGAAGAAGTGACACCAAGAGGTCTAGTGATTGTTGTAACTCCGGTTATGACGGAAGAGCGTTACAAAAACGTTCTTCTTAGGAGAATGGCCAATACTTTGAGGCTAGTCCCGCCTCCGCTATTGTGGATACTCGTGGAGAAACACTCCGATGCTGAAGACGAAAACTCTTCATCTACAGTGTTAAGAAAGACTGGTCTCATGTATAGACGTATAGTCTTCAAGGAGAACTTCACGAGCTTTGAGTCAGAGCTTGACCATCAAAGAAACCTAGCGTTGAGACACATTGAGCATCACAAACTAAGCGGGATAGTCCATTTCGCGGGGCTTAACAATATCTACGATCTTGATTTTTTCGACGAGATTAGAGATATCGAGTATGTACATTAAACAATAGTGTTATGTCTAACTACATTTTCTTTAATCATCAATTATACATAGTTTTTAATCTTTTTATTTTTTTTTGTCTTTTTCAGGGTATTTGGAACTTGGCCAATGGCGTTGCTATCGGCTAATAGAAAAAGAGTGATAGTAGAGGGGCCGGTTTGTGAATCTTCACAAGTGTTGGGGTGGCATTTGAGAAAGATTAATAACGAGACAGAGACAAAGCCTCCGATTCATATCTCAAGCTTTGCTTTCAATAGTTCCATACTTTGGGACCCTGAGAGATGGGGTCGTCCTTCTTCTGTTGAAGGCACAAAACAGGTAAATTAACTTTGGGCTTCAAAGTTTTGTGCCTTCAATTTTATTTCTATAAGATTTGCTTCTTGATTATGAAAAATTAGTGGTTGAAGATAAATTTAATGTGGACGGAGGTTGGTAAGTTAGCACATTTTGGTCATTTAAGTGTTTGTTGCAAAATAGCTAAATTATCCTAACCAATTGATTCCATTAATCATTAAATTAACTAGGCTAATCATACACAGAGCTGGACTTAATACTGTAGAAGTCGAATTACTCTCGTTATAAATATCGTCTTTCACAATTATTTTCTTTTTACAAGTTTTGTTTTCTACTATATTGTTCTGATTTTATTTTATTGCCATGCATAGGATTCGATTAAATATGTGAAACAAGTGGTTTTGGAGGACGATACAAAGTTGAAGGGACTTCCAGCACAAGACTGTTCCAAGATTATGCTTTGGCGTCTCAATTTTCCCACAAGAACACATTTAAGCACCTGATTTGCTTTATTTTATTCTAATCTCCTCCAAATTAGACTTTTCCTTTTGTCGGATTTATACAACACAGAAAAGAAGAACTTGAAGAGAATTAAAGCAGAAAAAAATGCCAAATACTATAGTTGTCAATCTTTGGATTTTGTATATGTCACATGAAACTGAGCTTGAAGAATTTTTGTATGTGTTTATTCAGGGGTTTATTCAGACAAGCTGAAAGTTACATGTATATCGTAGGCCTCTATTTCAAAATTGAGTGGCTATGATAATGTTGGCATATGTCTCTTTATACATTTTACTTTAGATCTAATTGAACTTCATGTGTAAGAACTTTAATTTAAGCAAATCCAAAATATGTATATGAGATATATACTAATACCTCCTATCAAGTTGATGTACATAAATTTCTAACGCCCAAGTTAACCAAAATCATTTCGAAATCTATTCATTCAGAAACTCATAAATATATCAGTCGATTGTGAGTGAGTCGGAATATGTTCGGCAGTAACCATGCAATTGGTGATTTCATCACCTACGAAATAAAAATCGTATGCAATGTGTTTGATACTTTTCGTGAATTATTGCTAATGTTAATCACTACTTAGCTATTGCTGTATAACGAAATTGACTGAAAATGAGAAATTGCTGAAATGTTCTTAAAGCAAGCTACCAAAGTAAAAAAGTAATTTAAGAGACCAGGAAAATAAAACTTGGCATATTCTTATCAGCCAAAATTTGTACAGCCGTGACTTGTTTAGTTGTTGGCTTGAACTTTCTAATCATATGGAATTGATTTAAAAATTAAAGAATAAAGCTATCTAATGATGAGTATAAATCTTCCAAGTAAAGCAACATGTATATTAGTCTAATTAAAACAAGACCGATGCAGAAGTGTTTGGTCATGAACATTCCTGAAGTGTTCATAGGACATGGTCCAACGGTGTCCATATATATGCAAGTATGGATTTGCTAAACTGATAAACAAGATCTTGAAGAACAATTTCTTAGTATGACCCGCTCTTTTATAAATTTATATATTTATGTAACCGTATGTTTTTTTCTAAAAAGATGGTGGGACTCAATTCCAAATCTCGACCAATATCGTAGTAATGTAATGTATTTTTATGGAGAGTATTATTTTGCTATGATTTTTATTTTAAGTTACACAATTATATTGTTGTAGTAATGTAGTTGCACACGTACTAGCCGATATTAATTTATCGGTACAATACTATAATCTAATGACATTTTAAATCATTTTGGCCATTAGATATGGACTGTCAAGGTCAGTAGCGTCAAACAAGCATGTGCACATGGAATAATAGTCCCAATAAAACTCTTTAATGTGAAATGAGGGACATGGACCGACCAAAATTTGGGAATATCAATGTCCATAAATCAAATTACACACAACGACCATAGAGTATCTATATATATAAATAATAAATGTGCAGGTTGCATTTAACTCCCGGTAACCTCTTGCGGTGGCAACTGGGAATTCCTAGGATCCCCGAAAAGAGAAGAGCACTATTGCATGGGCTCCCAAACTATTAACTAGTATAAGTACTTTTTTATACTCCATGAAGTTTAAAACATAATAAGAAGTTACTCCATGGTGTTTTTATTGTGCCTTCAACTTAAATTTTTCGGTTTTAGGAGTCAACTTTCTGTATTTCAACGGCAGTTATATGTGGTTGTTGGGTCAGTGGTAGTCTATTTTGACTTAGCAGTTTGACATTAAGACGAAGTGGATTTCTCTTTCTCATTTTAATGTACACTTTTCTATTGATATCTCTTTCAATGATGTATAATTACTAAAATGTTTAATTTTGATATGCAGAAACATGCTAATGCCTATATTTTGGCTATCTTAATTTTACTAGATCTAAATGAATGTGATAATTGATATGATGCATGCATGCTTTAACAAAAATGATGCATGCATGAAGGAGAGACAGTCTAGGCGAGAACAATGTGACTCAATTAAAACTATATAAAAAACAAATAAAACTGTACTGTGGCTTGAGGGATTAGGTGCATCTTTTGCGGAAAAAAAGGTGAAGGATGGGAATTAAAGTATTGAAAATATATAAAGTATACAGAGAAATGCATGCTTAATCTTCATCTATTCAAACAATAAAGACAATTAAAAAAGAAAAGAAACATTTAGGGGTAGTTGTGACGCATATTACCGTTAGCAACTGGCAATTAAGTAGCAGCACACTCCTAGACCGAACAAGGCACGTGACTCTCTTTCTCTTCAGTCTTCATTTAGTTTTCTATGTTTATTTGACAAGTACGTAATTCTTCAACTTGATGCAATTATCAATCCCACGAGAATTGTATTCTTTCAAAATGAATACATATATAAAGTAATTCTGGAGATGAAGATTAATGGGAAATGTCTTAAAATATTTTCCAACATATTTTGAATGTCACCAAACGAATTTTAAATTTGATTGTATTAGCTACTACTAGTGTCTATAATAGCGTTTAGAGTCTGTTGGATACTTTTTGTTTTTTCTTTCTAATATTATTATTGAGACTTGGGAGTGTCAATGCGTGCAAGTACGTTCCACTTAACTTGTAAGCAGATTTAGCAATCTTTACTTTCAGAATCGGAAAGTGATTGACTGATTGTATCTACATGTCATCAGAAAATATAGTAGTTTGATGATGAGAGGTGCTGGTTTCTTCTAAAGCTTTGCAAAACTGTATTGTTGTTATGTAAGCTTTATCAAATCCAAAAAAGAAGATAGCATTTGCATGCTCTGTTAAATTATGGATTTTTTTTTTTGTTCATTTATTTCTTACGTTTTGCATGTGTATAAAATATATCTTTATCATTCATAATACCAAAAAAACCTCATTGGTTATATCGGATTATCGGTTACATCACCTTTTTTTTTACATTACTTGTTAAAGCAGAAATTAGCACAATTTCCTGAGCCCGTCACAATTAATAATACTATGTAAGCCCGGCCCGTTTCCACTTCCACCTCCTCAAAGAAAAGGAAGTACTTGGAGAAAAAGACTACATCCAAGAAAAATAGAAGGAGATCAACGCCAAAGAAGAATATTTCCAAAAGAAATATGGAAGAATATCTTGAGGAAGCCAACCTCCTCTCCATATAAATAGAAGACCCCCTATTCCTTGAAGACCATTCAGAATCATTCATAATCACCCACAATCACTGAGAGCAAAGAGGCAAAACCCTAGTTATAATTCGTCCTTTGTTCTTAGCTTCTCTATTCTTTTCGTATTCGTCTCGTCAAGTCGTCGAGACGAATCACCCCTTGTATCATCTTTGTCTTTGGTTGATCTAATAAAGAGTCTCTCCTAAACCTCACATCTCTTATCTTACTATTATTGTGTGATTTTGAGATTCAACAATTGGCGCCCACCGTGGGGCTGGAGAAAAAACTCTGAAAAAAGTCAATCAAGGTTCAAAGATGGCACCTCCAGCTGATGATCCCAGCATCAGAACAGGCGGACTGCAAAGTCAACTCGGCGCAGATGGAAACCCCATCGTCCATCCCGTCGAAGTCGACGCGACCAACGGTCACGTCAACCCTCCGCCGCCACCGGTTCCTGACGTAGAAGCTCCCGTCACGACCGCCGCGTTAACCGCCGCCATGCAAGGCTTTGCTGCTCAAATTGCTTCTCAATTCGCCGAGATGCAAGCTCAGCAGCAAAAGTACAACGACAAGATCGACTCCCTCCACGTCACCAGCGACGGACGAGTCATCCCGACGGGACGAACTCTCTTCCAGACGCCGACAAGAAGCACCGCCGCGACTGGCTCCAATGCCGCGACGAATGGTGAGAAAGACACCGACCCGGAAGTGGCCAAGCTGCGCCGCGACCTCGACGCAATCAGCTCCACGACGTATCAGCTCCAAAGTGCACGACGCTATCAGCTCGTCACCCGAGATTGCCAAAATCCTCGCCGAGACGAAAAGGAGTCCTTTCACTCGTCGCATCGCCGCGATACCTCTAAAGGATCAAACGGCTCTCCGTCTTCAGTTCTACAACAATGGCGACGATCCTCGAAACTGGCTAAGAAACTTCGAGATGGCCATGAGAAGGCAAAATATGCCTCCCCCGAAGAACAAGACGCAAACTACTGTCAAGTGTTCATCGAGCACATGAACAAAGACGCGACGAGCTGGTTTTCGAACCTTCCCTGCCGAGACCATCGACAACTTTGATGATCTCAGCACGGCATTCATGAAACACTTTGGCATGTTTATGTCAAAAGGCAGCACCAATCTTTTCACTATGGCACAGGGAAAAGATGAGTCTCTTCGCAAGTTCGTCGAGAGATTCAAAACAGCAGCAGCTGAGCACTCAGACATCCCCGACGATGGGAATCAAGGCTTTCGAAAACGGGCTTTGGTTCGAATCAAAGTTGAAAGAGAGTCTGATGCTCGACGAACCCGCAACCCTCCAGGACGCTTTGCACAGATCCCAAAAATACGTCTGTGTTGAAGAAAGCAAGGCGCACCACTCAAAGATTCATGGAATGACGAAGGATCATCTCGCATGCATCATCTCGTCAAGAGTCATCTCATCAGGAGTCATCTCGTCAAGAGAATAAAAGGAGGCCTCTAAGGAGTCTTTCGACAGGGCAGCGACGAGTCCAAATGGTGCAAACTCCATGGACGAACCGATCATACTACAGAAGAATGTAGGCGCATCAACAGCATGATACTAGAGTACGGCAATACTCCGCAAAGCCACAATGATGCTGAACGCCGCGACGAAAATCGACGAGCTGCAAACCAGCGCCAAAGTAGAAATACGACGCCAAGATCGAAGACGACGACGCCGAGAAGAACGCGCCTGCATCACTCCCTCACCAAGATGATCTGCCTCCGCCGCCGAAACGGCAAGTCCGATAAACATCTCGGCATCAAACCGGTCTCAAGCACGAGACCGAGAAAACGAACTACGAATGGCTTGATCCCGGCATGGGTACGTAGGCAGCCTTTCCAAAGGTTCAGCTATACCCCCAATAAAATTCTATAATCCGTCTGACGAGATGAGCATTGTAAAATTTTATTCACCTCCAAGGCACACGTCGACGTTCTGGCCAAACCTCTCGACAACACCGATCTCGTCATCACACGAGATCGAGCGGTCTCGTCATCACACGAGCCCGAGAAAACACCGATCTTGTCATCCAAGATCGAGCGGTCTCGTCATCACACGAGCCCGATAAAACCGGTCTCGCCAAAGCGCGAATCCGAGAAAAACATACGGACTGATCATCCATGAGGAGTAAGCCGACGCGAAGCCGTCGCGTCCGAACCGATGGGAATGCCTTCAGACTTTGGGGTGAGCCCGAAAGGTCTGAGGTCTGAAGGACGAAATCGAGCGGTCTCGTCATCACACGAGCCCGATAAGACACCGATCTCGTCATCATATACGAAATCGAGCGGTCTCGTCATCACACGAGCCCGATAAGACACCGATCTCGTCATCATATACGAAATCGAGCGGTCTCGTCATCACACGAGCCCGATAAGACACCGATCTCGTCATCATATACGAAATCGAGCGGTCTCGTCATCACACGAGCCCGAAGACACCGATCTCGTCATCATATACGAAATCGAGCGGTCTCATCATCACACGAGCCCGATAAAACCAATCTCGTCGAAGCTCGAATCCGAGAAAAATCGTCACAGCAATCTATTCTCCTTGACGAGACAAAAGAGTCATCTCGTCAAGTCCGAGAGAAATTATCAAAAGCACATTCTATTTGCGGACAAGATTACGTCACTGTACTCTTTTCCCTTCTTATGGTTTTTATCCCATAGGGTTTTTCCATATCAAGGTTTTAACGAGGCAGTACGGATCTAAAGTCAATAACGCAACGCAGCATCACGTCAGCGCAGCATCGCGACAGCATCGGCATCGCGTCGGCATCACATAGTTATTATTAATTGCTCTTGAGCTCCTCTTTTATACATGAAGTTCGCCGAGATTAAATTGCATTTATCTCGCCAAACTGGGGGGGACTTATTGTTAGAGCAGAAATTAGCACAATTTCCTGAGCCCGTCACAATTAATAATACTATGTAAGCCCGGCCCGCTTCCACTTCCACCTCCTCAAAGAAAAGGAAGTACTTGGAGAAAAAGACTACATCCAAGAAAAATAGAAGGAGATCAACGCCAAAGAAGAATATTTCCAAAAGAAATATGGAAGAATATCTTGAGGAAGCCAACCTCCTCTCCATATAAATAGAAGACCCCCTATTCCTTGAAGACCATTCAGAATCATTCATAATCACCCACAATCACTGAGAGCAAAGAGGCAAAACCCTAGTTATAATTCGTCCTTTGTTCTTAGCTTCTCTATTCTTTTCGTATTCGTCTCGTCAAGTCTTATCGTCGAGACGAATCACCCCTTGTATCATCTTTGTCTTTGGTTGATTTAATAAAGAGTCTCTCCTAAACCTCACATCTCTTATCTTACTATTATTGTGTGATTTTGAGATTCAACATTACTTCTGGTAAATAAAAATATAATGAAAAACTTCCAGGACGAACATTTCAAATATGATGAGTAATATTTTTGTATGGTCTATTGCTATTTCTGTATATTGCATTTGTTTTTTTTTTACTTTTTAAATTTACATGAGATCTTAATTGAAAAGCTAGGTATTTAAATTTTTAAATATGAACATCATTCATAGTAGTACTAGTTATGTACTTGCTAGTTACACAAACGAGAGGGTAAATAGAAGAAGGACTATTTTGATATAAACCGAAAGGTGTCGGGGCAAAATCATGATTTCACGGTCGTGTATATTTGTTTGCATAGTCTCTCTCTTTCTTTCTGGATATTAATGTTAACAAATAGACAGTTCACTGGAAAAAGAAAAAGACTTGGGAACCGAGCAGAGTCAGTGAGAGAACAACACTAGGGACAAAGAGAGAGGAAGACGACCATGTCCGAATCTCCATTCGTCTAAAAGCTCTTGGAGTTAGCTTCTGCAAACCTTCCTTTCATTTCTTCTTCCCATTTCCTTACATCTCCGATCTCTCTGTTCTGAAAGCATTTCAGACCCAAAGAGGAAGCTTAAGCCGTACACTGCAGGTGAAGAACATCAAATGCCACTTCTCTCTCTCTGTTCTTCGAATTAGCTTTCAAAATATTTTCTTCTCCAACTGAGTAATTGGGTTAATTGGGTTTTTATCTGTTTCTGTGATGAATTCGAAAGTTTTAATCTTTCCCTTAATTCTCTGGAGGTTTATGCATTATTGAAGCTGAGATTTGGGTTAATTGTTATGCATACTCTCTTCTGAAAATTACACAGCTTTTTCTGAATGGTTGTTAGCTTGAAGGTTCAGCCAAAAACATTTAAAAATAATTTCCAGGAAAAAGCAAAGCGTTTCTGTTGTTTTTAAAGAGTAGTTTATTTTCAAAAAAATGTTCTTGTTTAGGCTTGAATTCAAAATCTTACTTGGTTTTTTCTTTTAAGATCTGTTGTTCCATTTTGGGGAAAATGCACCTAATAAAACCAGAACCCACCGTTAACTAAATGCCATAAAATTCTAATTTCCTCCTCCTAAAGATTCCAAATTTTGAAGACAAAACAAAAACAAAAACTGATGACTTGACAACCACATAATTTACATTTCTTTGCTTGTAAATGGGTTTATCTTTCTGATAAGATTGAAGAATTACATTTGATGGAAACTTCTCCTTTTTATCATTTTCTGTACTTGACTGTGAACAGTTTCTTACTTTGTTTTAATGTTTTGTCTTGTTGCCTTGGTTTGGTGGTAGTGGTAGTTAGTTTCAAATGGAGTCTCTTTGAAGCTAACATATTTGTGTAGCTTAGTTTGTTAGGGTTTATTTTGTACACTTGCTTAAGCTTTGTACTTCCGTTGAGTTTGTTGTATATGCTTATGATATTATCTTATAATACAAGATTTGTGTGTTTCTTGCTTCTTTCTCTCTCTCACACAGATCCTCTCTTTTTGGCAGTTTCTTCTTCAAAAGAGGTTTTGAAACTCTAATCCCAAGCAATGCTGCAGACTCCAAAAAGGTGACAATCCTCACAGTCTTGTCCAAACCTTTCTCTGCTGTGTTTCTTTAAGATCTTTGATGTGGTCATTGGATGTTTCAATGCTTCTTTCGTTTGTTTGATTACGTTTTAACCGGTATTGTGATTATGTTAGGCCGGGATCTTTGGAGGTTCCTCAGAAAAAATCTCCTGCAGCGACTCCAAGAACAGCTCGTAAGCTCAAGACTGCAGAAACAGACCCAGTCTCGTCTCCCAACACAAAAATCAGGACACCTAAAACACAAAGCCCAAAAGTGGTTGCTGATCGTCGTTCTCCAAGAACCCCTATAAATGAGGTACTAGTAGCTATTGCACAATCCTTTTGTTGTTCACACTTTACTGCCTAATGATTTGACTCACACTGGTCTGAGTTTTCCAAGAACTAGTCTGTGTACTTTAGTGCTGCATGAAGTTTGTTTAATTAAACCTTGAAAGTTGTTGAGTTTGGACTCTTTGCAAGAACTTCATTTGATGTTGTTTCTGTATGCAAAGATTCAGAAGAAGCGGACAGGAGGAAGAACACCAGAAGTGGCATCTCAGATTACTCAGCTGCAAGAAGAGCTAAAGAAGGCAAAAGAACAGCTAACCGCTACAGAAGCATTAAAGAAGAAAGCTCAAGATGAGGCAGAAGAGACAAAGCAGCAGTTGATGGAGATCAATACCTCTGAGGATTCAAGAATCGACGAGCTTCGCAACCTCTCTCAAGAACGAGACAAAGCGTGGCAATCCGAGCTCGAAGCAATGCAGAGACAGCACGCCATGGACTCAGCTGCTCTAGCTTCTGCAATGAACGAAGTCCAGAAGCTGAAAGCGCAGCTCTCTGAATCCGAGTCAGTTGAGAGCTTGAGGATGGAACTCAACGAGACTCAGTCTCTTGTCGAGGAACTAAGAGGAGAGCTGTTTGATGCAAAAGAAGGAGAAGCACGAGCGCATGAGATCGTTTCAGGGACTGAGAAGCAGTTAGAGATTGCGAATCTGACGCTTGAGATGTTACGTTCTGATGGGATGAAGATGTCTGAAGCTTGTAACTCACTAACAACAGAGCTAGAGCAGTCCAAATCCGAGGTGAAGTCGTTAGAGCAGCTTGTGAGACAGCTTGAAGAAGAAGATGAAGCTAGAGAGAACAACAATGGAGGAGGAGACTCATCATCATCAGTGGAAGAGCTGAAAGAAGAGATAAATGCTGCGAGGCAAGAGATTAGCCAGCTGAAATCTGCAGTGGAAGTTACTGAGAGAAGGTATCATGAAGAGTATATACAGAGCACGTTGCAGATAAGAAGTGCTTATGAACAAGTGGAGACGGTGAAATCTGGATATGCGCAGAGAGAAGCTGAGTTAGGGGAAGAGGTGAAGAGAATCACAGCTGAGAGAGACGCTTTGCATGAGAGATTGATGGATAAAGAAGCTAAGCTGAGGATACTAGTTGATGAGAACGAGTTACTGAACTTGAAAATCAAAGAAGCAGAAGAAGAGAACAGCTTGAACCAGAGAGAGCACGAGGTTAACGGCGAAATCAAGAAGCTTGAATCTGATGTGATGGAGATGAGAGCGAATCTAATGGATAAAGAGATGGAGTTTCAGAGCGTGATGTCTCAGAACGAGAGTCTCAGGAGCGAGATGGAGAAGATGCAGAGCGAGAAGAATGAACTTATCGATGAGGCCTTGGCAAAGCTTGGAAGCATGACTGAGGAAGCAGATAAGAGCGGGAAGAGAGCGGAAAACGCAACGGAACAGCTTGGAGCAGCACAAGTCACCAACACGGAGTTAGAAGCTGAGCTGAGGAGACTCAAGGTTCAGTGTGATCAATGGAGGAAAGCTGCGGAAGCTGCAGCTACTATGCTCTCTGGTGGTAACAATAACAGTAATGGAAAGTATGTGGAGAGGACAGGGTCTCTGGAGAGTCCGTTGAGGAGGAATGTGAACATGAACATGTCTCCTTATATGGATGAAACGGATGATGATTTGTCTTCTTCGCCGAAGAAGAAGAATGGAAGTATGCTTAAGAAGTTTGGTGTGTTACTGAAGAAAACTCAAAAGTGATAACTCAAGTAAGAGAAGAAGAAACTACCATTGTTGTCTTTATTATTCCGCTTGTCGTCTTTTGTTGCCTAAACTTTGTATTGTAAACTGCTTTTGCTTCTTTTTTCTATTAACTAAGGTAAAACTCTGATCGACATTTATGATGCTTAACTTGGTTGTTTCCGATACAAAGACATAAACATCATATGATATAATAACAAACTATGTTTATGAACCAGAGACAGCAAGTGCAGATCAAAGCTATACATAGACACAGCAGTTGTCGATCTGGTCTTAACCTAATAGCTTATGGTACTAATAATAATATAAATATAAGAAACCTGCAGGTGATTTGGCTTCATCACTGTGCCAAATGATGTTCCTCCGCATGGCCGTTGAGTTGTTCCTCTGCACTGACTTTTGAGTACATTTTGTTAGTAAGCTTTGGAGAAGACGCAGAAGCCGAGACAATCATCAGCCTTGAAACAGGTGTGGCCTTTGCTTTAGAATTTGTGGATTCTTGTATGAGAGGTGACCTTTTGGTCCTAGTAACACCATTTGGGCTACGAGTTCCATGTTTCGCCAAGCCAGTTGCTAGACTAGTAGGTGTTCTTGCAACGCCAGTCCTCGCCTGTTAACCACAAACATTCACATAGATATGTATCAATAAACAAAAAGACAGAATAACTTTCTTCGTTTACTTCATATATAGTTCATAGGCAAACAATTTCACAAATTTTGGGAGCTTACTCCGTCAAAGTAGCCGACTTTTGGTGATGGCACACGGAGTCCTGTTGGCTTCGTCATGGAAGTTGAACGCACTGCTCCACCATTGACAACTGAATCACGCTTAAGCTCATCTTGGACAACAGATGCATCTTTAGAATTGTTGAGAGGCTTCAAAGTCTGTGTTTTATAATCGACTGCAGGACCCTTTACACCAGGAACAGTTCTTTTGTTACTTCTAGCCAATGTATTAGGTGTAAAAGGTCGCGGTGATGATGACCAGTCAACGGAAGAAAAAAGAGACGATGCATTGGACTTGTATGTCCTATTGGCTGAGAGGAGTGGAGCTCTAGGCTGGCTTATATTTTTCGATGTAGCTCTGGATGTGGATCCATTTGGCAAAGAATGGGCGGTTCTTAAACCCGGAGCTTTCTTCGCCTTTAAGGAATCTAGAGAAGGCTTGTTAGAAGCGCTTGACAAAACACTGACGCAGCTCTCAAGTGAAGAGCAAGAAGATGTCAAATCATTCTTGGAGCCAACTGAAGAACGTAGAGAAGATTTGGAAGGCACTACAGGTTTGGATACAATCCTTCTTGAAAGAGGAACTCTGGGAGCCAAAGGCTCTTTACCTGTAAGACCACAGTAAGATGCAGAAGTTACAAAAAAAGAGATAGTTCGAAAAGAAATGTAAAATATCTTGAAGAAAGATTTCTGACTAACCCCCAGTTAATTTTGGATTCTGTTCACGTTTGGTTTTGTTAACATCTACCAAAGTTCTTACACTTTTGCCGAGTCCTGTAGATGGCCTGGAAATGGGTGTCTTATGTTCTTTTGCAGCAACAGGCTGTAGAAAATGTATCATAAACAAACAAACAGAATAAGGTTAATATCAGTTTGCATATATTGTATGGCTCTCCCTGACAAGCACATACAGAGAGTGGTCACTATACCTGCTTTGTCACGCTCCCTAATCCTTGTGCCCTAATACTTGGCCTTTTACGAGTTGCATTGGGTTTCATCTGAGAAACAAGCAAAACAAACACATGTTTCAACAAGGAGGGAGTGAAAGATTAACAAACGAAAGCCTAGCGTTTTTTTGGAACTTACCTTATCCTGAGAACCAGTATCGTCTAGCGTACTTGGAGCTACAAAATTTCAAATGAGAAATGTATAAGTTAGTCAAGTCAGTTTGAGATTCACAGATAACCACAAAAAACTATTCAAGCATATGAAACTTACTTGGGCTAGTTGGTGACTCTGTTGGTCCCAATTCCTTACTCTTATCAGGTGTTGCGGCATCAGATGATATAGCAGACCTTTGGATTGATGCTGATGCTCTTACATCTTCGAATATAACAAATTCCTGACTGGTCTCCACAGTGCAGTCACTTTTCAATGTAGATATGGACTCTGTTGATCTGTTCACATCCTCTTGAATGGATGGTAAAGTTTTCTTTTCACCCATATGATTGCTTTCCATCATATTCGACAGTTCATCTTGGTCCAGAACGCCTGATTTCAACCACAGTCTCTCAGTAAAACAAACCCAAACACTGCTACTGAATACATGCAAATGCAAACAGTAAAAGAAAATCGTGCCTGCATTGGTGAAAAAGGCTCTATCCCAGGCAAGACTCTTGCGCAGGTTATACTTCATCATCATCTTGTGAGGTTCTGGCGATTCATGAGGCTGAAGCACTTCTTCTTCCTTTCCTTCTAAAGTGGGAGAGACCAGTTTCTCTTCGTCACAATTATGTGTATCCCCAAATAAATTAAGACCTCTCTCATCGTTATCAGCGTCTGTATGCATCATCAGAGAGTGTAAGCAAGACGTAAAACTCAATACACAAATCAATAAATTAACAACACACAGCTATAATCCAAAAAGCTACTACTGCATATATGAGATCCATCTCAAATTTCACAATAAGAAGAAATCACCAGGAACGCAAGAACAATCTATAAACCCCCACATTGAACAATCATCATGAACCATAAAAAAGAATCCAATCTTCCCAGATAAAATCTTCAGTTAACAATAAACACTGTTCATTTTTCTGACTTATCTCTGATAAACAATTCGACAATCGAGGAATGCGAATCAACGAATTCCGGAATTCAACTAGCGAGAATCAAATCCAGATCAAAGGGAGAAACCTAACGGGTGAAGGAAGAGATCGAATTACCGGAAAATTCGTAGCTAGTGGGATCGGGAAACGAAGAGAAGAGGAGGCTATCATCCTCATCAAGCAGACTAAGCCCAGAGATATCGAGCTCGCTTCTCCACTTCTCGTCGTCTTCCATATGAACAGAGATTCTGGCGAAAATCAAAGTACCTTTATCGCTCGAGAATCCCACCGATTAGCAAAAGGAGGAAGACGACGAAGAAGAAGAAGAATTTGAAACGAAGCAAACCGGCGGTTTCTTATAATTAATTTGTTTTTTATTGTTAATGATTTATTTTTCTGGAGTTAGTTTCGTCTCTTTTAAAACGGAAAAATTAGCGGCGTGTTTTGTTTGTCGAGGGTTTATGAGTTTTTGAGTTTAGAGAGCGCGTTTTGGTTTAAGGCGCCTTAACCGAAGTGGCCCTGGCATTAACATTTGTGACCGTTAGATCATTCCGCGTGTACTTGTCTTTGTGAATAAATATTTCTATTTTTCAATTTGGCAAAGAATCTGTAATTTTGCTAAATGTTACCAACAGATAATGCGTCCACAAAAACAACTGTAACTAAATAACAATAATCATCTAATTTTTTAGTAAAAAGAATGCAGATTGCATATAAATTCACAAAACAAAAATAGAAAATTACGGGTTCTTACACTACTTTAGGCTTCAACAGATGGAACTTTCTACGTTCTCTTTATCCACGTAGACCAGCTGTTATATATAGGTCGAGCAGCTTGATTTTACAACACTGCATTTGAGTTAAAAACAAAACAAAAAAGTATTTCACTACATAAAGATTCCTACACGTGCGGAAGCAGATGATTAACTGAGTTTAAGATTGAAATCTATAGTAAACTCTGATGGAAATGTTTAGTTTTTATGGCGTCAAAAGAAACTGAAAGTTCCATCAATTTTGTTGTCTTACGTTTTATGGCACTTCAAAATAAAAAAAGTAACTGCTTAAGAGTTAAGACTAGTCTTGCATGAAGTAATCCACAAACCAACAAACATAACATAAAAATGAATTTCTTGACTTCTTCATAACAAATCCAGAGAAAACGAAGAGAGAAAAAAAAACAATGAGATGATTATTGTTACAAGTTCTGCATAGCAAAACTCTTCATAATACAACAAATAATATACAGATAAAAAAACCCTTTTAGAACCATCATCATACTAGTCTGTGCCCGGCATTGGAACCATCATATGCTGTGCCTACATCATATCCAGTCATTAAGTAAAATTAGTTCACAGAAATTTTTGCATAATAGATAAACACAAGTATCGCTTTTTAGTTCATCAAAACATCATTTTATCCGTATATACAACACGGGGTCAAGGATGATTATCAGTTTTTAACTTAAGTCACTAGCTGATTTGTGTTGTTATTGTGTGTAGCTGAGAAATGATCATTAATCTGTAAGGTTTTAAGATTCTATTTAAGCTGTGAGACATAGGGGTTTTATAGCTATGAGTGTAAAAGAGAAGAAAAGAAAAGTTACTTGAGGGTTCCCATAAGGACCTTGTGAGAAAGAGCCTTGGTGAGCAAGCTGCGAGAACTGCCAGATGGTAAACAAACCACAACACGTCATGAAAATAGCGAAAGAGAGGAAATGTGCAAAATAAAAAGACAAAAATGTCAAAAGGCATGAGAACCTGGCCATTTTGGCTTGATTGGCCATCTTTCTTTGCATTCGCATCCCCGCCTTTTGCTGATCCCTTTGTGTCACCCTGTCGATTGTTAAAGACGACACAAGCAAAGAATCAATAATCGCTTTGAAACAATAGATAATTCTTGGAAAACCATCAGCATATTTACAAGTATAAGAAATGAACAAGAAACAAAAGAGGAGAAGCACTGACCTCCATCTGTGATTTTCCAGTTCAAAGATGAAAAAGAAAAGGAACAAACAGAGTTAGTGAGTGAAAATTCAATAAAAATGTATTATATGCAGAAACCAAGAGCATACCTCTCTATATCTCGTCAGGTAAGACTTGAGTGGTTCGATGTAGTCTTCAAATCCTAAAGTAGCCATTGCCCAAAGCAAATCATCTCCATTAATTGTCTTCCTTTTCTCTCTTTGGCACTTATCACTCGCTCTGCTCACCAAAATCACACACACAAACATCATCAATCAAACATATCTCTGTCTGTAAAACACAAACAAAATCCTAACCTGAACAAACCAATCAGTAACAGAGAAGTAAAATAGCAACCAATGTAAGGATCAAAAAGACCTTAACTTTCAATCAACCCACCAAATCAAACGTTAAGAATACCCAAAAATCCTCAAACTACACAAGAGGACTTAATAAATCCCCATAAAGTTTAAAGCTTGAACTGAATTTGGACTGTGGCACTCATGGTATCTGAAATTCTAATGTTCCCAGCAGATCAAAATGTTGAGAAATGAGAACACAACCAAATCAAAAACTGAGATTTAAAAAAGGGGTCGTACTCGCTGGTGATGAAGCTGATGAATTCGGAGACGCATTCCTGGACAATCTCCTTGGCGTCTTTAGCGATCTTACCATTAGGAGGGAGACCTCGTTTCATGATACGGCTTATGTTAGCTATCGGAAGGAACCTGTCTTGCTCGCGAACGTGCGACGACCTCGGGCTTTGATCTCCGCCACTCTCATGGCTTCCACAGCCTCCGGGACTCTTCGGCTCCGCCATCTACAGAAGAAATCCCAAAGCGACACAAAAGGAATAATAAATCAGAGGCATAAGCATAACCCCACATCTCAATTATTTTATTTAAAAAAAAAACGAAAATCGAAGATGATGCGACAGAAATTGGAGAAGTGAGGAAGAGGAGAGATGATTACCGGAGGAATTCGAAAAAAAAGGGCGGGAGGGAAATGGAGAGGTTGTTGATTGGAGGGAGGAGGAGATGCGAGGGAGGGAGATCGAGAGAGGGAGAGAGATTGATCGGACGCTGGAGAAACGATGAAGAGAGAGAGCGTCTGCGATTTGAGAGATTAGGTTTTACTCTTTCATCACTTTTTATCACCACCGTTCGTTTTTTCTTTTTTTTTATTCTTCTGCATTTCCTCTCTGGTTGATATTCTACCAAATCCAGCCACGCCACGTGTTCTCCTTATCTTTACCAACTTTTTTATTATTCTCTTCTTTCTTTTGCCAAAAACATTATTATTTGATTGGTTTTGTTAAATTTTTATACCTTACGTTATTCAATAATGAGAAATTTTATAAAATAGTGAAAAGTAATTATTATTTTCTTTAGTTATTGAAATAAAAAGTCATTTAAGATGATATTATCTGGTTATTGAGCTATTTAGGAACATAATCAACAGCAAAAATTATATTTCCCAAAGCTATCGTTTAAGAAAGAAAAAAAATCTTTTGAGATAGAAATGTTTGAGAAAAAAATTCTTAACATAAAATAGGTAGATTAATTTAGAAAAAATAATAATAATTAAGTTGCATTCTGTTTTGGTGCTAGCTAGACACATAAGAAAACTTAGTTGAGAAGGATAAATATAAAAAAAAAATGAATCTCTCTAGGATATTTCAGTTGAAAAATGTGAAAATCAGTTACAAGAGAAACATAATATTTCACAACCCAAGTTAAATACTGAAAAATGTAAAGAAATAAAAATACTAAAAACAAAAGCCAGCTCGAAGCATTTCTTGTAAGCTCGAGTCTTCAAAAACAGTGTTAACGCTAGCTGAAAGCTAAAAAGAAAACAAATCAAAATAAAAGACCAGACAACGTGAAATTTTAGAAAAAACATCAGTGAGAGTGATGATGATGCATCTGTACAAAGCCAGGATCCTACTACCGAGCTGTTGGCTGCAACACAGACTCATCAATGGAGACAAAATTCTGCGAACCAGCCAAGTCATGCATTCCCATTCCCATTCCCATGTTGAGCGACGACGAATGCGCCGAGCTCCGAGAAAACTCGTCCGAGATTCCTCCTCTCGCGGCCAACGCTTCCTTCTCGATCCTAATCGCGTCTTGAATATCCTTCTGCACCTCCGACATTGACGGTCTCATGTTCCCGTGCGGTCTCACGCAGAGCAACGCTTTCTCCGCAATCTTCCACATTGACTGGAGACTGTAATCGTCTTCCGCTAACGCTGGATCTATGATCCCTCGTATGTCCCCGTTGTCTATATGCATCTTCGCCTACAAAAAAAATAACCGAATGGTATTCAATAAACCGAATAATCAGAACCGATAACCCGAATTGGAGACACTAGAAAACCGAAAACTAACCCATTAGATACGTTCCGCAAATTAACCGGAATTGGACCAGTAGAAAAAACGAAAACTAACCCATTGGACTATGTTCCGGCAATTTACCGAAAAATCAGAACCGATAACCGGAATTGGACAATAGAAAAACCGAAAACTACCCCATTGGATTGGACTATGCTCCGGCACTGAACCGAATCGTATTCAATAAACCGATAACCGGAATTGAACACTAGAAAACCGAAAACTAACCCATTGGACTATCTTCCGGCAATGAACCGAAAAATCAGAACACAATAAACCGACAGAATCAGAACAAATAACCGGAATTGGACAGTGGAAAACCGAAAACTAACCCATTGGACTATGTTGCGGCAATTAACACCAAAGCTTTCATTGGATATAGCTTCTTGGCCTGACATGAGCTCAAGAAGAATGACTCCGAAGCTGTATACATCACTCTTCTCTGTTAACTGCTGCGAGATATAGTACCTATAACATTCAAATATGTTTAGTTTCAAGTTATAAGATAAGTGAAAGTTCTTGGTGTTTGGTTTAGGTGTTAAAGCTTACTCGGGGTCTAGATATCCAACTGTGCCACGGACAATGCTGGAGACGTGAGAGGTCCCGTCAACAGCGAATTTCGACAGACCGAAATCTGAAACCTTTGCTCTCATGTGTTTATCGAGTAAGATGTTACTCGTCTTGAGATCCCTGTGTATGATTGCTGGAACACATCCTGTGTGAAGATACTCGATCCCTGCACAAACCAAAATCAAGAAAATTGGCTTAGGTCAAGAAAAGGTTTCTTCTTTCTTGTTTTTGTTTAAAGTTTTTACTAGACCTCGTGCTGCATCTTCAGCTATCTCAAGCCGTCTAATCCAACTGATTCTCCGGTCTCGTGGTACCACGCCTGAAGAAAAAAAAGAAAACGCTTGTTAAAGATTATGTAAAAGCAAAACGCTGCAACACATAAAGTAAAGAAAGATATGTTTATACCGTAAAGATGCTCCTTCAATGTCCCGTTGTGCATGAATTCATACACGAGCATGTTTTTCCCTTCTTCTTGGCAATAACCAAGAAACTGCACAAGGTTCCGGTGATGTATCCTTGAGAGTAACGTGACCTGAAACAAACCATAATCACTCCGGTTATCTCCTAAGCAAAAACAGAAATCTCAGATACTTTGTGGTGGATATCAATATGATTACCTCATTTGCAAACTCTCTCTTTCCCTGGTATGAGTTGTTAGAAAGAACTTTGACCGCAATCTCTTTCCCTTCTCTTGTTTTCCCATAGTACACAATGCCAAAACCTCCAGAGCCAATTCTCTTCTCAAATTTGTGTGTGGCTTCCTCAATCTCATAGAGTGTGAAGCAATGGGCAGAGTCTCCATGAGCTTCACTCAACGTAGATGACACTCTTTGTACAGGCAAGGGACGGTTCGTTAACTCTGCTGAAATCAACCAAAACAAGAATAAGGCAAGTACATTAATTAAAAACACAAGCAAACCTATTAGTGAGAAGATAACAAATAATACCTGAAGTCTTTCCCATCTTGTTGTTCTTCTTCACTTTGCACATACAAATGCAAGAAACGATGGTGACTATTAGCAGAAGAGCAGCTCCAACTGATGCACCGATGATGACACCGAGCTTCTTCCCTTTATCTCCACTGTTTACAAGATTAATGTTCCCAGAGAAGCTACCAAAACACACAAAAGATAGAAGAACTTATAAGTGTTACCGATCTTAGCTATGAACTATCTAATGCTAAAGCAGTTTAAACTCTGTAATTTGAATGGGACGAAACACTTACTTAGAGATCACGTTTTTGGTCAGGCTTGATGGTATTTTTCCAGATAGCAAGTTGTTCTGCAGGTACCTGCAATCATCATTCAAGTTAGATAAAGATTACACAATCATACGAGTTATAAATCAAGAAAGAAGATCAATTTTAAGTAGCTTACAGTTCCTTCAGATTTGGGAGTTTGGCCAATGAGGAAGGGATCTTTCCGGTTAGTCTATTGTTCTCAAGGTGTCTGAGACAGCAGAACATGTAATTAGTCCATCATCTATCTACTGTCTAAGTGTATATATATAAAACCAACACAAAAAGAAAGTTACATTATCTCCAGGTTGGGGCAGCGAGAGAAATCCGGTATTGAACCGGTAAAAGAGTTCCCATCAAGCCATCTGCCATAAAGTTGCAACATCAATAACAAAACATCTCTGTATATTTCCAAGATTCAAAATACTTAAAGAGATAAAAGCAAACTTACAACTCGACCAAACCAGTCAGTTTCGCCAAGTCAGAAGGTATATCTCCAGTCATGTTCATATTCGACAGTTTGCTGAAGCAAATGATATAACGTAAAGTATAAGCGCATACATAAACAACAGATACAAATTTAAATAAAGCTACTATGATTCTAGGATAGACTTGCTTACACAGCAACAACCCTTGGTCGTGGATCCGCATTGCATTGCACCCACGACCACGGCGAAGGTGAACATGGATCGCCACCTTCTTGACCCCACTCAGTAGATGAATACAGAGAAGCTACATTTGCCATAACACCAGCTGCAATACAAAAACAAAAACCATCTTTAAGAGTGTCAAAATGTATAACCAACAACACTTAAAGAGGATAAAGTTGAGCTCACCGTCTACAGAACCATCGCTTTTCTGAAGATATTTACTAATCTCCATAGCATTCAGAATCGGTCCTCTAGAAGAATCAGCGGTTTTAGCGAACCGGAAGTTAAGCACATAGGGAAGGCTCAGATTCTGAAAGCCAGGCTCATAAGCCTTATACGCTCTCTGAGCATTCTCCTTGATGTTAACAATAGCCTTGCTGACCTCAGGCTGATCAGGCAGAACCAACCTGAACTTCCTAGACTCATCATCAGCCAAATCCTCAATCTCGGCAAAGTATGTCATTGCCCAACCAAAACCAGGGAAGCCTTCAAGATTCATCCTGTAAGTCAAAGAACCGTTTGTTCCAACCACAGCCGTCTGCATAACCTTCTCAGGCGGTCTGTCATTGACACCTGTCTCGATTGGCAGTTTAGTCGACACTCTCACTGTCCCAGCAGCAACATCCACAAGGTAATTAGCCTTCTTCTCCAAATCAGATTCCCATATTCTGTCGTAAGGATCATCCGGATACCTGCACAATCACCAACTCATTTTCTTAACAACCAACAATGTAGACACACACACACACACAACAACAACAACAACAAAACAGATCAAGAAGTAGAAACTAACCTCACAGGATCTTCAGTTTCTGCACCAAAATTGATCCTTGCAGCGACACTCAGGTAAAACCGGTCTTCAAACTCGGTTAAATACATTGAGCCATTCATCTGTCTAAGCTCAAGCGTAGATATAAACGGCTGTCCCGTTGTGGCATTGGACAAGCAGACACTCACAGTAGGAGTGGAAGCCAGAAACACCAGCTCTGCCTTCTCAATCGTGGCGGCGTCGGAGATAGCAATGGTTGTCCAGTGAGTAGCACCAAGAGAGAGGTCGAATTTCGGATACACATTGTTGCTGTCGAAATTGCCGTAGAGGAAAGTGGCTCTCACGAGATACCGACTCCTGCTTGTCACATTGAGAGTGTAGCAATACTTTCTTGAATCCGCAGGGAAATGCCTCAACGTAGTGTACTGAGTTTTTGTGACATTGAGGGATGAAATGTTTGCTGTTTCTCCATAGATTAGATGATTGTCTGGTGACCATTTGAGACCAAGCTCGTCATCGAATGGATTTGAACCTCCACAATCCAAGCTCACAAAACCTGCTCTTACCAACAAAAAAGAAAAAAGTTTGAATCTTTATGTTAGAAATCACTTCAAATTACCACAAAGACTCAATCTTTTTCTGAGATTTATTAACAAAAGGCAAAATTTTCAAAAACCCTTGTTACATAACATAAAAATAAGTACCAAAAACAAACTCTTACCTGGAGCCTGGGCTGATGAAGAAGTGAAGAGACAAGTGGAAACTAGTAGACACAAGGAAAGCAGAGAGATTCTCATCATCTCTTGCTTAGACGCAACACTTCGGAAGAGTTTAACACATAAATGCTGATACAAGAGAGAAGGGGAAACAGAAAAAAAAAGGTGAATGTGATCTCTAAAAAGGGAAAAAAAACGAAAATTCCCAAAAACAGAATTGATTACTTCTCCAAGTGTCTTAAACTCTTTGAGAGAGATCTGAAACACGAGAAAAGATTGTGGAACATAAACCAAAAACCCGAAAAGAGTAAAACTTTAAAAGAAAAAAATAATTAAGGGGCGTGAAGAGATGAGTTTGTTTCTTCCTCGTTAAGTGTTTTTGCTTTTTATGCGAGCAGGTTTCATCAGTGGAGAGAGAGAGATAAAAGGTGAGGGTTTAAAGGTAATTTGTGGGGTCCATCTTCGACTGGACTCTACTGGCTTCGTTGTGCATCTAACGGTTCGTCTTGCTTTTAATTTTCATCTAATGGTCCAGATCGTTTCAATCGGTGGGTGGTCCAACTTTCCGTGTCGTAGAGGATTCGCAGTCACTAGTGAAACGATGCCGTTCAGATTTAATTGAACGACATTCTCTTACTTCCAGATGTTTATTTTCAGGGGAAATCATATTTATCCAAATTGAGATCATTTAAATATAACTTTCTGATAACGATAATTTATACGCTAAACATGAATCTTACAATATCTTAGTTATTCTCGATATTTTTTTTCCATAAGTTATATTCGAGTTTCAGTTACATCATAGTTGTAAGTTGTAACAGAGATATTCATTATTAATTTTTATATTTTATATTTTAAAACCAGCAATAACGTGTAGATGGACTAAAAACAAACATAAAGAACCAACGAAAAACAAATCGACATTTATGTTTTTTTTCCTCGTCCATCGACATTAAATATTTCCCGGAAATTTTGATGGTTAAATATAAATCGATTATGGTGGCTCAAACGAGTAGGACACACACGTGACAGAATTCCCAAAATGAGCCATCATGTCTCTAGGTGTAGTGTATATGCGTAATGTTATCAATAGTGTTAATTCGAGATAAATATTTGTTATCTTTTTAGCAATATTGTAGAAGAAGTGTATACATATCTTATCATATTCATCTGTAATCTTTTTAGCAATATTGTAGAAGAAAGTGTATGCATATCTTATCATATTCATAATGAGAAATTGGTAGAAAGAAGATCTTGTAGATACTTCAATAATAAAACATGTTCACGTTATTGATAAACGTTAAAAAAAGTGGAGAATAAAAGTGGTAGATAGAGAATCTTGTAGATACTTTGAAATATAACATGTTCAAGTTGAATGTATACTTAAAGTCTTAAACAAATCAATTATGATCAAATCTTGAAATTTAATGATCTGATCCGGATATGAGAAAAAAATTGGGTTAGGACTAACTAGAGAAGTCCGAGCAAACTAGAGGTAATGGTTATAAGTAAAACAAATTACGATTTTGGGTTCTGATTGTCTAAAGATCCAAATGTGTTGCAATTATTTATGTATGGGTTTGCAGATATGTTAACACGTGGTTCATTTTATGTGTTATTGGTTCTATGAAGTGAGACTAAGATAAACTGACCTTACATGATCTTCAATTTCTGCATGACAATATTCATTATTGTGTTGAACATTCCGACAAATTCAACCATTTCTTCATATTAGTATATGATTGCAACATTTTGTTGGATACTTTTCTCGACGTTGGATTATAATAAACGGAAGGAAAGTCTCGTTTAATCATTTTCAACTTTAAATCCAAAACAAAGTAAGAGATTGTAGTTTCCTTATCATTCTCATTAAATTGCTTTAAGAGTAACACGGAAATCAGAATAAAACCTACATGCATGCTTTTTAACAAAAAATACCTACATGCATGCTTAATATAAGTGGAAAGACAACTCCACCGGATCAAAACTGATTAAATAAATACGAGCATATCCGGATGATCTGTATGGACAAATGACTAAAGGGTCTCATTGTGTAACACTTTTTTCTATAAAATTATTCCTTTATCGGCTCCTCATGTATGGACTTTAGCAAACTCTTTTCTTGCGGTCAGAAAAATAATATTTCATTATTAATTGACAACAAAACTATATCTTCTCAGTATTATCTTTCTTATTTTATCATGAACTTTTTGCTCATTCTAATCTAATGTAATGCATCTCGAAAAGTTTGATCCCAGTGGGAGCTGTAGTGATCCTTCACTGGCCTTTTCCAGGCCATTTCGCCAATATTGGCAATGTGAACTCTAATTAACAGCAAAAGTTATTTTCTTTAATTTGAGACAGAAAGGAAGTCTTATCATCTGTAGTTGTTTAAAGTAGTAAAGTGAAAAGGTAACAATAATGAACGTCAAATCAATAGTTTCGACAGCATAAAGTTTAATTGAAACTTAAACAGACGATATTTTCGACAACAATGATTTAAAGAATAATAATATGGTGTGTGGTTTTTAAGAAGCCCATGAACCAAGCCCAATAGACTAACAACCACAACCCTTTTACGAGCGTCGCAATATTTGCAAGGTTGCATAAGAGTATAAGACTATCCTAAGAGGGCTTAAGAGTTTTCTACGAATTTCAGAAGATAATAATAGGTTCAAAACTGTGATGGCTCATGGATGAATATGAACTACTTTTTTTTTAGCTCACTCCATATATCCGAAGCAATAGTGTTTTATGAGTTTGAATTTTAGAATTACAAAATAGATGTGTTCAATCATATGATGATGATGTTGACTATGTGTCATTTCAGATTGTATACTTTGATTTTATATGTGGTAAACAGCTAATTCGGCATACTTTTTTTTTCTCTATAAAGTATATGTAAACTGACTAGTAGACTAATAAGTAAAATATTATTTGAAGAAAATTGAATAATTATCAAAGTGAAATAACTAAAAATTGGGAAATTCGTCTTTTCATTACAATTTCAACTACCGTTCACTACTGCAAATATTTTTAATGGTAAGCAAAATCGACTCTTCTTCATGTTCCCAAAAGATTAGTTTAATTTTCATCCCACAATTTTTCCCATTAACCAACAAAATGTTATACAGACAGTTGCATTTACCACCAACCACGATAATAGATAACAAATAAAAAATATCTAGGGCGTCAATTCTGATCTGATTATAGGTCCGATCTGGCCTAATAAATCCTAAAATCTATGGACGACATCATCAATTTCTCATTCCACAGTTAGTTGGATGTCAAAGTTTTCGGACGAAATCATTTTGGGCCATTTAAAATGTTAATTAAAAAAAAAAGAGAAACCATTTCAGTCCAATTATTTCCTTTTAAAGAAAAATGATAACCAACATAATAACAAAAGCACTCTCTTAAGACCAATTTTCATGTAAGTTTTTTTGTTTTCATCTTTGATATGAGTATATCTGGAATGATTGAATCCATCTTCTTTCTAAATTTCCTTAATGAGTAAAATTTATTGAAAATTTATCAAACTTATATCGGTGACGTGTGTTGATTAGGTTTGTGTCTTTGGAGTTGTGGTCTGATTTGGACAGCAAGAGGAAACGGGTTTGGTGAAAGTGTTAAGTGGGACCCAATGACCTCTGAAGAAGAAAAAAAGAGGGTTTGGTGAGACGAGTGGTGTGCGATGGATCCTCGCTACTGTGGTTGTTGTTGCCCCTTTTCTCCATTTCTCTGTGTTTGTTTGGTGGCCTAATTTTAGTCATTCCCTTTTATATATTTTATATATATTAACTAAATGATGACACTTCCTTTACATCTAAAAATCTCTAAACTAGTAATATAGTTCACCAAATAATTCGCTAAACAACTACTATATATGTTTTCTTTAGAGATTGTATCTCCTTGATGACAATCTATCAAATATTCTTTTTTGTTTCTTTCTCCATAGTTTATGTAGAATTCCTTTGATATCAATCAAAGTTTCATTGGTGTTACTTTTGTTTTATATTATTGTAAATAATAATAAATAACCTATTGTTATGGCAAAAACATAAGAAAAACCATTAAGATATCAAATATTCTTCTTGAAGGGAACAAGAGAAATAATTCATGTAAATGTATTGGTTTACGTACGTGCTTGGTGTCTCGTCGAAATCCATGATTTTGTAGTATTTAATTATATAGGCCCGCCATGTTCTATAGTAAATGTTTTTCTTCTTAAATTAATGTAAGCTATATTCATTTAAAGACTCCAGCTTTATTCAAACGAATCAAACCTAGTTAAAGAAAAAAATTATTGTGAAAAGCCTATTATAAAACCAATTAAGTTTGGATTTATATAAAGCCTATGCGATGGTTAAGACTGTAAGATCCACAAGCATAATGTAAGTAAAAATTTCATTACGATAACAACGAAAAAAAACCCCTCAAATCTCTCTATAACTATGAGACATAGACAACAACAACAACAAAAAGATCAGCCACTCTTTTAAAAAATCTTTTCCATTAATACATAGGAAACTGCCATGTGTAAAAATTTATCGAGAATGTCTAAAACATAATTAGTTGAGTCGTGATTGGAACAGCTCCTATCCCCAAACTTTTGTTTTGTAGGCTGAAAGGACAAGGGATTAGGGAACATACTAACATGACTTTCATGCACAGAACTACAAAGTTATAAACACTAGTACTAAAGTTATCCACTTTATAATTAGATTGTGTTGGGTTCTTATACTATATAGCTGATTGAGATAAACAAAACCATTCATCAGGATGTGATATTTGAACTATACTGGTTTCTCCAATTCAGATTTGGCGTATGCGAATGGGAGGAAGAATAGAGAATGGGAGCAACGACCAAAAAAAGTTCATGTTAAATCAATTGTCGGTAGACTTTCCTCATGAACTGTTAATATATCCGTAAATCAAAGTACATAATAATAGCTGTTCATTTAACCCAACAACTCAAAAATATAAATACTCAATCAACAAATCACATTAACTACACTCATGTTTATGGTCATCTCTGAATGAAAACACAGGTCCACGAAACCCTTATTAGAGATTCTCAATCTCACATTATCACATACACAAGAATCCGATCACAAAACCTAGTTTCTTAATGATCTCTTATATAGGTGGCGAGTGAGTCACTCGTAAGTAATTTTCAAGTTTGGTTTCCATGTGTCTGAAATTGAGAGGTTGGCTAGTTCCTTAATCCAATACAAGCTTAGTTCCCTAGTCTAATCCAAGCTCTCTTTTGTAATCCGACCAAAACTCACGTATCAATTAGTCGGATCTGGTTGTAGTATATATTCTTTATCTGAGCGTCTAATGACATTTTCTCGGCCCTAGCTATTTATATTAGCAAAAGACTAGGGGCCATATAAGTTATTCAGTTTCGTGGTGCTAGTATGATTGGTGTATAATTGATTGGCAAGATGGAACTTAGAAGGAACAAGCAAATCGGAACGAGTGAAACAAAAGTTATGTTATAGTCCAATTTCTATTTCTAATTTTTTCAATGACTGAAACATCTTTCAAATAAATTTGTAGTTTTCCACAAAATAGTTTGTTAAATGCGTTTTCATGATCCATCCAGCAATTTTGTGTGTATGTGAATAATATAGTGAAAGGAAAAACAGTCCATATAAGTGGTTGTAGAACGTCGAAGGTCCAAATTTAACTCCGAACTCGCAACTACGGTTGATGGCAGTTTAAGCTACAATCCCCTATAATGTCAATCAAGTTCTAATGTAAACGCGCATAGACAAAAATGTCTACTAAACATCTTAATAAGTGTCTTTTTTACAATGAGTTAGAGAAAGCTAGATCTAAAGAAGATAACCTGAAGTAGACAAAAAAAAAGAAGAAGTAAGAAGAGCTGATGTCGGGATAAACAAAAAAGCCAGTAAAACTTAACCAAAATCGGCTATTTGACATAGGTTTCCTTTCACATTGTCTGAAATCCGTTTCAAAGAAATTTAAATTTACGTAATAAGATTTCTTTATGTTGTACTAAACTGTCTATAATATATATGTTTTTTTTGATAAAGACTATCTATAATATGTTGACCAAAGAAAACTATAATATATTCCCCCCACTTTGTCCTTTCTTTCATCTTTGCCTTCATTAATTTCATTGAACATTATCCTATAAAGTCAAAACAGGTGAAAAAATGAGCTATATATAACTAACACGAATAAAATATCACCATGTCTTTGGTGCAAATGCGAAACTATCTCCATCTCGCACTAACATATAAATTAAAATGAAATTCCACACGACATCCCGAGTCATTGCCCAATGCTTAAATGAAGAAAAGAAAAACCATATAAACGGAATTAGTACAAATTTTTGATAAAAAAAAATACAACTAGTACAAATGTATTAAATCGGGATATAAATTAATTGGAGACCTTCGAAGTTCGAATGCTACGATGGAAGCAAAAATGCATGCACATGCAAATGTTTCAAATTTCAATGAAGGCGCCTTACCATCCATCCATATAATTTCTATTAATAACTTGATCAGTTCTTGTATTAGATTTTCTTTAATTTGTGCACTGCTTTTTACTCTTATATTTAGCTTTCGATTAATATATATATAACGCGTATTTCACAAATAAATCAGAAAATGAGGTCGATGATGAATTTATATTTTATCAGCAACTGGATGGCTCAATTTATATTATTCTACGTAGCACATCCTCTGGAAAAAAAATCGATAGTCGAAATCTATCCTCGAATATCTTTAGTTCACGTTACATTTCTAGATTCTGCGTCGAAACTACAACTATGGTCATGTGTGTGTATTCATGCTTAGTTTGATAATGACACATATCAAATTCTAATAATCATATTAACAAAAAAATCTCTGTCATGATAAGTGATATCACTAATTTAAAAGTTTTCTATATCAGTTACAGTAATTTTAGAAAAACATTATAACTTTATATATAGGAGTATATGGTTATAGTTGTCATTTCATGAGCTTAGCTAATTATTACATAATGCCATTGGGCATTGCTTTTGTCATGCAAACGGCGTGTTGCGTCATCGCGTGAATATTATAGTTTGCAAAATGTCCACGTAATAATTACGTTTCACAAACTTTATACCCAATTTCAAACTGAACGAAACATGAAACATGTACACACAAAAAACTAATTAACAGTTACATACTTTTACTTTTGACTGGCTTCTTTCACCTCATATGGCATGTATGTGCATGTAAAAGATTTAGCTTTTCGAGATTTTATGTTATTTTAATGTGTGCATATGAACTGTTACTCAAACTAAACAAAATTATGTTTGTATCTGGTAATTCTTAAAAAAAAAAACAGTTTGTTGTATTCACCTACTTTGACTCCCCTTCTTAAAAGTAACATCATTTGGACCAAACTAATGTGATGGTTACAAAAGAAATAGGAGCTAGTTTTTAAGTACACACGTGAGAGGAGAAAGGAGAGTGGAGAGATACTAGTCAGTCGATATAGGAGATGAAACAATTGGAACCAAGTACTCATGAGATAAGTTGCTTGGCTTTGTTATGTGGCTGATTAAGATTGTTGCTTGGATCTATCCAGTCCTGCGAGTTTGCTTTTAATGAGTTTGGCGCAATTGTTTGATCAACATTGTGGCATGTCTTGGAGTACATGTACTGGCATAATTTTAATAAATTCGTTTGTAGAAGTATTCAATAATTATTTTTGGGTTCAAGTCCCCTTAACAACTTTAAATTTAGACTATTTTTCAAATGCGTACTCCGATGCAAGATCTTGTAGGATTAGTCTTTAGACCTAGAAAACTTTTGGGATCTCCACGGTTATCGGAAAAACAAAACATGTTATATAAACAAATCAATAAACGAACAACATATAATTTTTTTTTTAGAATATTTCCAAACGTGTACCCGAATGCAAGACCTCGTGTGATTAGTTTTGGACCTAGATAGCTTTTGGGATCTCCACGGTTATCGGAAAAAAAAGTTTCAGTAATTATGAAACAGGTTACATAAACAAACCAGTAAACGAACAACATAAAGAAAATACAACAACACAACACGATAACCGAAAAGAAAACAAATCCCATCGAAATATCCAAGAAAGTTGAAATGATAACCAAAATGACAAAAAAATAACAATTTACAAAATACAAAAATGAAAGAGTGTTATGGTGGGGACGTTAATTGACTCAATTACGTTCATACATTACACACCTACTCCCATCACAATGAAACGCTTTACTCCAAAAAAACTCACTCTTCAATAAGATAACAAAAAAATTTCTTAGTCTCACCAACCGCGAAATGCAACTATCGTCAGCCACCAGCCACGACCACTTTTTACCACCGTGACGTTGACGAGAACACCAAAATCACCACCGCGTTAAAAAAAAAATGAAAAAAAATATCTCTTTTGCGACTTAAACCAAATCCACGAATTATTAATCTCCACCACTAGAACCCCCTCACACTCCATCTAACGGTCATAATTAATTCTCAACCAACTCCTTTCTCACTAATTTTCATTTTTTCTCTATTTTAAAATTATCATTATAGGAAAAATAAATAAAAACTAGCTCTCTTATGCTTACCTACCAACAAACACTACCATCTTATTTAAACCACCATTCATTCATCTCTTTTCCCTCAGGAATAACAAATCAAATTCCTTAAACCAATACAAACTACTAGACATATCTCTTCATTAAGAGATCTCTCTATAATCTCCTCATAGCTAAATTCCTAAACTCGTGTCAAATGGAGATTAACGGATCACAGAACGGAGGAGTCGACGCTATGTTATGCGGCGGAGAGATCAAGAAAAATGTGACGGTGGTTGGTGCAGATCCTCTCAACTGGGGAGCTGCGGCTGAGCAAATGAAAGGGAGCCATTTGGACGAAGTGAAGAGAATGGTTGAGGAATTTAGGAAGCCAGTTGTGAATCTCGGAGGTGAGACTCTTACGATTGGACAAGTGGCAGCGATCTCGACCGTTGGAAATGGTGTGAAGGTAGAGTTGTCGGAGACGGCGAGAGCCGGTGTGAAGGCGAGCAGTGATTGGGTCATGGAGAGTATGAACAAAGGCACTGATAGTTATGGTGTTACTACTGGTTTTGGTGCTACTTCTCATCGGAGAACCAAAAATGGTGTCGCACTTCAGAAGGAGCTTATAAGGTAAAAAATTTGTATTAATTAACCGTTATTTTCTTGTGTCTAACTAGAAATATATAAATTTACAAGGGTTAGGATCTTAAAATGATATTTGGATATATGCGGTATAAAATCTTAATAAAAAAGAGAAAAAAAAGAAATAAGACTTAATTATTAGGAATTAGTTTTTATTTTCTTTATTGTAATTTGTAAACTAGTTTTTTTTATTTTCCAATTTTTTTTTTAAAGAAATCAGCTTAAATTTTTTGAAAATGGAATTTAAAATAATTAAAATCACAAGAAACTACTACTTCTTGCCTCGAGTTTATGTGACGTTGCATGGGATCTACGGGTCGGGTTGGGACCGTCGGGTTATATTTTGTTAGAGTAATTAAAAAAAAATGAATTAGTTTAATTAAATAACTAATCCGCACGCAATTCGAATGTTCTGTTCGTTTGCAGATTCCTGAACGCCGGAATATTCGGCAGCACGAAGGAAACATGCCACACTTTGCCACACTCCGCCACGAGAGCCGCCATGCTCGTACGTATCAACACTCTCCTCCAAGGATATTCCGGTATCCGTTTCGAGATTCTCGAGGCCATCACCGGTTTCCTCAACAACAACATCACTCCTTCTCTCCCTCTCCGCGGCACAATCACCGCCTCCGGAGATCTCGTCCCTCTCTCCTACATCGCCGGACTCCTCACCGGCCGTCCCAACTCCAAAGCCACCGGTCCCAACGGCGAAGCCTTAACCGCAGAGGAAGCCTTCAAAAAGGCCGGAATCACCTCCGGATTCTTCGATCTCCAGCCCAAGGAAGGTCTCGCCCTCGTTAACGGCACGGCGGTCGGATCTGGAATGGCGTCGATGGTGCTATTCGAAACGAACGTCCTCTCTGTTCTGGCGGAGATTCTATCGGCGGTTTTCGCGGAGGTGATGAGCGGGAAGCCAGAGTTCACCGATCATCTGACTCACCGATTGAAACATCACCCCGGCCAGATCGAAGCGGCGGCGATAATGGAGCACATCCTCGACGGAAGCTCGTACATGAAATTAGCCCAGAAGCAGCACGAGATGGATCCGTTACAGAAACCGAAACAAGACCGTTACGCTCTCCGCACATCTCCCCAATGGCTCGGCCCTCAGATCGAAGTGATCCGTTACGCGACGAAATCGATCGAGCGCGAGATCAACTCCGTCAACGACAATCCGTTAATCGACGTCTCGAGAAACAAGGCGATCCACGGCGGAAACTTCCAGGGGACTCCGATCGGAGTCTCCATGGACAACACTCGTCTCGCGATCGCCGCCATCGGAAAATTAATGTTCGCTCAATTCTCCGAGCTGGTGAACGATTTCTACAACAACGGACTTCCGTCGAACCTAACGGCGTCGAGGTTCCCGAGTCTGGATTACGGATTCAAAGGAGCAGAGATCGCGATGGCTTCTTACTGCTCGGAGCTTCAATACTTGGCTAATCCGGTGACGAGCCATGTTCAATCCGCTGAGCAACACAACCAAGACGTGAATTCGCTCGGTTTGATCTCGTCTCGCAAAACCTCCGAAGCCGTCGACATTCTCAAGCTCATGTCGACGACGTTCCTCGTCGCGATTTGCCAAGCTGTTGATCTGAGACATCTCGAGGAGAATCTGAGACAAACCGTGAAGAACACAGTCTCTCAGGTGGCGAAGAAAGTTTTAACCACCGGAGTCAACGGAGAGCTTCACCCATCTCGCTTCTGCGAGAAGGATCTGCTCAAAGTTGTTGACCGTGAACAAGTTTACACATACGCGGACGATCCTTGCAGCGCCACGTACCCGTTGATCCAGAAGCTGAGACAGGTCATCGTCGACCACGCTTTGATCAACGGTGAGAGCGAGAAGAACGCTGTGACTTCGATCTTCCATAAGATCGGAGCTTTCGAGGAGGAGCTCAAGGCGGTGCTACCGAAAGAAGTGGAGGCGGCGAGAGCGGCGTACGATAACGGAACGTCTGCTATCCCGAACAGGATCAAGGAGTGTAGGTCTTATCCTTTGTATAGGTTCGTGAGGGAAGAGCTTGGAACGGAGCTTTTGACCGGAGAGAAAGTGACGTCGCCCGGAGAAGAGTTCGACAAGGTTTTCACGGCGATTTGTGAAGGGAAACATATTGATGCGATGATGGAATGTCTCAACGAGTGGAACGGAGCTCCCATTCCAATATGCTAAAAAGAGTAAAGTCCTCTGTTTTTTTTTTTTTACTACAAAGTTTTTATTTTTAAAACAATGTCTGAATAATTTTACCAAATGATTGTCTGTGAAGTTGTTTCTTCTGTCTGTCTGATTTTAAATTTGTGTGTAAAACTCACTGTAAGTTCTCAAATGAACAATTTTCTTGTTACGAGTGTGAATCATTTTTTCCTTAAATTCTGGTATATGAAAGTCAAAGTCTCCACAACAAACCCGACAATAATTAAAATAAAAACATTAGGAAAATGTATAATAACTCTAATGTAAATCATCTCAACTCTACCTCTAACGAACCTCAATTGTTTACACGTGACAGTAGGTTCGTTTCTAACCTTTGGATTAGTCGTAAATTAATCGGACAGCAGTCAAATAATAAAGAAAAATTACCGAAACAGAAGTCACACTTGTTCTCTCATTCTTCTTCTCCTATTTTTAGAAATCAAACTCCTTTTCTCATACCAAATATTATTCCTTACCAAATTCTACTACCCTTAAAATATACTTCTTGATCAAATCTACTTATTTTATCGAAATATAAACAATTTAAAAATTTCCATTTGTTTTGGCTAAAAATCTTTAATGGATTATACCATTGGAGCAGCAAAAATTAAGGTTTTTTAACAAGAATTCTTAAAATAATATTTTTGATAAATATTAGCTAAGAAACCCATGTGGTTCTTGCAATAATCATGCTCTTATCCTCATAAGTCATAACTAAGTGAAAGGCCTAACTCATAGTACAACTTTAAACTTCTGGATATAAGCAAAGTGCGCTGAAGCTGTATACTCTTGACTAATATATATTTTATGTGATTGGTAGAGGTGTGAGCATTTTTTTAATAACTTTTCGTGAAAATATTTAATATCTATGTTGATATTTATTTTATCTTATTATATAAGCTGGATGCGGATGATGTGGTTGTAGAATTTTTATAATTTACAGGATCGCGACATGTGTTACTTTTAATGTTATATATCCGCTAAGATCGTGACATGTATCTTGGGGATACAATAAAAAAAATTATTAGAAAAAGGAATTTGAAAAAAAAGAAAAATATTTTAATCTACTATAGTAAAAAGAAAAAAAAAAATATTTATCATATTCTAATAGAAGAAGGTTTTCCATTCATCAAATTTATATTATCCAAACACATATTAAATTGAAATTGATGTAATAAATATAATCATATTAGTATATGGAATAGATATGTAAACTAAAAAAATAAAATAAAAAGTGAAAAAGGTTATATATTCTAGCGGAAAAAGGATTTTTTTTTTTTGCAAACTTTATCTTATCTTTTAAGATAAAAAGGATCCATATTCTAACGGAAAAAGAAAAACAAATAACTTCTATGTCTTACTAAGCCAAAGAAAAAATATATATTCCATATTCTAACGTAAAAATAAAATAATTTTTGCCAATCTCATATTTTAAGATAAAAAGTTTCATATTCTAACGAAAAAAATTAAAAATAGTTTTACAAGATTTATATTCTAAGATAAAAATGTTCCATTTTCTAACGGAAAAGGGAAAAATAAGTATATTCAATATCTCAACAATAAGTGATAACATCTAAATTTTAATTGTGTGCTTCCGTATTTTGTTTTTTCTATCTCTAATTGTGTGTTTCCATATTTTTTTAGAATAAGAAAACCATGTTTTCAAAAGTTTTTAAAAGCAATGGAGATTATTTGACACTATTATTACATTACTATTACTCTTTATTATTGGAACTGAAATATATTATGTTATTTAAAGATTTCTGATCGGATTTTCAATATTATTTCACTTACATTTAACAGTAATAATATTTTATTTATTATTTTTTTTTCCGTAAATTGTTTCAAAAATTATAAGATAAACTCCGCATATACACGGGCCTTATCTAGTATATATATATATAATATATATAATATATATATAAATATATAATATATATCTTATTATATAAAGCTGGATGCGCGCGACGTGGTTGCGACACGTAGGATTTTTATAAAATTTAGGATTGCGACATGTGTCACTTTTAATGTTATGTCCGTTAAGATCGTGACATGTGTCTTAGAAAAAAAGGAAAAAAATAATAATTAAAAAAAATAGATAAAGGAAAAAAAAACGAAATTTTAATCTTTTATAGTTAAAAGAAAAAAAAATATATTTGTCATATCCTAATAGAAAAAGGTTTCCCATTCATCAAATTTATATTATCCAAACACATATAAGATTCAAATTAATGAAATAAATAAAATCCTATTAGTACATGAAATAGGTTAGGTAAACTAAATTTCCTATAACTGCATGGAATAAGTTACATGAACCCCTATAAAAAGAGAGTTAAAGTAGTTTTTTTTCTCATTACAAACTCATCAAAGCAAACAACATGATAGCAATACGTATGATTTTTATAACTCACAAAATTGCGATATGTGTTTATATTCCCATTATGAACAGGAAAAAAAACAATATATAATAAGCTATTGCGATTCAATTATGTGCTTCTATCTTTTGTATAATCTTTTCTCTCATAAAAAATCATGTATTTAAAATTCATGGTATCAATGAATAATATTTAACTCTATATTAGTTGGATAGAAATCAAAATTATTGTCGATACATGTATCTAACTCTATATCGGTTGGATAGAAATCAAAATTATTGTCGTTACATGTATTTGATCCGGTGAAGACATGTTAATTGGAAAAATGTTAAACAGATATAAAAACTAGAAAAAAAAAACTAACTAATAATGAAAATGAAAATTTATAATGGTCTGAGTCAAAAACAAAATTGAGAAAGAAACAATATAAATAGAAAACTAACAAATTAATTATCAAGCAACTAATTTTTTTTTGACATCATCAAGCAACTAACTAATATTAAGAAAATATAATGAACCGATATTCTAATTTTAAATAGTTTAATTTTCAATATTGTTAGGTAAAAAATTATTAAATAAAGATTTCATCAATTGAAATCTCTTGAATGGAATAATAAAGTTTTGTTGAATTAATTAATCAGTTGATCATATTTAGACATATATAAGTCTTTCTATATTGGATAAAAATAAAAATAAAACAAATTAATTCATTTTTCATATCATGAATTCAAAAAAAATATCAATTACAATAAAAACGTAAAAAGGTTACCGATCTTATTTTATTTAAATATTTTTATCGGGTTTTTAATATTATTCTGTTTACTTTAAAATGATCAAATTTGGTTTAATACTTTTCCATGATTTTATTACAAAATCTTAAAATAAACCCGCGTATACGCGGGTCTTAATCTAGATCATCATGTATATTAGTAAAACAATATACTAATTAATAGGCGATCATGTATATTAATAGGCGATGAAATATATATATATATATATATATATATATAAGAATCATTGTAATACAATTGACATCCCATCATGTTCAAGAATTTCTTGAAATTGCTGATTATCATCAGCTGCTATTTCCACCGGTAAATCTAACATATTGTCCAACGCCTGACAAACGATAAATAGGTAACTACTAGAGGCTGAAACTGTTCAGATTACGGTGAACTCGTGTTTATGTCATCAAGTAGATAGGTTATTGTTGTATCTAAACACTAGCTTCTGTTTGTACCTAACGACAACATTTCCCTAATCAGAATCTTGCGTCCATGTTTTTCATCCATTTACCAATCTAGTTTCCAACAGTACAGTTTAATATCCGGTTATTTGGTTAGCTATCACATATGTACAAGATCAGAGCGAATCACAACGATACAGTTTTTTTAAAAAGTTAGAAACGTATATTGGTGAGTCAGGAATTAATGTTGGTGTATCACGGTTATTGGTGAGTCTTAGACTTCACTAGATATCTTGGTTTTTTCTTCTAAGCGAAATCTCTAAAAGGAAAGATGAAGTTTGCTGTTTTTAATTAGATCAAACAATATCATATTAAAAAGATAATAATAGATAAAAATTATATATATGGTTCCAACACAAAAACATGGATGATCGGAAGCTGGTCGACAAAAGTAAAAATAATAAAAATAAAAATACTAGGAAAATGTATAATAACTCTAATGTAAATCATCCAATTCTAACCTTTGGATTAGTCGTAAATTAATCGGACAGCAGTCAAATAAATAAAAAATATTACCGAAACAGAATTCACACTTGTGGTCTTTTCTTTTTGGACAATGCTTTTGGGTTTTTGTTGCTTAGCTATTTCGAAACGGTGCCCACAAAGTTCCTCTTGCTCTTCTTCTATTTATTTGTTATCTCATTCTTCTTCTCCTATTTTAAGAAATCAAACTCCTTCTCTCATACCAAATATTATTTATACCAAATTCTACTTATTCATTAAAATATACTTCTTGATCAAATCTACTTATTTTATCAAAATTTAAACAATTTTAAAAATTCCAATTTTTGTGCGTGGCTAAGAAGCCCTAATGAATTCTACCATTGGAGCAGCAACAATTAAGGTTTTTTAACAAGTGTTCTTAAACTTAACTTTTTGATAAATTAATTATTAGCTAAGAAACCCATATGGTACTTGCAATAATCATGCACTTATCCTCATAATAAGTCATAACTAAGTGAAAGGCCTTACTCATAGTACAACATTATACTTCCATCATTCACACTTTTATTATTACACTAACAAACGATTACATTTTTTATTTTGAAATACTACAGAAACCATTACACATGCCATGATTCAAATACTGGGCAGTTTCGTTTGCGTTCAGACCGCCTGACGACCGTTTGAATCAGATACAGTAACACTGGAGTCGCAGAAGTCACAAAGGCATGTAACCCCACCACTGGGGTTCCATTCGCATATTCCACGTTTTGCGCGTTTGGAATAAACGCATCGCGTATGACAGATCGTCGGATATATCCGAGGCGCACAAAAGCTGAAACCCACATCGCCGCCGTATTCTTGAAGGCAATCGCTATCCTGCGCTTGCATCTCAGGCACTTCTGATCATTTATAAAGAAAGAATTAAGCAAAAACAAAAAGAAAAAATCACACGTAGCGAAACTTGTCGGCGTTGTCGCGATCATATATAAATCACAATTTAAAAGGCAACAGCAAATTTTGTCAAATATACGAGAAAAATGAGGAGTAAGTTAACTTACCAATGAGAACCATAAAGAGGATGAAAAAGATGGTGAAGGTGGAAACTGACTTCGTTGCTATGGCCATCTTCTCTCTCTCTCTCTTTGTAGTCCCTTAAAACTCTTTGTTTGACTATGGAGTTAAGATATGTGTAGATGGACTCAACACCCGTTGTGGTGCTATATATGCTACTACTCGTACTTATCTTTATCGGGGAAATTTTTTTATCACGAAACCACATGTCAAATTAGCTGTATTCAATAAATATGTAGACCATCATACCGTCTGATTGATCGATAAATTGGTATCCACTTGTCCTCTATCTTTAATATTAGCTATCCACCATCATTTACACACCCAGATTTTTATGATAGAAAACATAAACTCCTACTCTCTCGAACCAGCTCAAGCGAATTTAACCATGTAAGATGGTCCAAGTACTGAATGTAAAGCATAAAAGAGTTTAAACGTAAAACTCTACCAACAATCATGATGCAACCCTAATTCTCAACATGAATGACAAACAGTGGAAAATGATTATTGTAGGTTGATTCCTCTACTGAAGGCATCCAAAATGGTAAAAAAAATATCACGAAACCACATGTCAAATTACTGTAATCAATCAATATGTACACCATCATACCGTCTGATTGATGGATGAATTGGTAACCACTTGTCCTGTATTTATATTAGCTATCCACCACCATTTACACCCATAGATTTATATGATAGAAGAAAAAAAGGAAGAATTTCCTTGTCTTTCGAAGTAATTCGAACCATCTCAAATGATTTTAAACATGTAAGGTAACCAAGTAATGAATGTAAAGCATAAAATAATTTAAACATAAAAATCATCCAAGTATCCAACATTCATGATGCAACGCAAATTCTCAACATAAAAGACAAATAGTGGAAAACGATTATTTTGGGTTGATCCCTCATTGGAGCATCCAAAATGGTAAATATGCTTCTCTTAGTTTCGAAGTGTGTCTTTCCAACTACAACGGTGTTGGCAAATGAGTTATCACTTAGCTAAGTTAATTAAACCTTAAGTTAATTATAATTATAATTTATCATCTAGCCCACTTTTATCGTCTATGTTAAACTTATTTATTGGAGATATCTTGGTGAGCAAGGCGAACCAAATATTGTGGGCCATTGTAACCCGTCTATGAAGTGAAACCCGTGAAGCCCAATCGAAGAATATTCTAGAGAAATCCTATTTTGATAAGGATTAGGAAGATTTACATTATTTAGTGTTATCATTATGTTAATGTTAACCCTATATATATAGGTCTTATTCTCTTGTATCAATAACACAATTCAATAATATATTCCCTTCTATAATATTTGACATTATTTGCAGATGGTTAAGTTTTAGTTCCAAATGTTATAGAGCAAGTGGTGTATTTTTCCCATAGTGAGTTATTTTCGTGTATATCTAGCTAGTACGTGTAAGTGTTGGAGTCTTGGAGAACTTTAATATTTCCATGTCTCAATGTTATTCATCTAAAGTTATAAAAAAACACAATGTTACTCATCTATTTTATTGAATGGATTTGTATCCTAATCATATCAGAGTCTGTTTATTTTTCATGTGTAATGTTGTTCTACATAAGTATGAAAAACGTTAAATATGTGGTTTATCTATTTACAAGAACTAATACCTAATTATTACCACCGTTATAGTAACTTTTTTTTTTGCCTAAATACTTCTTTAATTCTTTTTTTGTCATCATCAGTCATCACTCTTTGACACAAAAAAACCATTGTTGTACACATTTTTAAAGAAAAAACAAATCATCTAGGCTCTAATCGAGATCATTCTCCTTTGGATTAAACGCTTACCAAGTTCTTGAGAATATTGGGTTATTATTACTAATTTAAGCCCAATTATGAGCCCATGTAAGCCCATTAGAGTCGATACAACAATACCATTTCGATGCGTTACACAAAATAGAATCTCTCTCTCTCTCTCTCTCTCGTCGATCTACCCAAAGTAGCGGGAGAGCGAATAGTAAAACAAGGCCGACATGTCCGATCACCACCACCACCACCACGCGCGGCTAAACCGCCTCCGCACAACCTCCCAGCTCCTCCGTCAAACCACCACTTCTTTCTCCTCTCACCCTCTCACTTTCCTCTTCCTCACTTTCCTCCTCTTCTCCTTCCACACTCTCGTAGATCATTGCTCTCTCCTCCTCACCTCCTTCGTCGACCGTGACCCTTCTCTCCGCTCTCTCCTCTCCCGCCTCCCTCTCCACCACCCTCAATCCCACGCTCCCACGCGCCTCCACCACCACCGCCGCGCTCCTTTTCTCCAGCTCACGCGCCTGGGCACCCTAGACGACGACTTCTTCTCCACGGACGAGCACGATCCCAATCGCCGATCCCTCCAAGGCTCTCCATTTCGCTCTCCGCTCAACGCCACGACTGTAATTCTCTCCGGATTCGAGGGCATTTCTGGATTTTCCCGCCCTATCGCCGATAACGGCCTTTTCCTCCCTCAGATCATCCGCTCCGGATTCGTTCTCCGGCAGCTCTCTCCCGACGAAGACGACGACAAATCGAAATTCGACGAATCCGAGCACGATCAAGAACCTGAAGAGTACCGCGGCGAGAAGAAAGAGAAAGAATTCGAGAGCTTCGTGGATCTGAAGCTCTTCTTCAAAGGATTGGAGCTCGGACGACACGACGCCGCGGCTCTGTTCTACCTGGTGAGCTTTCTCTCCGCCGCGTATGGGTGGGTGATTCTAGGGTTCACCACCGTGTACTCGTTGGTTCTAGCGATTATCTTCGTCGCCGTGATCAACGAATTGCTCGGTAGATTCCCTTCCTTTCTTGATGTTGTCACGAGCGGTTCAAGATTAGGGTTTAGGAGAGTCACAGGATTCGTTCTGATGAAATGGGCTGTGAGAGACGCATTGACACAGCTTCTCGGTTTATGGTACTTCGGAGAGGTCGAAGACCAGTTCTCGTTTTTCAGGCTCTTTGTGAGGTTAAAGCTGATGCCTTTCACTGTGATGCCACCGTGGATCAGAGGTTTCGAGAAGGAGATATCTGGATTCTTGTTCGCTTGGTTTCTCCTTGATACGCTCATCGGTTTGGTATTGGCTGTTGATGGTTTCGTTGCCATTGTGGATTCGAGGAGGAGAGGGAGAGAGATTGTGAAGGAAGGTCTTTACTTGGTGTCTCTTCTGTTGCATCAGGCTGTGCAGATCAAGTGTCTCGAAGCGATTCTCTGTGGGTCTGTGTTCAGATCGATTCTGGTTCGAATTGTGGGGAGAAGCTTTGCTTGTGTGATTCAGTGTGGCTTGGAAGTTTACTTCATGGCGGCTTGGTTAGTGTTCTACTTAGCGGTTAGGTGTAAAGATGCGGAGGCAGCAGAAGGGAGGAGGTTCGGGAGAAGAGAAATGGAGAATATGGTTGATGGGTTGAGATGATGATGATGAGATTGTGGATGGAGCTTTCGGTTTTCCAAAGGAGCAAAATGCTTAAAGCTAGTGGCTTGGCTACATACTCTGTGCCGAGAAGTTGGGTTTTAGAGTTACGGTAGATTTGATATGATTGCCAAAAAGATTTTCGATGTATGTACGAACTTAGGATTGATTACTTGCGAGCTGTGAAAAGAGAGGAAGCAACGATGTATACACATTTGCAAGATTTGTCCTTTGTATATATATTGCTGCAGTTGTTGATATCTAAACCATTTTGGGAATGATCCAACTATTTTGATCTTCTTTATGTGGGGATACGATATGGTTAGAAACTCTGTGGATTGACACAATGGAGATTCAAGCCTTATGGTTTAAACATCGTGACTGAATTTAGAGCCTCTTGTTTAGTCTTGCTTCCTATGAAAGATCTAACTCTTGGTCATAATTTCTTATTTGCAACGTATTCTTCTAAGAACTACTCTTGTGGCTTGTTACTTCTTCGTTCTTGTGGTGATTGGATATAACAGCAGACAGGGTTGTTTTCTATTGATCGGTGACTGTATGATCTCGCAGAGACATTCTCTCTGTTTTATGTTTTGCAAAAACTTGTTACAGAACTGAGTCATTTGGTTTCTAAAACATTGATTGGCCTATGTCTTGAGATGTGTGAGAAGGTGAAGTTGTTTAGACTTTAGAGTCATCTCCCTCTGCCCTCACTAGGAAACAATATTTGTTAGACTCTGATGTTTCAGTTTAACTGGAAACAATGGAGCTTTTGCAAGTTTCTTGAGTCATTTTCATGTTTTAATGTCTCCTATTCAGTAACTAGCTCTGGCTTTAGTAGCTTCATGTATTTCATGGAGCTGGAGAAGTGTGTTACTGAGTTCTAAGCTTGTTTACTGCTTGACATTAAGCTAATAACATTTTTCTCATTGAATTTAACGACACATTTAATACAAAAAGTCTTACATTATTAGTGTACCGCCATAGCTTAGCATTAAACCAACATTCTCTTTGGAAACGTGGAGCTTTATAAATTAATAAAAATGTCTTCAAGTCCACTGTACAAGAACCTTCCTAGATACACATGCAGTTCTGATGCTGTGGAGCACTAGCGCACCGGACAACATCAAGGAAAGTGCTCTCATTGCAAGGAATCCAAAGTCTGGCGTCAGCATTGAAACCGTAAGCATCCTGTGCTTGATCAAGCAATGCCCTGAAGAGTGAGTGTTGAAGCAAGCTGATCTTTATCACAAACCTCTTGCAGTCCTCACCCACATAGACAACCAAGTGTCCTTTAGGAACATCTCTTGGTATCACCTGATCAGCTTCTTTCTTGAACGCCCAGCAGATTCTTTCCAAGCATGTCTCGCAAGAAGTACAAGATAGTGTGACTTTGCCTGTCATCTTTTTGAGTTTCTTCTCGCAGGATTTGATGAACTTGCTCTTCATTTTTTTTAATTAGTAGGAGGAGAAGTTTTAAGATAAGATTAGATAGAATGTTGTGATGAAGGAAAGGATATGTCTTTTTGGATGAGAGTACAAGGAGGAAGGACATGGGTTTATATATATGTGTCGAAGTAGAAGAAATATCAAAGTTTCCTCATTAAATGTTTGGACACATGACAGTTAGCCAAATGGGGTGAGATGGGCAACTTTTAAATGATACACTGTTTTGTTCAACCGTGCGGTTTTGTTATTTTTTGCATCTTAATACGAAACTGTACGAACACACGCACACACACACTGGTTAGAATGTGCAATAAAAAATTGCTCTATTTTTTTTTGTTCTGCCAATTTCACATTGGTGTCAGAGTTCTCGAAGTTCATGGGGGATTAAGACCCCACAAAGACAATAAGATCAGAGATAGAGAGGAGATAAGATCTGAGAGGAACAGGGTCCAGGGATGGGTCTAAATCTTCTTCTTGAAGAAAATGTGATCCTGGTTTATGACTCATGCATTGGATATTCTAAAATATAGTTTCAGTTTGATCTGCAGAAATGTTTGTCTCCAGATCTATTGGCTTCTCATAAATCTCTGTGAATCAGACTCAACTAGCTCAAATGATTACTTGAGTTGTCTACACATGGACTAATATAGAATCCTGCATTCATGTTGCTAAAGTATGATCAGTATTTTTTGTAGCAAAATTTAGGTGGTGAAATTTTTACCGATAATGAGGTAACTAAACTTTTACAGTTGAGTTTTTTTTTTTTACTGAACAAAAAGCTCACGAGATAGTTACCGTAAAAGTACGTGGGAGGATTGTGGTCACAAGAAAGAGATAGGGATGGTGAAAGGCTAATTGTCTCTTGGGGAGGTACACAGATGGAGAAGTGTCAATATTGGAGGGTCCATTATAAGAGTGAAAGAGTGAATCATTGATTAGGGTTCATCCCCCTAAGGACTAACAAATATGTTTCCTTGAATTGGGAGTAAGAGATGCTCATTGTTACACCATTTCATCTTCTAAAAATGTCTCTCTCAGATCTATCTATCTGTAATGTTTGTGTTGTGTGTGTGTTTTGAAGTTGGTTTGTGCCTGTCAAATAACAACGACTGCCATTCCTAAGCTGGCTTCTTCTGCCCTTCAATTTATTGCGTGCATGTGCAAAAACTCTTCTGATACATACTTGTATCTCTCTCTCTTCTCCCCTTTTTCGCGGAAGATAGAAAAATATAATATTTTTATTACCAACTTATCAAGATGTTGGAATTGTCTTCTCAAGATGTTTAGGCTAGTTCTTCGTAGCAATGACCTCTCAAGATATGTTTCTTTCATGTTTGAACTACTTTGCATCCCAAACAATAAATTTGTAACCAAAAATTTGAAGATGAGGAATGTAAACATGTTGTAGTATTTACATTCAATACCTTTTTATTAGTCGGAATGTTATCATAATTTTACGATTGATTTCTTTTCTTTATTTAATTAGCACTCGGAAAAAATAAAGTAAATTAAAGTTGAAATGGAAATTAATTTGAAAAAATTACAGATGAAAATGTAGAAAACGAAAATAATGATATAGAGATGTTAACATTCAAAACTTTTTTTAAGATATTTTTTATGGTTAGAAGTGAAAAGATAACCCTCCAAAACATTTCTAAAACACTTTTTAGAATTTTTTTTGTTTTCATTGAACATCACAACTCCCTACTTCATGTTTCTTATGAGCACACGTACTAGTGGCGGTGGTCTTGGTATGAACTTGCAAACTACAGACAATGTTATTATTTTCGATAGTGACTGACATCAACAATTGGACCAGCAGGCAGAGGATCGTGCCAATAGAATAAAGGAGATATGTAGGAGATAAGCGAGTTTGTTATTAGATTCAGTGTTACATCAGTGTCCAAACTTTGTTTTTTCAATGATATAACTCACAATAAGCTTGTTGATCTGTTTAACGTAAAGCCCTGCTTAAATAGTTAGTCTTACTCATTTACCACCTTTATGTATGGTTTTGCTTTTGCATCTCTTCTACAAGCAATTCAAGAACATGTTTGAGTCTGAAATTGTATTCTTTTGAAATAGGTGAATATTAAAGCCATTGTTATTTTTTAATAATCAACCAAATTTCCCAAAAATTACCTGAAATTACCGCAACTAACTTAAGAAACCGAACTAACCAAAATGATAAAAAAATTAAAATTACGTATTTAGAGGGATCATTTCAAATAATCCACTTTTGTGTTTATATTAAAGAAAAATCTAAACTTGAATTTGAATCTGACGGTTCCAGCCCTTCGGGGGTCTTCAGTTTAATATGGACCCGGCATTATCATTACGAAAATGTTCTGTCCGTATTTAGGTTACTAAAACTACTGTATACAAAAATACTATTTGACGTCAAGGATGCTTCATTCAGTTAATGATATTCTTTTTGTAGGTGGGCAACCAAACCAAATTAGCCGAATAGTAATCTACTATATGTTCAGATTTTAAAACAAAAAGATTTTTAAAAACCAGCCGAATATGCATGACCCTTTTATTTAGTTTGATAAATTTAAGTTTTAACAACCCAACACCCAAACAACTGAAACTGAACCATAATCCGGACTGAATACATTTAGCTAGTTAAAAGTTGTGTTGCATGAAAACAGAAATGGATACGTGGAAGAGAAACGTTTCGGGAAACATCTTTTTTGGAAAAATAAGAATGGAAATGTTTTGGAAACGTATACATATATAAATATATATGAAATTAAAAAATGTAAAATAAAATATTAGAAATTAAAATCAATAATTTCTTGGCAAGAAAATATTTCTGTTAAACTTATATGGAAATGATGAAAATATCCCATTTAAGCTCACATGTTATTTTTATCGTTACCGATTTCAGAGTATTCTTCAACAAGAACGATACGTAGACATTGAAATTGCATGAAACCATGAATGTTAAAACAACCAAAAAAGCCTATTTGTGGTTGTGTTGCTGCTATTTGTTACTAGCTTATTCGCATTGGAGAATGGAGAATGCAAAGGAAATGGACTTTAAGCTTTTACTGAATTGAAGTCAAACTCCGGTTTCATTAACAAATGCAAATAAAACTCATAATCCTAATTATGAGAACTTCAACTTTCCAACACAGTTAAAACAATTCTCCATGAAGGCTATCACTATCATCAACTCCTCTTCTTCTTCTTCCTTGAAATGTTTCGGCTTCTTGAGGAATCATGAACGAAACTCAATGATTTTAAGTGGAGCGAAGCAAGTTCTCTTACACGATCTAGAATATCCTTAGGGATAGGACGAGCCGGTGACTTTCGTTCCTGAACATTCTCAAAATTACGTTAAATCTCAAAATATGGATTTTACTTGACAAAAAGGAAGAAAAAAAGGAGACAAACCTCTCCATCAACATGCTTGCTTGCTTTCAGTAGATTACGCCATTTGTCCTGCATAGTTTTGAAGAGAATAACTGAGACACCAAACCAAGCACTACTAAAAAAAAATGAAAGAGTTTGATATTTTTAGGTGATAAATACTCTGATATCAATTGGTGTGCGGTGCGATTCATAACGAAAGAAGAGGTTCTTTATATCAGTCCATTTGCCAACACCAAAGTGAGAAATACCATTAACCAACTTCACCACTTCATCAAGAGTCCACATCCTCTGATTCTTTCTCCTGTCACTTCTGCTTTTGGATGTGTTTGTCACACAAATGTCATCTTCGCTCTCAGATGAAGTTAGTTGGTCATCAGATAATGCATTCTCCTGCAATATCAGAGATGGTATTAGATTTACATTTACATAGATATAAAATAACAGACTTAAAGAGCAAGACAAACCGTTATAGTATGAATGTGTTTCCTCAGAGGTCCTTTCCGAGGCCTGAAGTCATAGGAAACACAAGACATTGCTCCACCGGAACAATCTGATCTGCAACATGAAAATGACAGCATTCAGTAGGAGATCTGATCACTGACAAGATTATCTTGAATGTTACCTGCTACGGGCGGTGTTAAACGAATTGGTTTTTCGACTCTTGCCTCGTCCAACCCAAGAGCCTATAAAAGTGGACAGTGGTTTCTTGTCATCTCCTGGCTCACAGAAACATAGTGTCTCCTTTGAATTCGTATCCAATACATTCTTGAATTCAGAATGTGGAACAGTTTCTTTTGACCACTCAGAGAGTCCAATGCTTCCACTAATTCCAGAAGAATAAGATTCTGAACTGAGGTTCATAAGACCATAAGGGTCACCATCTGTGTCAGACACTTGCTTCTTGACTTGAGTGTCTGCAAGTAAAACATGAAATGGATTGCAGTAAACCATATACTCCTCAGATGCACTTAGATGATAGGAATCACATAAATTTACCTGGAAGGCAATGATCACCAATAGAAGAAAGGTTGTGTGGTGCGTAGATATCTTCCACTTCATCAACTTCATCCAGAAACCCTTCAAGAATCTACAAGATGAGAATGTCATAAGAACTTCATTTAACAAACGACCAAGAAACAAACCATGTAATGCAGAGCATAACATACCTCGAGCTTTAAACCTGATTCCCTGTCTTGAGTGCTACAAGAGTCTGATCCACCTTACACAAAATAAAAGATAACTCTGGCATCAACCATACTCCCATTTACAATGTTACAAAGCATTCAGATTTAGTTGACTTTTACCATAATCTGGGAGAAAGTTAAAGTCAAATCCATGAGAAAACTCCTCCATCTTGGAGCTTATGCCCATATTCTCCATACCGAGGCCTAAGAAACTGTCCACCGCAACATTGTCATGTTTAGGTTCCATTAGGTAATGCTTCATTGTATCCTCTACTGAATGGCAACCATTCTCATCAACCTATCAAGCAAATATATATGCAAAAACAAAAAACCATTTAAGTCATGAGATAAATCCATCCTAATGTTCAAGATAAACCAAGGACCACAAAGTGAAGAAGAAGAAAGAACATGTTCTCACACTCTGATACTTGAAGTCAGCTAAGTTTTCAGGAAAATCAGGTCTCTGGTCCATCCCAAAAGGCCCCATTCGACTCCAGTCCATGTTCTTTTACACTACAAATTACACAAGTAAGTCACAAATAATTGAACAGAAACCGACAATGTTGCCCATAAAACCCAATCTAACTTTACATGCCATGACAAATCAGAAGCTGGACCTCATTTCTCTATCAGAAAAAGCTATACACATTTTTTTTGTTTATCTCAATCCATTCCATGCATTTTAAGAATACTAGTAAGCAAATTCAAAGCAAGAAACATGTTCTCCAAAATTTTAAAAACATTAATTTGCGCTATAATCTAGAAATATAATAAATCTAATTAGAAACATAGCGACAGACATTCTAAGGCAAATACAGTAGCAAGACAGATTTCTGTCGGGTGATCTCAGAAGATAAAAGCCAAAAAAAAGAGGAAAAATCAAAACGTTGAGCTACAGAAGCGTCGATTATTTATAGTACAATCACCAAATCAAATGCAATGCAATGCAAAAGATAGACATAAAACAAAAAGAAATTACGTATATAGTGGGCCAGTGAGAGGTACACAGCTGTTACACCATAGTAAGCCCACAAAATTAGCAAAAAAAATTAAAATTAAAATAAATTTTCCTGGGAAGAAGAAAAGGAAAGATGAAATCTCTCTGCTTAAGCTTATCCTCCTTAAACTAAGCACCTGGATTCATTATAAACGAATCAACGAGATCATACATACATTGCGATCGATCTCAAAAGAAGAATCTATAACTTAAATAAACCTTTCGCAGTAAAATTTACTAGATATGGATAAGAGAGATCGTTTAACAGAGAATCTAAGGCAATGTCAAAGAAAAATATCCGAAACTGAGAAGAGAAATAAGAAGAAGAAAGGATTAACACTCACGGCGGCGATGAAATGGCGATGACTGTTGGACTGCGATGATTTTATTTGTTTTTTCTTTTAATTTTCTTCTTTGTTGCCGGATTCGAAAAGCTTTATTTATTGAGTTCGAAATCCAAAAATGACGTAAGTCACCGTGTAAAATATAACGTGCGTTTCAAGTCCGCAACGACGACAGATGGTGTTCATGAACGTCTACTGTTATATTCACTCTCACACTGTGAGTGGCTGACTCGGATCACGGAAAAGTTTCGATTCCCTTAACGCCGTTAATGACTCATCTCACGCCGACTATTAAAAAAAACACATGGGCTTCCACAGTCAAAGCCCAAAATTTAGATAAAACCACCTAACACTTCGCCGTTTTTCAGGAATTGCCAAACTAAACAAACTTAATATTGTACACTGTTTTTGGTTTATAGAGAAGCACTCCTTGCCGTTTTCATGCGGAGCTAAACATAGTCATAAGAGTGGAGAAGACTTAAGAGGATTGGGCTTGGACTCCTTGGACGGCAGGAGGATCTCCAGCGGAAATCAAACCTCGGATCTTGACGTCATAGTAAACTTCCTCGACTCTTCTCAAGTCATACTTCATACCTTTTGTCACATTGTCAAAACGATCAAAAGATTATGTTACAGTCTAACACTTGGCTATGTATACAAATGGAGGAAGAGCAGATTGGAGATAAAAGAAGACTTACTGTCGAATTTCTTGCGGAGAAAATCGTTCCTGAGGTTGAGCATGCGAAAGGCTGCATGAAGATCCGTCAAGAAGTTCATCACCTTTCTTGGGCAGTCATAGTCTCCTGCTGTCACTCGATTGACCACGTACCTAGGCTGCTCAAACATTCGATTGCATCACCAGAAAATGAGTTATCGTAATTTCCATTTCCATTTCCATTTGCAACAACAGAAAGAAGAAGACCAAGTAAGATTTAGGGATAATATGATCCTACCAAATCGTTTGACATGAAACAGATTCCTGCAAAGATTGAAAAGCTAAAGATTAGAAAATGTTGATGTTCATAAAATGATCTATATATTCAGCCACAGAGAAAAAATTCGAATAAACATACCAGTCAGATAATCTTCTGTCTCCAATCCAAATTCCAAACTGTTCACTGAAATACAATGAGCCGAGTTAGAAGAGACACAAATTAGAGATGATTAGACCAACAACTTTGAAGACTACTAATCCAAATTTGCAGCGAACCAACCCTTGTGAGCAAAGGCCTATTCTATACCAACGTAACCAAAACCAACTTTTCCATCATCATCATCATCATCATCTCAAGAGATAAAAACTCAATTGGTATTTCATTTGAAAGCAAGAAAAAGAGTAAATTGAGATCCAGAGACATTACAGCCAAGTTTTTCTTCAGCTTCGGTATGCACAAGAAGAGTTCCAGTTTCTAGCCAGTGCATAAAAGCAAGCTGGGAGACCACTGCCTGTGTTTCACTTCTCCAGTCTCCATGGTACCTAATTTACAAAAACCTTTAACACTAAACCATTCCAGAAAATGCAATTTGCAAGAAAAAAAATTTGAAGAAGAATCAAATTTACCTATAGTACTGTCCAGGACACTTCTGAAGGATTTCAGCAAGCTGGCCGTAAAACTTCCTCAAGTCAGTGATTTTTTCCTTAGCTTTCTCCACAACCTCTGATTCATCAGACAATAATGAAGCAACTTTATTAGTAACAACCAAAAAATTCCAAGGAATTTCTTGATAAGCAACAGTCATGTGTGATTAACATTCATTCTTTCCTTCAGAACAAGCACGCAAGTTCTTCATTTTTATTTGCTACGCTTTCAAGAGATTATCCTCAAGCAAGTTCTGAATCTAAACGAAAGCCATTTCTATCATTCTTCTCAGAATCAAATCAAAAGATGAAATTTCAACCTATATTTCATTCCAACTACTGAATCATTTGGAATTCGAACTCGCGTGTGGAGAACAAGCGACTCCTACCTCATAATAAGCCAATACAATAGGCAAGTACCAAAACAGAGGATGTTTATCGATGCGATTACCGGGAATGGGTCGCGATTGGTGAACAAGGAGGAGGTTAGCTTGAATGAGCCTCGTGGCGGACTCAATCTCCATAACCACAGCACGAATCTGCTCGCGCAAAGCTGCGGAATCGTCGAGCTGAACACGGAAGTTCTCGAACTGCTTCTCAAGCAAATGAGACGATGGTGGAGGCACCTGGTCATTCCCTCCCGCCATTGGAATGTAGGAAGGAGAAGAAGAAGTGGAAGATGAGCAGAAAGGAGAGGAAAATGAAGGTGACACCGCGTTTCGAAAGCGAAGAGGAGTGGAACGCCGAGGAGCAGCTTCGACGGAGATGAGAGGAAGGAAATGGAGAATCGCAGAGGAAAAGGGGTTAGGGTTTACCAGACGAGACGCAGTAAAGTGAACGCTTCGAAACGCCGAATTCATCATTGTTAACTTGCGCCGGTTCTATTTCTCTCATTCCGTCACCATCTTTATGAACCAAATTGAAAATTAACCGGAACGAATAAACCAAACCGAATCGAACATCGGTCAGTTTACATTCAATTCGTTACAACCAAGAACATACCAATCTGATTTTTCTTGGTAATCACATTATGTAAAATGTGTTCTTACAACATGGTAGTAAAGTATGTGTAAAAGAACAAAATGGGAATTCTAAAACTTTTCTAATTCTAGAAACTACTTAAATAACTCGTTTAATATAATGTAGTCAAAAATAGGACTTTGTTACAAGATTTTATACAATATGTACGCCTTTTTAATCACGGTTATTATTTAGATTATTTCTTCTTGAAGGTAACCATGCAGAAATAAGCTATGAATCGGCAAATGATACCCATGAGAACGAGAACAATGAGACATAAGACCCAATCACTAAGATCATATCCGTTTTGAGACAATGAGCTGCACCTAGTCACCACCCACACTCCAGAGTACCTAAACCAAACAAAAATATCCAAAATCAAAATCATTCATGAAATATTATGTGATGATGAAGAAAATTCTAGAACTTTCTATATATACCTTTGAGCGTTGGAAAGGACAAAAGCTTCAAGAGTCCATTTGGGGTAACAAAATGTTCCAAGATACTTAAGAACTAGGCTATCTTTATCTTGATTTGCGATGAGAGTCAACACAACGGGTACTAACACCGACATCTGCAAGAACAGTATATAACAGCATAAGTTACTATCTCGGTTGTGTGTCATCTTGTGAAACTTGTATGAGTTATTAGAAACTGAGAACAAACCAATTGGGCAGCACTAGGATTGTAGACTATGGCAAATATGTAAGCCATCCCCGTTACGCAGTAGACCAAACATACGAGTACAATGTAGTTGTCTTCGAAACTTGATCTCGGATTGTTGAAGAAGTAGAACATGGACAAGTACACTAAAGGTTTAACAATTGTGTTCAAATGGTCCATTGTATCTTTCGCCAAGAAATGTGCCAAACTGCTAATTCCAGCCGCACTTTCTCTCCAATATTGTAACTTATCCGCGGAGAACGATCTCAACGCCGAAATCTTACACAAAAGAGCTACACAAAAAAAGATATAGAAGAAATTAAAATAATGCTTAGTCAGATTATAAGTCAATATATTGTGTATTTTAATAAAAACTTACAAACGGCTATGATCGTGTATGTGTAGCCAAGTGAACCAATTGTCTCGTCGTTGACCTTGGCAAGAGTTCCTAAACAAGCTCCTGCAACTAATAATATTAGTAAATCTAGGGCTTGTAGTCTTGCTTCTCTAAGTCGTTGTTTCCCAACCCTGAAAAAATGTAGACTTAAAGGTTAATTTTTACATATATTGAAAAAAGGATTTTGTATAATGTCAAAGTCTTAGAGAAAAACGTACCTTCCAATAAAATATCTATATTGTCGACCTAAACTAGGAGTTACTCGATTAGAATTGTCTTGAGAATTCGAGTAATTGTGTTGTAACTGATCTTTCTGCATCTCCACATTTGTTTTCACATCTTCCCATAGATCATTACCAAACGAGTTGTGAGATGAATCATCATCTTGAGCTGGTCCGGATGATGATGGGAGTCCATCACAGAACTTCAACATATCATGCGGCACTGGATAGCCATTATGCAACATCCATCTCACAGGAAGTTGTTCTATAGTGATGTCACTATTTGGTTTCACAATGCCTTCGAGAATGTCTATATAATGATCAGGAGGATTGACACGATCAGGAACCGTGATTCCGATTCCAGCAAAATATTCTTCGATTTTCTTGACTGATCCATGGTACACGGTTAGGCCACCTTTTGCTAGTATTATCATGTCATCGAACATCTTGTACATCGTATAACTGATCAGAAATGAAAGAAAATAACAACCCATTATTGAGCTTCCAATGTTAAAAAAAAATATATACTATATTCATTTCACAAAAATATAACCTTTACACTTTAATGGTGACCAAAAATGTATTTTAATATCCTAATACGTTCTTGTTTTATAGTATCTAGTAACTAAATAAATCAATCTTGAATTAACTTCAAAGACATTCTTTATTAGAACTTATATTAATCAATTATGGATATAACGTACCTAGGTTGATGCACGACCATGCAAATGTTAACACCTTCAAGTGCTTCACGTCGAAGTGCCCTAAGAAGTAACTGCGAAGATGCACTATCTAAACCTGTTGTAGGTTCGTCCAATATCAATAGAGAAGGTTCCATGACCATTTCAACACCAACGTTCACTCGTTTCCTCTGCCCTCCAGAGATTCCTCTTTTTTCTACCGTACCAACTAACGAGTCTCTTACATGTTGTAGTCCTAAGCTTTCAATCACTCTTTCAATGATTAACACTTTGTCTGCTTTTGACATAAAAGCACTTAATCTGCATGTAAAAACATATGGATGAGAAGATAAGCAACACTATAATAATATCTTTTTTTTTTTTTTTTTTTTTACTTTGGTAATATACTTTATCATGGCTTAGTTACCTGCATCTTGCGCTAAATCGAAGGTTCTCCTCAACGGTAAGATTTCCATGCACAACATCATCTTGTGGCACAAATCCAGTGATCTTCTTGTATGAGTTTATAGATTCATTTTTACCATTTATAAGGATTAGACCAGTCCTCGTACATCCGGTTGCCTTTCCTGCCAAGGCAGAAAGAAATGTAGTTTTTCCAGCTCCTGATGGACCCATGACTGCGGAGACACGGCCAGGCATGATCTTTCCGGTAACAGATCTCAATATATGCTTATGTTTACCCTTCAACGTAAGTGTCAAGTCCTTGAAAGCAACCTCTATGACAGGTCTAGTCCTAATCTCAGTGTCAGTGGCCATGGAAATAACTCCTGAGAATGTCAAGTTCTGGTTGTTTTGCTCCATAGCTTTCTCCTTCTCAATCTGACCATATGCGTACTTGAAAATCTGGCTTTGAGTGTGTAGGGCTTTGCCCTTTGGAGCTTGTGGCTTCTTCCCATGTTTACTTCCACTTCCCACGTTAAACCCTTCGTTGCTGTTCGGGTTTTGTTCCATTGACTTCATCATCTTGGTTAAATTACTCTCCTTTTTCTTGTCTTTTGACTTTCCACTTGCTTTTTCAGGTTCTTTCTTAGATTTCATGCGAGAGAATGTTTGAGATAGTTGCGCAGACAATCCCATCTTTGGGTTCTTGGCAACATCTCTTGCAGTTTTCCATCTTTCACGAGCTTGTGTTGTCTCTTTTGCGTGTCTTGCTGCAGCTTCTCTAGATTTTGCTTGTCTTTTTTCTCGAGTGGCAAGAACTTGATCAGAGCAGTTATATACCATGATCATCAGAAGACTTAGTGCCGCCTACATATACAATAAAGAAACTCTAATTTCCAAATTAAGGGAAAATGTATAATACTTGTTTTTCTTGTCATTTAATAACTCACAATTAAGATGGCTCCATAGGCATGAATATTTTGGTTTGCAGTATTTGGATTACAAGTTGCGAGCTTGAAGCATGCTGAAACAATCACACAAAAAAAGGAGAAAATAATTATCAGTTTCAGCATGTATATTATAAAAAAAACCACATTTAAATTAAGAGAGAATTGCCTAACATAGTAACATAGACCATAATTTTTTTTAGAATGAAAAACTAGACCGTCTATATCACTTATGTTAAACACGACCAAAAAAAAAAAAAACACGACCAAAAAAAAAATATCACTTATGTTAATATTAGTCTTTTGGATAGTCAAATTACAAACCCCACATTTCTGAACAAAGAAAAAACGATAGCCATAATGACATCGTAATGAAGTTTACTTCTTAATCACAATTTACATTTAAATTATAGAATTATAACAAAGTCTTCTGGTTATGAAAACTTACGTTTTTGGGAAGTAGAACCCTGTCTGCAGTAGTGTCTGTGTAATACATGTAAATATTTGATGAGCTCATTAACTTTGTACATAGTAAGAAAACTTTACTTTTTGTTTAAAAATTTTGATATACGAGCAATTATTTGAAAATGTAACAAGAGTTGTGAGATAAAAGAATCAATACCCACTACCACAAGTGACTTTTTGAATCGTGGTTGGGCAAAATGAACCTGGAGAGCAAAACATATCACCACTACTCTCAGCATCAACCCAACTATCTGCTGATCCACACGTATGGTTAATCTTTCCCGGAGGTATTTGATAATTATATCTGCAAGAAAAAGAAATTTCTTTAATCAATCAATCACTAATATTATTTCTACGTTAGAATAGTAAATTAATCTAGAGAACTTAACAACTTACGGCTCGCAAACTCCTGTTGCTTTATTAAGCTTGGCAAGTGGGCAATAAGCGCCTAATGGACACGCTTTGTTTACATAAGTCAAAAGAAGAAACAACAATGAAGATGTTAGATTGTTTGTTATAATGTTGATCATAATATGGTTTGTTATGTATGTGTGTGTAGAGATTTCTTACGTATCATGCAAGCAAGACCTTGTGGACAAAAGAAACCCTCACAGCAAGGTAGACATTTACGAGTTCTAGATGGAAGAATTTTCCCATTGTTGAGATCAAAGTTTTTATCATCATCTGCTCTACAACTCCATCCCGGTTCGCATCCGGAAACCCATTTAGCTAGATTGCAGTTTACGTTAGGCTTTACATGAACCGTTGTTGATAGATCCCTTCTAACAAAACTATTGAAATAGAACTTTATCTCAGCAGCTGAACATAGTCTAAATGTGAGGTCACCTGCATAACAAGAACATCAAAATTCCAATGTTTAAGTGTTTGACTTGATCAATATCATTTTTTTTTCTAAAAATAACCTTCTTACCATCGGTTTTCTTGACACAATTGGTTAAGAAGTCCAGATTTTTATCAAAATCAAATGCTTCATCCCAGTCGTTCTTCCTGAATTATAAGCAAAAAATGTAAAATTTAAATAAATACATATGTATATGCTTAAACATGGAACATGCATTAGCTGATTTATGAGAATACTTACAAATTTTTGATGCAATATCCTAAATCCCGATCAATGTCAGCCTTTAAGGCATTCTTTAGATTCTGAAGTCGGTTGTATATAATTTTTGTAACGGGAACAAGAACTTTTGGGTCTCCTGTGTTGCTGTATTCATCTCCATCTATACATGATGCAAGCGATATAAAACCCAAGACACAAACGAAGAACAACAAGACGTGTTGTAGCCAACCAGCACCAATCCTAGCTCTCATTCTTCCCAATCTAAGTCTTGGACAAAAATCACAATCGGCCGAAGCAAAATACTTGAAATGTCTGAACCAACATGTCAATGGTCACATTGGAAGCTACCAATGAGAATGTCATATGTTTCTCTATCATGTCTCGAGGAAAAAAACTTAGCCGTCTTATAAAATCCACGGCAATGAAACTAGAGAAAAACAATTAATTTTTTTTTTTTGAAACCAAAAATGGGAGATGAAAGAAACTAAAGAAAATTAACGAGATTGTTACAAAAGAAAATCGTAAAACTTGAAATGGTAACGATGAGATCAAAGTCAGAAAGGTGAAAAATGAGAGACTTGTGTGAAAAAAGAGAGTAGAGAAGGGTCATCGTAAGAGTCATGGAAGGAGATCCATGTTTCTAGCAAATGGAATGAGAAAAAATGAGTGGTCTTTTATAATCTGTTTACCAAAAATAGAATATGTGTGGCTATATTGAAGGAGCATGATCATGATTTCTTGGATTTCATGTGAATATTTTTGTGAAAATTTTGACAATTGTTTTACTTAGGTTTTTGACAATTTCTTGGATTAAATGACATGCATTATTAAAAATAACGAATCAGTAGAGAAAAAAAAAATCGAATATACAATTTAAATACGTGACACTAATTTACTTCAATTTTGTTTCCCAAAAGAAAAAATGCAAGATGACAAGCATAGAAGATGTTGAAATTACTAGAAATGCATGCATGTTCTGTTGAATTGTACTTTGACACTTTGTATTATACTTTGTTGTTTAAGATGTTTTGTGGAATCATACAATAAATTAATATGCTAATTTGGCACATGAAGCTAAACTTTACACGTAGCAACAAATATTATAACTTATATATAAAAATCTCTCATAGTTTTCTTCAGTTATAAAACTTTCGTACAGGTCTGTTTTATCTCCGTAAATCCTAACTGAAAGTACTACATTGAAACGTTAAAAACCTCAAAACGCAAAAGCTTAATCTGACTGGTCGTGATCGCGTTTGCGGTCCTCCAACGCCTCCCTCTGTCTCCTCTCATCATCCGCGATCTCAACGTTAGGCTCCGCCAATTCTGCCGGAGTAGTGTTCATCGGCTGTAAAAGCATCGCCGTGAACGGCATGTGATTGTAAACGTTCACGGGATATTGAATCCCGATTGGCTGACATAGATCCAGCCAGCAGCTCGCCGGTTGCTGCGATTGTAACTGCGGTTGCGTTTGCGTTTGCGGCGCAACCATTGCGAACATCATCTGCGGCGAGGAATCAACCGGCGAAACACCAACGGACGAGGAAATCGGCTCGGAAGGATTAGTCCCGGTGCCTGTGGCGGCAATAATCGACGGTTCGGCTTGGCTGAGAAGCCACTCTAAGGTTTCTCCGTCGGATCGGTGACCGAGCTCACGCGTCAGCTGAAAAATCCGAGCGGCGGCGAGAGCTGGCATCCGAACGCGACGGCCTCTCCCGTAAACCTTAGTGTGACGGTCCTTAGTCGCGCCGGAGGACTTGGAAACAGCGTTCTTCGATTGGGGACGCGATTCGGGAGCTACAGCTCCAGCGTTGGACTCAGCTGTGCCCAGTTTGTGAAACTCCATCTCTGATGAACTCATCGATTTTAATTATTCTAGTAATTTAATAAAAAAGGGTCTGTGCTTTAGTGTGAGATTCGGATAGAGAGAATCTAGGGTTCGCAAAGAGGTATCAGATAATCAGAAGGAAGGAGACGAGAAGAAGACGATGGTGATTCGAATGATCCCACTCTTTACTCTCTGACACGTTAGACAGTTTCTCTCGGGAAATGGAGGCTAATATTCGTTTTTCATCCTAATCATAATTAATTAAATTTTGGGCCTTTTTGGGATATAGGCCCAATAGCAGTTACTCTTCAGCCCAACCTGATCCTGCAAGTAGGAAAAAAAAAAGGGAACAAAAAAAAATCTGACTTCCATGGAAGCACAAAGTTTTGATTTTTATAAGAAAAAAAAAATATATAATTGGGAGCGAGTGTTTTTGCCTTATCTGCTCGTAATGAGCCAGTAGAGACAGAGTAGCCTCATGTTATTGATTCTTCTTCCTTAGGCAAAAGCAGAGTCTGTAACTTGGTCAATTTTCTGGAAATGGAAGCTACGAGGAACTTGGTTTCTTCATCTCCTTCGTTTCCGACGAAGACACATCTCAAGAGCAGCTACTCTTCTCCTTCCTCTGGTACTTCTTTTCACCATTTCAATTCAAAATTCGTGTAGGCGCGCGTACTGTGCATTGGCTGGTTTTTTACCATGAATTCGTCTGGAGATTTCTTCCTTTTTCCCCTTTTGCTACTTCAGCTCATGATTTGAAAATTCCGAGAAAACGGAAACTCTTCGTGATTCATTTCTCGCTTAGATGATCGTTGCTTCTGATTTTCTGAGCTCAAATTGGTTTGCTAAGTAAATTAGTCCCCTTTTAGAACTAGTTTGGTGTTGGCATTTTCTGAGGTGTTGTATGTATATCCTCTGGGTTATTTGCAGTAGTGATGATGCTACATGAACAAACAGCAACTCCTGTAGTTAATTCACGTCATCTCACCTCTCTATCTCGACATTTTCCGGCGTCGGTTCTCTCACAAGAGCCTCGAGAAGAGTCCAGGCCTCCTCTCTCACACGCGTTAAGAGAAGACAGAACATCTCAGGTGCTTTTTTATTGCCATCCTAAAAGCTTGAATTTTTCATAAAGCTCTCAACTTTCTAGTCTCTTGTTTATATTTGGTTCCTTGATATTTAAGTTGACGCTGGAGAGAAGGCAGTTTGATGAATTGGTTTCGTCTAGAGAAGATGAGAAGTTTGAACAGCAACTACTTCAATCTGCTGGTTTATGGAATTTGTAATGCCTCTGCCTTTCTCACCACCGCAAGTTTGGATTTTTAGCCGACCTATAAGTTTCCTGAATGATATAAGCAAGCACTCTCTTTTGCAGGTTGATATCTCCTTTAACAGCTGAGAAGCAATTACCGGCAGTTGCATCGCCTTTAGAAGATGCAGAAACTTTTGATGTGGTTGCACTAGCTCAGAAGGCGTTATCAGCTTCAAAACAAGCTGCATTGTTTGCTAAAGACTCTGAAGCTGATCCAAGAGATTCTCTCTCCACTAGGTTTGCTTCTTTGAACACTTGCTTGTCTATCTTATCAAATCTGCTTCTGCTACGTGCTGGCTATATATAATGTGAAAGTATTTGCATTTGTTAGCTCTTCCATGTCTGTACCGGAAGTGGGAACCATAGTTAGATCGAAGCGGCAGCTGGAGAGACGAGCAAAGAACAGAAGAGCTCCAAAATCAAACGATGTGGACAATGAGGTTCCTCAGAAAATCAATTCCAAGAAAAAGATGAGACAAGGGTTTGATACAGACGATGCGCTCCAGCTTTTCTTGTGGGGACCTGAGACAAAACAACTTTTGACTGCTAAAGAGGAAGCTGAGCTTATATCACATATACAGGTTTCATGTTGTTCTTGGACTTCTTCCTTCTTGTTGAGATTCACTGGAAGCTTTCCCTGGTGCTAACTTTCTTAATCTTTGATGTATATCAGCATTTTATAAAGTTGGAGAAAGTAAAGACTAGACTTGAATCTCAAAACGGATGCGAACCAACAATAGGCGAGTGGGCTGATGCTATGGGGATGAGTGGCACCGTCTTGAAATCCGAAATCCACCGTGGAAGAAGCAGCAGGGAAAAGCTGATTACTGCTAACTTACGTCTGGTAGTCCATATCGCTAAACAGTATCAGAATCGTGGACTCAACTTCCAGGACTTACTGCAGGTTAGCTTCAAAGACCTCTAGCTCTTTTGACATTTCCGTTGTGCAATAGAGTGATCTAACTTGAAGTCAAATTTCTTATGATGCTTCTTCTTGTGCTTCTCCAATGGTTTCTTAGGAAGGAAGCATGGGGCTAATGAAGAGTGTAGAGAAGTTCAAACCGCAATCAGGCTGCAGATTCGCTACTTACGCCTACTGGTGGATTCGACAATCCATAAGGAAGTCTATATTTCAAAACTCAAGAACAATCCGTTTGCCGGTAACTACAAACAATCAAGAACTTACATTATCTACTTTTAAAGGATCAACCTTTAAAGCAACAAATGGTAAAAATCTACTCTGTTTTTACAGGAGAACGTATACATGCTTCTGGGGAAAGTATCCGAAGCAAGAAAAGCGTGCATTCAGGAAGGAATATACAGTCCAAGTAAAGAACAAGTGGCAAGCCACGTTGGGGTATCAACAGAGAAGCTAGATAAACTGCTGTACAACACAAGAACACCTCTTTCAATGCAAGCTCCCATTTGGGCTGATCAAGACACAACCTTTCAGGTAACCCTTTTTTGGGAAGATGTTACTTTTACTAAGCGTAACTCGGTAATAACCGTTTAATAATCCATCCATAGGAAATAACACCGGACACTGGGATTGAGACGCCGGCGTTGAGCGTGGGGAAGCAGTTGATGAGGAACCATGTACGGAATCTCCTCAATGTGCTGAGTCCCAAGGAGAGAAGGATCATCAAGCTGAGATTTGGGATTGATGGAGGGAAACAGAGATCGTTGTCGGAGATAGGAGAGATTTACGGACTGTCGAAGGAGAGGGTGAGGCAGCTAGAGAGCAGGGCATTGTACAGGCTTAAGCAGAACATGAATAGCCATGGACTCAATGCTTATGCTGATATGCTTGTCTAGCTCATGGAGATATTGGCTTCTTCTATTAATAAAGATGTGTATACAAAAATGTACTTTTGTTATATAAGGGTTTTGTTGATATTTTTAAGGAAAATAGTACTTTCTTTGGATAAGAGTTTTGTCTCTGAAAACTTATTTTTTGTAAGGAAAAGGAGGGATTATCAAATTTTCATTATCTGTTCATTTCTGATTGCTGTGTAACTGTGCATATCTGTTTTAGTTCTTTTGATCAAGTTTTCAAAATCTTAAAGGAATACTAATTAGTGGTAAATTTGCGAAATATAGCAAAACTAGTTTAGTTCAATAACTGAACTGAGTTTTTTAGAGAGGTTAAACGATTTTGTAAGGGAAAAAAATGTTGTACTCTTGCTGACCCAAAATATTTCTCTATAATTGTATGTTTCTTAAACGGTGGTGGTAACTGGTAAATGACCATCACAAGCTTTTTATGATAAAGGACCATCACAAGTTTAGATAATGATGAATCAAGTTAGTTTCACCAAAAAGAAAAATCATATGATCTTCGTAGAATCCTTATATGTTACACACTTCTCCACTCAAATCATCAGTCTAGGAAATTTCGTGAAGGACCAGCACAAGTTTCCATAAACACTGACCGCTTGTTTAAGTGTAACGCGTCTGTTTATACTTATACATATCGACGAACCCTAATCTTTGTCGTCTTTTTTTTGGCATCGTAAAGTGTAACATGTAGTGTTCGGTATACCAATATTCAATAGTCTCAAAAATGTCGGAATGATTATTGGAAAAGTATGAACAAGTCTAGATCAGATACTATTGGTTCCACCATATCTATATAGCCTCCTAGCTACTGTCCTACATAATATCCACCCCTGTTTCTACTAATACTAACAAACAGAGATGAATAAACCGTTAACAGTAGATATATATTTTCTTATAGATAATAATAATAGCTAGGGTTCCTTGTTTTAATATACTGTTATAATAGTCACACATGTTGTACAAATGTTTTGGTTTTTGAATAAATTTTTTCATTACATTCAAAATATATATATATATATATATATATATATATATATATATATACTGTTTATTTCATAAAAAGCAAAAGTTATTGTCTACTGACTAACCATAATTGAAATAGCAGTGGAATGATACGATCACACGAACGATCTAATCATTTAACCCTAAATTAATCTCTTCAACCATTTGATCACCATAAAGATCTTTCACATTTTCCAGATTAATAGTCATTTATATATATATATATATATATATATATATTTCCTTACATTGAAAGGTACAATTCAAAGTTTGATACGTGAAATTTCAGAAAAGGCGTGTAAAAGGTAGAATCGTACGACGCCAATAAATTGCAATGAAGACGACAGTTCTTACAGATGGTAGGGTTTGGCTTACACGGACGACCACTCACGTTCAGGTGCATGCCAATGCGGCAAATGCTTCACCATTAAGTGGCTCAATCTTGATTTACATTAGAGGACGTCGACATATATATACATACTTTATTTTTTTATAATTATATGCACCCACCGTGTATGGTTGGTTTGGACAGTTACTTAGTAAAAAACATACTATTGAGTTTTTGATAATGCTTGCCCCCTCCACTTGACGACTATATACTAAACTCTCCATCTTTGTCTGTCTTCTAACAATTAAAGCTCATCAGCAGAAACCTTCAAACTCTTCCCATTATTGTTTTTGACCCAAAGACTCTTCCGTTATTTTATATTGTGGTCGGACACTCGGACTCACAAAGAGAAGAAACCAATCAATGGCACCGGAGGAGAATGGCACGTGCGAGCCGTGCAAGACTTTTGGGCAAAAGTGCAGTCATGTCGTGAAGAAACAAAGAGCCAAGTTTTATATCCTTCGCCGTTGTATCGCCATGTTAGTCTGCTGGCGCGACAACAACCGCAACCGCAACGACTCTTGATTTTTTCATTCTGAAATAAATTCATTTCCTTTTCTGTTTAATGCTTTTTTCCGGCGATATTTATCGTTGTTGTTTGTCAGCATCCAAGTTGAAACCCTACATAATGCATGTTAGCGTTTTTTTTTTTTTTTTTTGTGTTATCTTGGGCTGTCATCTTCACATTTTTCAATCATATATGTATACATATCAATGTGCATTCCAATGGGTAACTTTTGAATACGTTTTGGCTGCAACTCCATTTTATGTTTTATTATTTTGGTTAGCTCAACTAGTTTTTAAAGTTGTATATAATGATCAGATCTAATTATAATAACTAGTTTTTTTAAAATTTGGTTAGCTCAACTAGGTTTATACAATTATACTCATATATTGAAGATATCTTTCTTTTTTCTTAATTTAGGCAAATTTTGATTATTTGAGGTTCTTTTTGCAAAATTTTCCATTGATTCTTGAATAAGAGATTGGTCAAAAAATGATAATTCTGCCAAAATAACCAACCTGAAGTACTGGTAATAGATGCGAACGTGGAAAATTTCTGGCCTTTAGTATTTTCAAATGTTCCTTTTGTTAATTTAAAAGTGAGGACTAAATAAATGTTTCTACGGTAAATTACTGAATCAGGATAAAAATAGACGCTGTCATACATACTAAAGATAGAAACTTCTCTGCTTCATAATACAACACATCAAAGTTATCATCAGACTCGAAGTCACAGACACCATTTCTTTTGCGAGTGTTGTTCTTGTCCTTTCTTAATTCTACATTGATGCAAATAAACTTTATTTCTTCTATAAAATTTTAATGTAGAATTTTGTATGTTCTTTTGTTCAAATCTATTGAACTGCTGCTATATGATCATGATGCTTTAGTAATCAGTTATTGTCAATTTTCAGTAATATATTCAATTGGGTTGATGTTAAACGACCCACTTTCTGGTTTTTTGAGTCTTTTGACTATGTACAAACCGTAAGACAAGTGAAGATTATCAAAACGAAAGATAAAGCAAACTAAGTGAGTAAGTGATATATTATTATTCATTAATCGAGGTTAAGAAACTTCCCAATGACTTTTTTTTCTACACGCTTAGTGTCAAAAGCAACTAAGTGTCACTGATGATGTTGACCCCAATAATATAAAGCAATGTTACTCTGTTAATTGAGGTTAAGAAATGATTCTGCATGACTGTTTTTTCCCCCACGCTTGCAAATTCTGAAAATTTCCAACCATAAAAAAGAGAGGATAATGGAGTAAACACTGACTGACGCAAGAAGAAATAAAGTTGGAGAATAGGGATTGGTAATAATTATGAACACGTCCAGTACGACCTACAAGAGCCCACGTGATCTAGTCATTTTCGTACGAATTTATCATGCAATCGAAATTTTGACTAGTAGTTGATTGAGATTGATGAATTATTTGTTGTTTTTAACATCTCTATGAGATTATTTACTTTTGTAAATATGTTACTTTTCTTTGACAAACCTTGTGGACCTTTAAGCACTAAGGACTCTTTTTTTTTTTTTTTTTTTTTTTTTCATCTATTACATATTCAGAGTTTTAAACAGGCACCACTAATGATCTTATCAAACATAACTCAAATCTGAATAAGTAACTTCATCGCAATTATACGGTGATAGATACTACAAATGACAACATATTTTGACCTAAGAAACATCAACTAGTGAGTGTCCTAGAACTAGAAGCAACTAAAAGATTTGGTCTTTCTTTCTGATTATCTACAACACTAAATCCTCAAGGTCAAAACATCTCTGTGTTTCTCATTTCATGTTGAAGGCAGATTAAAGTTTCCGAAAGCTCCTCAAAGCGTTTGTGTGAACAGTCACCAACTACAAAAGCTGAGACCTTGTTCCCTACTTCGATCCAGCTACATCCCGGTGTTTTCTTGATGCCTCTCTCAACCATTTCTCTCCTCACATCCTCTGCTTCCTTCCACCGACCACTCGAGCAATACAAGTTCGATAACAGAACAAAACTCATCTCTTCACTTGCTTCTACTCCTTTCAGAACTTTCCCAACTTCTCTACCTAATTCTGTGTGCCTATGTGTAGAACAAGCTCCCAACAGAGCTTCCCATGAACTATTACCATCACTAGCGTCAGTGACAAGTGAACTATAAGTTGTAGCCAAGTCCTTTGCTTCTGCTAAATGCCCACTTCTCCCAAACAAATCTATCATACATGTTACATGATCTACTTCCAATGGAATCCCATAATCTTTAACCATGGACTCGAAAATCGCGCAACCTTCCTTTACAAACCCTGAATGGCTGCAAGTTGTCAACAATCCAATAAACGTCACATTATCCGGTTTCGTCCCTGACGCTGTCATGTCTTCATACAACTTCAGAGCTTGATCTGCTAACCCATGAACGCCAAACGCGAAAAGCATCGTGTTCCAAGATACCAAATCCTTGTTAGCTATATCACAAAACGCACGGCTTGACTCGTTGATATCTCCACACTTGGCGTACAAGTTAACCAAGGCGTTACCAACATACGCATAACCTTGAAAGCCACGATGGATCAAACAACCATGGATCATCTTGCCGTGACCTAAAATGGCTAAACTTGAACAAACGTGAAGAACAGAACCATATGCAAAATGATCAGAATCCACACCAGATTCCATCATTTCAACGAAAAATCTCAGTGCTTGCTCTCCATCTCCATTCCTACCATATCCTGCAATCATACTAGTCCAAGTAGCAATATTCTTCTCAGGAGCTAGACGAAACACCTCAAGAGCTTTCTCTGTTTCTCCTATCTTCATACACGCGTCAATAACAGAGTTCCATGACACCTGAGTCACAACTTCAATCGACTCAAGCTCTCTCATGGCATCATCTCTGCATCCTACTCTCGCGTAGAAACTCAACACAGAATTCTTCGTCTCCGCCGCAGATTCCCACCCGTTCTTCACCATCACAGCATGCACCATCCTTCCATAAACCACATTCGAAGAATCAGCAGAGGCATTCATCAGAGAGCTAAACGTATAACAGTCCGGCTCGAACTCACTCTCCATCATCTCTTTGAACAAGTTTAAACAAGATTCGATCTTTCCACACTGGGCATGACCAGAGATCATTGTGTTCCAAGCAAACGCGACCCTTTGCGGCATTTCGTCGAACACATGGAGCGCGGCTTCGAACTGTTGAGCATTCACGAACGCAAACAAAAGCGAGCACCAAGTTACTTCATTTCTACCATCACTGCACATTTCTCGAAACACTCTGTTTGCGCTAAGAGTATCAGAGCACTTACCGTACATGTCGATAAGCGAGTTGTTAACCGGAAACGAAGCTCCGTGCCCTGACCGGGTAATTAGAGACTGAATCTGTCTTCCGAATCTAACGTCGCGTAGGCTCGCACAAGCGCTCAAGATTGCTGTGAACGAGTAATCATCGGGCTTGGAGTCGGAGAATCTCAACTGGGTGAAAATCGATGTGGCTTCGTGGTGTAGACCCGAATGGGAATAGCTCGTCAACATTGTGTTCCACGCCACTGTATCTCGGTCAGGCATTTGGTCGAACACCTTACGGGCGCTTGCTATGTGACCTGATTTAGCTAAAGACGCGATCTTTGAAGTAAAAAATCGACATTTCGCCATAATCACGGTGTTGCATCATGAGTCAATTTTGAAAAAAAAAAAGAAAAAACGAAGCTTGAAAAAGTTGGAATTAGAAGAAGAAGAAGGCATGAGAAATGAGAGTTTGTCTCTCCCCCTTTCGTTTATATTTATTTTTTTTATAACAAGATAAATATTAAATAATGTGTTTTTTTGTTGCTAAATAGTAAATACTTGTATTTGATAAATCTTAGTGCATATATAAGTTGATTAAAATTGAAGATGTATGTTGACATTGTTGAGAAATCTACAACACAAAGTATGACAAACTCATTGAAATGTCAACTAAATATGTAGAATAGAGCTACAATATCATTACACAAAAGAGTAAAATACAATACTATTGATAAATCTTACTGCAGAAATCTGGTACAAGTTCCATCATAGAAGAATTTGTAAGAAAATAAGAAAATAAGATAAAAAACCAAACCAAACAAAAAATTAGGCAAATACATGATAAATTGATAAGAGAAGTATTGATTAGGGCTCAATCCTTGTTTTCCCAAAACAATACATAAAAAAGACAAGCAAAAAAGATTGCGCACAACGTAGCGGCCACTACGCAACGTATGAGAAGCCCAGTATCCATAATGATTCTTCCACCACACACACCAAACATAACTTCTTTCCGTGTCTTCTTCTTTAACTCTTCTGCAAAACTTTACTTAATACAGTCTATACACTTATATATATCGTCAGCTCAAGAATGTAAACAAATCGGTGGAAATATGAAAGCTTTACATTTTATCATTAAGGTTTAAGGAACATGAATACGACAAATTGGAAATTTTATATTTACATCATTAATTAAGAAGAAACCACTAGAAAAAAAAATGGAATTCTCACATTTTATTTATGGGACTTTGTTGGTCGTCATTCCATTTTCACTTATTACTTCACAAAATTTTACGTGTGCCACACAAGCAAAAGATTTGGTCACAATTTTTCTTTTTTTTTTTTAATCTCAATGACAAGGAAATATAGGGATTGTAACCAAATCATTTGCTTCTGCTAGATTTATTGATATGGTTCGTATGCAGCATATATACATGAGTACATAGTAAATTAATAACATAGCTTATTATTATGATCAACTTCTTTTTGGTACCATATTACGATCAACTTATTTCTATCCCATTTACGTTACACAATTTAGTTGCTATTTTGTCCCGGACCAAACCAAGGAACGAGTTAAAATTCGTCTCTGAAGAACCAACCGTTGTAATCGCATCTTTTAGATGACATTTAACCTTCTCAACGTTACTTCTCAGCTCACTCGAAGTTTCTCCGTTCATCAACTTTCTAACATTCACCGAGACTTCGTCCCTTGTTGTGTCCATCTGTCTCTCGCAAAGGTTAATCCCAATACGCCAGTCATCGACCACAAGTTTCCGGTTAGTGAACTGATCGGTCAAAAGCGGATAACACAGCAACGGTAAACCGCACCAAACACTCTCTAGAATCGAATTCCATCCACAATGTGTCAAAAACCCTCCAATGGCTTGGTTTGAGATTACTTCCATTTGACAACACCACTGTACCACAAGGCCTTGACCTTTAATCCGGTCCATAAACCCGGCCGGAAGAAAATCCGGTACGTCAGAACCAACTATATCCGGACGTAAAACCCAAATGAAACTAAGCCTACTTAGCAAAAGCCCATGGGCTATCTCAACGATCTCCTTCTTACCAACATGCGCATAGCTACCAAACGAGACGTAGAGGACTGACCCGGTGGGACGACCCTTGAGCCACTCGGTACAATCTGACTCAGCCCACAGGCTCGTGGGGACGATCGACTGGGTTGAGAAAACCGGACCGATAGCGTAAACCGGTTGTTTGCCTTGTAGAGCCGAGAGAGAGTCTGGTTCGAGTTCTTGTACCGTGTTGCATAAGACGAAGTCAGCTTTCTTGACGTCTTTGAAGGCCTTGGATAGTATTCTGTAGACCACTGTGTTTGTGTCTACGTCTCTCTCGCTCGCTTGGAGATATGACATCAAGTCTTTTGGGTCTATTGCTTTAACCCCTGGTACGTAATCTATCACGTCTTCACGATTATCTACATTTATGTTACAAAACCATATAATATATAAGAAATTTTCTAGTCACCACACACTTCCACAAAAATACGCAAATCATGAATTTGTATTTTCCTCCTAGATAATACACAAAGTTTCTAATTATTTATGACTTGTCACAATTTTCAGAATTGTTGAATTTAAAAAAAAAAATATTGCTAAATAAATTAATATGTAAAAACATATCATTGACATGATTAGTTAAGAGTGTTACCAAGAGATTTGAAATGACCGTTGGATATGAGGAGATCCATGTGATAGTAGAGATTGAGGACCAAAGCAGGTTCGGTCCAAAAGGAGACATTGACGAGGTTGTGCTTCTCGCAAATCATAGATGACCAAACGTAAAAAGTGTCGGCGATCAAGCAAGTCACCGGAGGATCATCATTCCGGCGGGAGAGTTTGGCGATGAGATCATCGACGTGGGCAGGGAAGACGTGGAGAATGCCTTCGAAGAATTGGTCATGGTTAAGCGACCGGTCAAAACTCAAAGGAAAGCCGTCGGTCACGGTGACGTAACGTATGTCGAGCTGGCCGGAGGTCCGGGAGGTGGAGAAGATGTCTCCGGCGTCACCGTTGTGTGCGGTGGAGATGTGGTGGTGGATGGATTCGGTGTTAACGAAAGTGATGGTGAAGCCATGAGAAGCGAGTTTGATGGCTAAGTGGACAAAAGGTATGACATGGCCTTGAAGTGGGTATGGTATCATCATGGCATGAGGCTTTCTCGACTTTGTTCTCTCCATTTTTCTTGCAGCTTCTCAATGAGTTTTTTTTTTTTTTTTCCTAGTATTTTAAGTGGTGTATATGATCACTGGATATTTATATATCAGTATATGGTATAAGTGAATTTCTGATGGATCATTTGTCTACTATATATCATTCGTAGGAAACTTAAACGGATATTCTTTTCAAAAGAAAAATGAAACACTTAACCAATTAAATCGTTTGTCAAAAAAAAAAAAAAAACTCAACAAATTTTAACATAACGATTTAAATCAATAATTTAAATTTTGATACTATATTAAATTTTGTTGACTCAAGTATCTTATATATCATCTGAATTTCAACGTGTGATTCCTAAGAACTATATATGTTACGTTGTTAATGCCTCCATTAGAACTCGAATATACCTCTATTTTGGATCATATGTTTGGTTGAATGATTGTGTTGTATTGATTGCCAAAGAAAATATCTCGTGATAAGAGAAGCCGTCAAATTTGGTTTTGGAAAATATGAGGAGGATGAATATTCAAAGGCCACGTTGAGACAGTCTCTTGGTTCGTGTACGAAGTCGACGTGATAAGAAAGAGTAGGCCAGTCTAAAGCGGTGTATCACACTAAAGCAGATTTGTCATTGTACGACAACTTGGCTTACATCATTCCAAAAATGTTCAAGTTACAAAAATTCTACCTACGATTACAAAACTTACGATTTGGCTCAATATATATAATATATGACGACTTTCAAAACTTTATATTTGAACTGATAATCATGTTCTACGACTGAATTAATTTTAACCTGTTTTGTCATTTTTGGAATCTTGTTGTAAGTCATGATTCTTAAACTAATCTTAGTTTTTGAAAATTAAGTACATTGTGAATCTCTTAACCAAAATTGATGATAAGTAGTTTATTCATTCAAAATTGAATGTTGAAGTCTCTTGCTAGCTCATAGCAAAATAGTTAACATTGCTATGTTTTCTCTTTTGTTGAGCAGTTGCTCTGTGATGCTATGTTTTTAACCTTGTTGTCTTCTTGTCCTTTATGAATATACTCTTCAGTTGATTCATGAAGAAATTTCGTGCAAAATTTCATGTAGAAAATTAGTCTTGACATTTAACTGCTAGATTTAGCACTATATCTTAGGTTTTTTTTCATTTTAATAAAGTGTATATATGTATTTTGATTAATAAAATGGAAAATGTGCGATGAAAAATAGTGAAATGATAAACATTTTATATATTGCTAATTTGGTATGAATTACCATAAACTAGCATGTTGCTTTTGTTTGTGTGTATAAGGAAAATCATAGGCGATTATGTCTTTTAGAAACACTTTTACATACCGTGATAAGTTGTGTTTTTTTGGGTGAAATTCCAAATATGGTTTTTGTTTGTTTTCAGATCCTGCTGATAAGAAAAAAGGAGACCAGCTAGCAGATCTAGCTATCACAGATTTCATTGAAAAGTAGCTTAAGGAGGGGAAGTATCTCAATTGCCATTGCCATGAAGCTTGTTGTTATCATCTCAAACCAACAATTCAAATGGATGGCTGCAAAAAATAGAAAAATTTAGGGTAAAAAGACATCTCACTTAATCTTTTAATCAATTTTTGAAGATTTCTTTTGTTTGTTTTTCTAATGAGGTTTGCTTGAGGGTCTTAAAGGACTCGAAACTAGAAACTAATCTCGCTTGGGCTGAAGAGAGAAAACCACCTCTCAATAGAAAGAAGAATAGAATCTTAGATCCAAAAGCGTAACAAAACCTTTAATAATACAATCTAAAATTACACGAAAAATGTGATGTGAAAAATAGTGATATAAAAAACATTTATATATTGCTAACTTGATATGAATTACCATAAACATTGAATTGTTGCGTTATTGTTGAGCTACATTCACGTGGAATCAAAAATCTTTAAGACGAATAGATTACAGAGTTAATGCTAATAGAAGAGGAAAATGTTGTAGAAACATGTATTATATCTCACATGTTGCAGTATTATACAGAATAATTTTACAATCAAACTACAATTCGGACTGAGAAACAAAAAGCTTATTATATGCGATCAAATTTATAGTAACAAAATCTCATGTTAAACGCTTATTTGAATAAAACTGCTCACATTCATACAATTTGAGACAACCAAAATCTGAGTTGACACTAACCGGTGGAATACTTTTTTTTTTTCCTTTCTCCAAATTCTTTTTTGTTTTTATTGAAATTGTGTGGGACTTGATTCAACCAAACAAAATGATGATACAATAACAAAGAATAAATGTTGTAAAAGTTTCCCAACAAAAACTTAATTGTACAAGAAAGTTAAATTTGCGTCCTTCAATTGTTGTTAACTTTTTTTGGGTTGACGATCTATTTCCCTCTAATAAGTACCGTATAGCATCACTTCCACACGAACTTTGCCCCTCGTTCCAATTCCACCCCAATCCAAAATAAACTATCTGATTCCACCCGATATCAAAGTTACATATCTGATTCCCCCCGAAATGAAATTAAAATATCTGATTCCCCATAGAATCAAACTTAAATATCGAATTGCACATAAACACGATTCAAATCGGTTCATTGTTGACCAAATCATTACCAATCTATACTTAACCCATTAAGCGAAAAGGTAAACCGGATTTGACCACATTAAACCCGATTTCAACCCATTAACTCTCGATTTCAACCCGATTACTCGAAATCCAAATCAAAACCTTCTTTCGAAAATCCCCAATTCGCGACTGAAGAACCCTAAAAATCCAGAATTTAGATTTTCGAAAATTCACCAAAATCTGAAGCTTGAAACACCGAAATGGCTCTAATGGAGTGGCACGACGTTCCTGTTCTAGCAGATGAGTATGATTCAGACGGTGAATCTCGACGGGAGAGAAACAATTACGAAATCGAAAAAGATATTTTCGGGTTTGAAGATGAACCTCGAGTTCGACATAATAAGTATCCAGATACAGAGAGTGATGTAGACGAGGAGGAAGAAGATGAGCATGGGCAAAGAAACCCTAAGAGGAGTGAGCCGAAGAGAGGTGCTGGAAACTTGTTTGAGGGACAACAATTTATCAATGGTGTTGCATTCAAAGAGGCTGTCTTAGACCATGCACTGAAAACTGCTCGGAATATCAAGCAATGCAGGTATGATAAAGATAGAATCGCTTTTACTTGTGGAGGCAAAAATTGCAAATGGTATATCTATTGCTCTGTCTCGGGGAAAACTAGCAAGTGGCAAGTTAAAGTCCATAGGGATCGTCATCTTTGTGATGTGAATGGAGAGTGTGAGATGTTAAAAGTTCCTGTGATTGCACGGTTGTTTCTGCATAAGATTTGAGATGAACCTGAGTATTTCATGCCGATGAAGATTGAAGAGCTGATAAAGAGCTGTTTTAGGATCGTTGTGTCTAGGGCTCAGTGCCAAGCTGCTAGAAATAAAGCTCGGAAATGGATAACGAGAGAGTATGAGGAGCAGTTTTCAAGACTCCGAGATTATGGAGCTGAGATACTCGAGTCTAATCCGGGTTCTAGTGTGGATATTGACTACATAAAGAATGCAGAAGGTTTAGATGTTTTCAACAGGTTCTACGTTTGCTTTGATATCATTAGGAGAAAGTGGAAAAACACTTGCAGGCCGATTATAGGAGTTGATGGGACCTTCTTAAAGTCAACAATAAGTGGGCAGTTGTTGGTAGCTTTAGGTCGAGATGCAGACAATGCTATATACCCTATAGCTTGGTGTATTGTGCAAGTTGAAAACACAGACAATTGGTTGTGGTTTATGAACAAGATCAAAGCTGATTTGGGCTTAGAAGATGGCGACAACTACATTTTGATTTCGGATAGGCAAAAGGTAATAGATTTTCATCTTTTTGTCTATAAATTTTATGTGAATGTGATTGACATATTGTGATTGCTTTATAGTGAATGTGAATGACATAATGTGATGGCTTTTCAGGGATTGATAAGCGCCGCGAGAACGACTCTGCCTAAGATAGAACATAGAATGTGTGTTAGGCACATCTATGGAAACATGGTGCGTGTGAGAGCTAGGCTGACTATGGTGCGTATTGCGAAGAGAGATGTTATAGCAGGTGGACATGAAAGCCTATGCACTCCATATGTGATTGAGTATCTCGAGGAGCTGCTTAAAAAAGAGAAGGTTGAGGAAGCTAAGGTTTACAGGAGCACAAACAACACATGGCAAGTTATTCACCAAGAAAGCACTCATCGTGTTAGTCTAGCTGCTAGAACTTGTACGTGTAGGAGATGCGAGATCACTGGAATTCCTTGTGCGCATGCTTATGCAGTTATTTTACACATTAAAGGTCAGCCTCAAGAGTATGTGTGTCATTGGTTTAGGACATCACTGTGGAGGATAACCTATGACGAAGGTATCATTCCATTAAGAAGTGCAAGATTTTGGCCAGTTGGAGATGGACCAACTGTGCATAAACCTCCTCCACCAGAGGACAAAGAGGACAAAGGCGACAAGGAAAATGGTAAAGGCGAGAAGAAGAAAGGTAAAGGGGAAACCAAGCTTACTAAGAAGGATAAGGAAAGGAAGAAAGGAAAAAATGAGTCACCAACTAAGAAGAAAACAAAGCTTTTGAAGAGAGTGATGCATTGTGGAATATGTGGAGAAGCTACTCACAACTCACGGTTTCATGACCCTAAAAAGAACAAGGTTTGTGTATTTGGTTTGTGTCTCAAGGTATAATGTTTGTATCTTGGTTTGGTTTGTATCTAAACATGTTTCTTATTGACTTGTAGAATCCTAATGGCGACTCTTCTCAGGTTGATGCATCTCAAGATCATGCTTCTCAAGGTCATGCTTCGCAGAGTACTCACAACTCAAGGCCTAAGAAGAAGTCCAAAAAGGTTTGATAATTTTGTTAGTTTGACAGCTAGTCTCAGTTTATAATGTTTATGGGAATCTAAAAATGTTTCTTATTGACTTGTAGAATCCTAATGGCGACTCTTCTCAGGTTGATGCATCTCAAGTTCAGCATTCTCAGAGTGAGAATTGGGCTCCTTGGTAAAAGAGAATGGAATGGATCAATGAAAGATGTTTTTAGTTGGCTTTTTAGCTTTAACAAGCTTATCCTTTATCCATTTTCTCTCTATGGATATGCTTCTTGGATCTAATGTTTAAGAACCTTGTTGTCTTTGCTTTTGGATTCTTGTTACATTCATGTTTCGATATTGTTATGTATCATGAAATCTTTGTTTATGTTCTACTAGAAATCTTGTTTGTTTTGTCTTTAAAACTTGAACTTGCACTTGTCTAACAAAATACTTGAACAAAAAGACTTTAACAAAAGGACCAAACATACTTGATAATAGAATTGTCAGACACAAAGAACAATGACCAAACTAGAATTGTCTTAAACACAAACAACAATGACTAAAACACAAACAACAATGACCATACGACCAAACTCATTGTTTGTATCCACCATACAACCAACATTCGACCAAACTCAACCTACTAGCTTACTACAACCAACAATAACCATGCAACCAACAATGACAACAAGCATCATTTTCTTCACATCGGATTTTGTTGCTGCCAATGTCTCTTCCACTCGCTCAAAAACCTCTCTCTCCATCTTCGTTTGAATCTTCTCAATCACCATATTCTCAAGCATTATCTTGTCTGCTGTAATCTCCCTCACATCCTCTTCTAGCCTATCCAAACGAGAACGCAATGTCTCCACTTCATTCACCAATGCCTCATCAATCCACTTAAAAGCATGATTATCATTGACAAGCTATCATGTACAAGATTTTGAATCAATATCCATAAAATACTACAAATTTAACAGGGAAAGGAAAGAACAATAAGAATGATTTACCCTCTCTGTAGCAGCAAATCCACACCTATAGTATCGACGATATGGATTTGGGTCGGATTTAGAGATTTTCTCTACCACTAATTCCCCACACCAACATTTCTTTGGCACACCAACAATTCTTCCACGAGCTCGGCCACCTGATGTTCCACTGTAAGCACCAGATTGATTGCTCATCTTCCTCACACTCCTAATTGCTACAAAAACGAAAATCCAAGAAAGTTAGCTTCTGCCGAATTCAGCCTCATGAGATATCACATTACCCAGGAAGAGGATGAGATTGTATTACAGCTTTACAGAAACTTGCGATTCGTATTTGAAAATGTCAATGTCAATTTCGCAAAATCAAATTTTAGGGTTCTTAGGTGAGAAACTGATTTGGGGATTTCTGGAATTGGAAATCGAAATTTAAGACGGATAAAGCTTTCGGGTTGGTCAGGTTTCGACCCGGTTTATTTTTGGCGTTGCGTGGTTTGGTTCTCGATTTTTTGGCAAACCACATAAACCAACATCTAACCGACTATTTTAAATTTCGGGGGGAATCAGATATGTAACTTTGATATCGGGTGGAGTCAGATAGTTTATTTTGGTTTGGGGTGGAATTGGAACGAGGGGCAAAGTTCGTGTGGAAGTGATGCTATACGGTACTTAATAGGGGAAAATAGATCTTCAACCCACTTTTCTCAGTTCTTAACGAGTTTAGAGTTTAGAATATTCTTCGACATGTGTATTTGCACAGCCATGGAACTTATATAGACAAAGAGAAGAAGCAGAAAACCGGCATGATAGCCAGCTAAGCATATTAAACAACAGTAAAAGTGTACACATAGAAGAACATGTATCCACACAGAAGAATGTGTGAAAGAAACAAAGAAAAGATTTCAAACTTACATCAGATTTTTGTACAGTGAAGCTATCAGTTATGATAAAAAGGTTTATTCTTTTAAAAGGCAAGAGTCACGTTCTTTTCCAACTATCAACATTTGTGACCACCATGTTTTTGCTTTGGTTCCATTATCAGACCATGTTAGACTTATCCTTCTTGTTGTCGAACCCAAAGAGCGAGCAGTTCTGAAACGCATCAAGGCTTGTCGCTATCAAACGGCTCAAACCACCGAGGCTCTCACTGAGGTTCAAATCCTCTGTATACTTTGATGATCTAATGTCTAGGTCTAGTGGTCCTAACGAGTCCGGCTGCACAGAGGAGAGTACAACAAGTCTATTAGTAGAAGATATGATTGTTTTCACTTTTGAAGAATTAATGAGATTTCAAGATCTTACCCAATATACATCCGCAAGACCACAATGGATCTTCCCTGGAGAATCCAGTTCTGTTGGACACTGTTCCATTGGATCTTCATCGTCAGGAGGGTCACAAGGCTCCTCATCCCCGGATACAGCCTAAGAGAAAGTTACAAGTATTGCGAATCAGAAGGTTTTAGTTCTGTAAACACCAAATGAAGAAAAGTGTTTTTGAAATTGATATAGTTACCTCCACAAATTGAGAAGACTCTCCATTCACTCTGCCAACACCTCCAGGAGAAGCATTGGGGGAATCTGCGAGACGATTCTTTTGAAAAGAGAAGGCATCACGTGTGTCCTCATCACCCCATAAAGAGGAAGACCCAGAAGTCAGCGGTTGTAGAGAACTTGGCTTGTTCTGGTGTCTTAGTATATGAGCAGCAATTGCAGCATCAAAAGAGTCGGAGGCAAATGTGGCGTCTCGAAGGAAGCAATGTGAACCCTCAGCTGCACCGGGTCGGTCCACACAATCACTATCTATGTCATTGGGCACTTCAGAGAGTAGATCACCTATACTTATGTTAGTAAGACTATCTGCCCATTCTCCCGCTGATAGCGTATTACCGCTGCTCAGATGCTCAAATGGAGTAACAGTCGGTGAAGCAAGTTCATAATTATCTCTAGTCTCTGCAGGACGATCAGGCATTTCACTAGAGGCACGTACTATGGATGTCGCTTGTTCGGCATTTGAATGAACAGATAAGGGTCCTGATTCATTAAGGAGCATGTTGAGCTCATTCGCTTCATCTACATTCATGTCATCCTCGAGTGAAGGACAAGAAGCTGAGGTTGGAATTTGAGAGATAAAAGAACCTGAAGAATCATGGACGAACCAACCGTACCTGCAAAGCAATGTAAAAACTTAACTTTGGGCGACTCTGTTTGATAAATTGGCAAGAAGAAACCTGCAAAAGAGTATAAGAGCAAACCTTAAGCGGAAAACTGAGGGACTTCCAACCATCGAATGCACTTCTACTGCGCTTAGAAAAGATTCATGGGTCCACCTCTGATGACAAGTTATTGTTTCTTTCCTTGCATTGTAAGGGAACAGCATTAGTTCTCCAGACGCACAACTTGAACTTCCCCATTTGCGATTGAGATGTTCCAGCACAGAAGATATCTTCTTGCGATTACTAAGAGTAAGTTCCAGATGCGGATTGTGCTTGTCCTGTTCACAGATCAAGCTCCGTTTCATGTCTCATAAAAAAAAGAATTGCTCCAATCAGAATTATTCCTATTTGAAGCTTACCATTTCCAAGGATCTTCGAGTACATTCATCGATTGGGAACAACTGAAGTTTCAACTTGCCAGAAAACTGCATATTGGCATCACTGAGAGGAACCTCACCAGAAGAGCATAGGGAAAGTGGAGACTTTCCGGGTAAATATCTCGTGGGAGATAAGTCTGAGATAAAAAGAGAATCTGATTTAGAATTCGCAAATGTTAATTCTCCATTAACAAACATCTAAGAGAGTGAATCATCCAATACTAGCAAGCAAACCTCTCTGACCATCCATATCTTTGTCGATTGATGTTCGTTCTAAATGCTCTGCAGCATCAGCAACCAAAGAGACTCCATCAATTGCAGCCTTTTCCCATTTTCTATAACCTGCTGAAGATGGAAGAACTGCTTAAAGTCAGTCAAGTAAGAACTCGGAAACTACATCAAGTTTTTCAAATAACAACTTCAAATCTAATATAAACACGGAAGAATTAAAGTAGATAATGTTCAAAATTGTAAGAACATTGAAAACACAAACACAATATGAGGCCAAAGAAGCCTGTCTACAAAAACTAGCAGAGAAAGTACCTGGCTTTCGTCGTTGCCTTCCACCTCTCCCAAAAGCTGTATCTTCTTTTTCATCACCAAGGCTGACTCCTACGCTTTCACCATGTTTAGTAGATGCTCTTCCAGGCCCTAGCTTCTTAGCATTTTGGCTCTCGCAAAGAATCAGTTTAAATGGACCGTTGTCCAATCCTCTTTCCCTGCTACTTGAGATGTTTCCAAGGGCAGCGGAAGAGAAAGTTTCTCCCTGGCAAGCTCGTTTTCTTGTGCTTTTTCTGCGGTCTTTCAGCAATTGGTGTTCCTTTATGCAAAAGGATTTTGTTAGAAAATAGGTTGAAAACAAGTCCTTGTCAAAACCAACATGGTTTAGAGTAAAATCAAAATATGCATTTGCCAACTAACCAAGGCCTCTAAGAATAACTTGAATCTCCGGGGTTTGAGGTGAAGTTTTGAAGCTTTGCAGCTATACTTTTCCAGTAAAGACCACCTGCAAGACGCATGAAAAAGTATGTTTACTTTAGACAAAAGAGCTGAATGATAATTAAGATTATAATATGCGATATCATGTCATCTAGGAGGTTGATACCATCTTGTCATGTATGAGGTTGCAGGAGACGTTCTCAATGCACTAGATAAACCCTTAAACGAATGTGATTATGCCTAGGTGATACTTATTGCATGATATAAATTGTTATCTAGACAAACTTCCCAGAGAGTAATGTTCATCATTTGTTAACGATAATGCACTTCAACTATCTACAATGGCATCACAGAGCATAACAGAGAATAAACGAATATATATACCATCGTAGCATTGCAGCATTTGTGTCTTTTGGGTTCTTGGCATCAAGACTCAGTTCCGGGCCCAACAGTTTGTTCATACGCCTTACAAGACGGTAATAGTAATGTCTAACCTGAACACCACAAGAAGTTTCCAAAACCATGAGAAACTAAAAGCCAACACCAACAAGAGAAAGTGAATAGGAAACGAAACCCAACCAACCTGGTCCTTGTTTTTGCTTTGCACACGAGAAGTAATCTTCTCGAAATTCTGCACAATCAAACACAAAGAGAATGTTCACTCACACATAAGAAAAAACAAAGAGAAAGCAGAGGCTAAACCCATCCAACTTCAACAGCTGATAATAATACCTTTCCAACTTGACGAAGCGCATTGAAGAAACTTTCCTCTTCTTGATGCGTCCAAGCTGCCCATTGCCTAGTCGGCTTCTTAGCTTCACTCCCAATAACACATAACATCACCAAAACATCGCAGCTAACAAAAAAAAAAAAAAAAAAACTTCTGAAATCAATGCAACAACATACCAGGAAACTGAGCAACATTGACAGAAGCAGCAGCGGCTATATTCGGATTACTGTTCTGGTTTATCATGTGGCCATCGTCTACAGGACCATTAGTGCTCAACAATACCTCCTTCTCCGCTTGCATTGCACAGTAACGCAGTAACGGTTTAAGCATTCATGCTTATGAGAGATCCTCCGCAGCTCTTCCTTTAGCTTTCAAGTTCCCCCAAATCAGAGCAGTGAATCCTATTCGTGAAGATGGAATCCCCAGAAAAAAGGCTAAACTCAGAACGAATGTGGATGCATAATCATGGCGATCATCAACTAAATTTCGAAAAATTAGCAACGAAATTCAACTCAATCTAACAAATTCTACCTCAATCACAACAAAAAGAGAAAAACCCTAATTTCGAAGCGACAATGAAGAATAGACAAAATTAACCGTCGATAAAACCCTAAATTTAATTTTACGAAATGGAAACGAAACGCCCAAATTCGATACCCTAATTAGCTTAATCGACAGATATACATGTAAATCTCGTAATTGAATACGAAAAAATTTGAAAAATTAAGAACTAGGGTTACTAAATACATACTCAATTAATATCGAAAATTTTAGCAGAAAATGAAAAGAGAAACATGTTTGACCCCCGAAAAAAAAAACACGAAAAAGAAGATAAAATTTTACCTGAGAAAGATGCAAATAGTTTACACGAACAGTAGCCCAGAATTTGGGGCAAATCTGAATAATATTGAAGCCGAAGATATTTTTCCGACGAGCGTCGACGGTTGAACAAGAGAGGAGGGAGAGAGAATTATTTTTCCTTTTTTTTTTCTTGTTTTACATTCGCATAAAAATTAAAGGAAAAATAAAGTGAAATGTAATTAATTAATTAATTACATGTTATGTACGATGTGAAAATATCGAACATGTATTTTTTAATGGTTGGTTCATGTTGTACATATAAGTGAATATCTTTTACTTTTCGATAGAATCAATGATATTTGCTTATCTAGTTTGTAATAACGAAAAAAACTTATAATTGATTTAGTCTTTTTATTAATCAAATAAAGTTCACTCGGCCAGTTGCCTTCATGACGCTAAGTATTTATTTAAATACAGTCAGATAACAAAGATTAAACATATGTTTCAACAATTTAAATAAAATAAGAAGAAAAAAAGAATCTTATATATAATTAGGGAGTTGCTCTCTCCATTTGAGAGTGTCCACATCAGCACAAAAACATTAAATTGTATTTAAAATATTTAATAAATATATGACTATTCATATTTCTTTACATTTATTCATATTTAATAAAAATATACAAATAAATTGATTAATTAATAGAAAGTATGTGATAATTTGATGTTCAAAGTTATCAAAAAGTTGGAATATAAAATAGAGATGGAGTAAAGAAATATTCAACTTCAAATAGTATATATTTACTTTATTATTCAAAGGTTTATCCTACTTAAAAATGTTAGAATGTGTTTACAAGTTAAAAAGTTGAATATAAATTAATTAAGACAATAGAAAGCTAATGAAACATTAGAGTTAGAGTTTGTTTTTCTAAACAAATAGAAATAGAGTTTTATATGTAAATTTAATTGTAGTGAAAAACAAGAATATGTTTACAAATTTTAACCTTCAGTCAAATGCATATACATATTTATAAATTTTAACCTTCAATCAAATACATATACATGTTTACCGTCTAATAGAAGTAAACATAATACTTATAACATGATAAAATTTTAGAAATAGAAAACTCAAGATAAAGCAGAGTGTTAATATCCTAATAAATTAAAATAAAAACAAATTATTCATATTTTTTAGTGTTAGTGGTTTAGTTAACTCAAAACATAACAAAAACATGAAAGTTAACACAAAACCATCATATTTCAAATCACGAGTATAAATAAAATTAAACAGAAAAACTATCGTAAACAACCCCGCGCTTGCGCGGGGCTTCAAACCTAGTCTAGTTATACTAATTTGCCTCTTTCTAAAAGAAAAAATAAAAAGAAAATGGTTGAATGGTAATGCACGTGGCTCGGGTTAGCATCTCCCAAATCGCATGCACAAATGAAGTGTGTTTAAATCGTCATTCTTTTTTATGTTGAAATCGTCTCAGGCCCTATATGAATCAAGTTTGGTCCAAGTACATTTATGCATGGGCTTTTATTTATTTAGTCTGTGCACATACTGTAATCATCAATGTTTTCTCCGCTTTATGTCTTCTTGAATAAACAAATACTATGCTTGATCTCTGATTATGAAAGAGTGTCACAAATTCAAGGATTGCTTGCAATTGATAATGTACATCAGCTAAATCATTGGTTGTTGAACTGCATGTGTGCATCAAACAACGATTTCAGACTAGACTGATACGTTGCTAAACTTTGATTTACGGCTACATCATATCACTCGTATAGTCGTATCCATTAATAAGCCTTGGGTTCTGTTTGCATTTATGTTTTTTTTTTTCTGCGTGTGAATACCAGTCTTTCATGCATAAATATACCATCTTGAAGATCGTCTCCACTCTCAACAAGATGCAATATTTTTGAATTTCGGCCCATACGTTTAAGAAGAGATAATACTTTCTGGTGAACTTTTAAAAATAATCCTCAAACATAGGCACATAGCAACTAGTTAAAGTCTTCAAATGTTCTCATGTTTTGAATCAATATTATGGTACATTATTAGGTTAACGATAATACTGATCAATGACAAGTCGCATGGAAATATATATATATATATATATATATATATCTAGTCGATAGATTGTATTGTCTAGACGTACGTAGATACTGCTTTAATTAAAAGAAATACAATGTGTCGAAAACTTCAGCTTTTGTCACACGGTTTAGCTTCTGTATAGATGGTATCCATGTACCAATTTTATGTACGCACGTAGTTTTGAATAAAGAGCATGTATGGATTGACTTGTATGTAGTTCTTTTTGGTTAAAAGTTGACTTATCGTTTTGATAATAACTTCAACGAATGGAGAAAGTCAGAAGACGGAGAAACGAAACGATTAATCCACATGACTTTGGGCTTTTCATGCTCAAATTGTTTGACAAATTCAAGTTGTTACGCCAAGCGTATAGATTTGACCCCGAGGATATTGCACAATATATTAAAGTATACAATATATAAATATTTTTTCTTATTGGCTTTGTAACAAAACTTTTGTATAATGGTTTACCCACAGATTCTTTCTACATGCTTCTTACAAAAAAGTTATACAGTTGTTGTTTATTTTTTATTATTTTCTGCTAATACTTTGTAGATAATCGTAGCTAATTTGTGTCAAATTGTTATATTTTTGTCTGTCTTGAATTTGTAATAATTTTACAGGCTTTTTCTTATCTTCAATGCTTGAGCACTGATCAACTCTCAAAGTCATAGATTTTTTCTAGTCCAAGAATACATTTTCAAGCGTAAGAAAGTCATGTTTCGGATAACTCCAACTTATTCTTTAAAATAACAATTTGTAGCAACTAAAAATGTAGCCAATTACTTTCTTGAAGCTACCTTGAATCCATATATTAGTTTGCCGCCTTTTAAACAAGATCTACGCATTCGAGGCCATAAACGCTTGACTATGAAACTTTGTATTTTACAAGATCATGTTTACTTTGTAAGAATATGCAAGTAACTATAAGTAGAAATGTTAGATCCGACTCAAACCGGTTCTAAACCAAAAATATACTTTTTTGTTTGTTACTGCTACTAGACTTTCAAGACGTCAAGATCTGCCTGTCCCCAACCGTGATGATTGATGAAGATGCATCATCTCTCACGCAGACGCATAAGTCAAACCCGAGAGATTCCAAATCCAAACCCTTTTCAGATTCGAGACATAGACCCAATTTTGGCGCGGACACCATTCAACATTAATTATCCCAAGCCTTTTACACAGTGTTACTGTATAGCCTTCTATAAACACTTGAATATTTATATATCCAATAGAAAGATACAAACTTATAAGAAGCTATCTTTCGACGTCAGACAAAAAAAAAAAAAAAAAGTTATCTTTCTTTCATCTCTTATATATTAAAAGATAAGACATTTATAAAAATCTCATTTATTTTCAACTTAATTTTAAATATGTCATGCTGAAGTGTCGCAATTTGCCACATTCTCAAAATATTCTAAAAATAACCTCTCTTTATTAGGCAAGTGCTAAAATATTTATTATTAATTTAATCAGAAAAATAATTATTAATTAAATTTTTTTTTCTGTTTCCTTATCTGATAGTGATGAAAATTATAAATAAATTTAAAAGTATTTATTAGTCAATCAATCAGTAAAATATGGAAAATTTTATTCAATTGTATTATATTAATTGTTTAAAAATTAATTTATTATCTTATATTTTTTTAACTTTACTTTTTCAAAAATAAATTATATCATTACATCAAAATATTTCATAAAACAAAATTAGTTTTTTCTGCATATGCTATGATTTGAAAATTTTAAAATGAAGTAAATCTCTAAAATTGTTAAGAGTCTCATATCGATTATATTTTGGGAAGATATATGTGGATTCAACTATGTCACTTAATATTTTTTCATATTCCAATCCAGACTAAAAAAATATACATCACTCAAAATTTTGTCTAATGTAAACTGACATATTTTTTTATTGTCTAACAATCTAGAATAATACTTATGTAAAAACAATATCTAAAAATAAAACTAAATCAAGAAAATATCATTCCGTGCTGGGCGCGGATCCAACCCTAGTTGACATTAATTTGCATTGCTTTTTTGTATTCATTGACATCTGCATTACTCAATTTTACCTTTTCGTCAGCAACCATCTTTTTGGCAGGACATTATGTTATTTTGTAAAAATATAGCCTATATATGGATAGTAACTATTTACCATCTTTTTTACTACATAACAAAAACAATAAACGTATTTGGTCACAAACAATTACAGTTTATAAGTTGAAACCATATAAACGTAGAGTTACTATATAATAGTATTTTTTAATTACCATTTCAATTTTGGGTAGACCTCATGTTTGTTACAATTCTTGTATAGTACCAACTAATTCCACTTACTGTATTTTTATTTTTTAATGTTTTCATACATGTCTTCCATTCTTTTACTAGTGAGAATTATAGATTCGTGGTGATTATACAGTGTCTACGTGGCAATATCGTAATGCAATGCAATCGCAATAAAATAGAGAGATAGAATGATATCCACTTGTTTGCAACCACAAAATAGATATCCACTAATTTTTTTCATTTATTTAATTGCTGAGTTTCTTGTATTTTCTGCTGCCAGATCCACTTCCATGAAGGAGACACAGGTGGCCATTGATTGGATTTTGCAACCTATCACCCAATTCATATTATCACCATTAATATTAGGTTAATATTTGTCACTACATATTCATAGTGAGCAATGACATAACATCTTAGGTGGATTCCCATTTTTATTAATTAGATTAACTAATCATTCAGATGTATGATACTACTTAAAATAAATTGATATATTTATAAATTTTAATATTAAGTAGATTCAGAAAATTCCAAATACGTTTCTAGGTAAAGAAAAACCTTTTTGAAACTTGAGGCTAAAACAAAGTTTTATAATCCAAATAATCAAGAAAAAACGTTTTATAATCCAAGAGGATGAAGATATATACGAATGATTGGTTACAAATGACCAGCTTTTGGCAGCCTTAACTCGAAAATCTTTGGATTAGTTTTCAAATATGACGATTTCATTTGTCTTGTTCATCTAATTATGCAAAAATAACCCGTGCATGGTCTGAAAGGTCTTTATAACTGATTTGACCATGATAATTATCATCAACAAGATGTTTGTATGTTTAGAATAAAGACTGGTTATATATCAAACCATGATAGAACATTAGAACATAGTTTCTTTATATGTTAAAGCCACGATATATATAATATAATTTACGTACAAAAACTAGAAACTGACTATTTTACTTGGTAAGCTATATAAACCAAATCCAATGTATATATACAGACACACTATCTCCAAATCAATATATGTACAAGCTACAATTTTTCCCAACTTGAGAATTGACACGACGCTATTGTATATACCTAGGGTCAAATAAGATTTTAAATCTTAATATCCTTCTTGCAACAAATTAAAGGATATAAAAGATATAAGACGTCATTTGGTTTATTCAATTTTCTTTAGCCCCAAATAACAAAACTTCTTTAATTTGTTTGTATTGTCATTTTCTTAATTATTATTTCTCCACTAGCTTACATTGTTACGTGAGACCAAATATTTTGGGTCATATAGAAAAAAGGTTGACGGGAACTCGAGAAATCAAATAACTTTTATTTTATTTTCTCTCTATTGCGACAAGAGGTGATCAATTTGGCAACACGTACATGTACACATGCAATTATTTGCCTAATAGAGGAGAGTTCCACGCTATCCACGGCGTATTTTGTCATTCTTTACAATCAATTCATTTTGCACATATTATAATTCGATATACGTCTCTAAAGAGAAAAGTTTGTAATAAGTGGATTATAGGGTATAGAGGATATACTTTATATTTCCATAAATAAACCTCAAAACCGGGTGCGACTGTCTAATTTATCATCAGCATCCAATGATTGGTTTATTGCATGATCTTGAGGGAGAGAATAGAATATCGCGTACAAAGAATACTACAACAAAATTACAAAGTTGATTATGTATACATGTATAGAGACAAACACAAATAAAAGGTGATTAGAGGGACGAAAGAAAGTGACGGAATCATTATCAACATGACTTTGTTCTAATCGGTTTGTCTTTGAGCAGCAGTCTAGCTAGAAGAAATATACGTAAAGATTAAGTCACTGTTTTTTTTTCCTCTCAGGATTAAGTCACCATGAATCATGCTAAATCATGTAGTTATATAAATAATGTCCTCAATATATAACAATAATGCACACATACACGTACATAGAATACAAACAAATGGTATACGTTAAAAACACTTGCGTAATTGTGATACTAACAAATTCATTACGTACGTGCATATATAATTATGTATTACACGGTGGCCTTATGCATGTATATAACGCAAGTATGTATTTACTTATAAAGTTATATACATGTATAACGTTATATATATGCTCAGCGAAAGTTATGTACGAATGATTTCTCTGTGTATTGTCGTTAAATTTATGAGGCTCGGCGATCAGGCGTGTATATATATCGGCGAACTCGATTCATACTTTATTTTCTGCATGTCTGTATACTCAGGTAGCTTAACAAATAACAATGTAGCTCAAATAACAAGAACAGTTCGATCTCATTAATTTTGGTAGACAATAATGGACGAAAGAAATAGTTACAAAAGGTGTTCTCACGATATCTATTAATGGGTTATAACTTATAAGTCAAAATATTCGAGTTACATCACTTCAATTCGATATTATAATCATCTTTATATTTGGTCACTTCTCAAAGACTCAAACAATAGCTTACGCACTAGCTTTATCTTTTTGTTGGTTAAATAAAAGTTGTTCTTTAAATTACGAGTAGTGAGTAAACCAATGCCATTTTTTCGATGTTACCAACTTACCATTATATACATGCTTATTTCAGTTTCTGAAATGAGCTATACCTATAAAATTCAGTAATGAAATTATTGAAGGGAGGACCAGTGTGATTCATTCAATGCCATAAAGATAAAACTTTACTTATATAAAGGGTAACAATAATTATCATGTAGATAGGAATTACATATCATGGCTGATCAAGAAACTGGCTTAAGTTATCTTTTCGACTTTTCCACCCAAAAATCATTAACTGTTGTTCATCTTTTCAACATTTCGTACAAACTTAATCATTCGAATTATCTTTCTAATCAACCAAAATGATTACCAAATGGAAAATATGGAGAAAAAAAGGATTTACTCATCGTATTAAATAATTGAACATTCATAGACAATCCGTCTTGAAAGATAATTTTATTCCTTTTCATCATTTTATATTAGTTTGGTATTTGTTTGCTGACACTACAATTAAAGTAAGTAAAGCAATTGAATTATTTAAAAACTAAAAGAACTAACTAATAAAGGAACAATGATGTTACACGTAAGAACTCGCTGGCTCCATAGTCCATATATATCAACTTCAAAATTTTATCTAAAGTTACCATTTGTGAGAGTGTCCACATTTTGATGACATTTTCGTAGTTTCGTGTATTTACTATTTTCAGACGAATGGTTACATAACGGAGCAACCGTTGGGGTTCTCGTCGCTGAAGTACATTCCAGGAGGAGCGTTCATGTTTGGTTGCGCGTACGGCACGTAACTCTCACTCGCGTAATTGTATCCCGAACCTGGATAACTCTGACCTCCTATCGGATAACCCTGACCTCCCATCGGATAACTCTGGCCTTCCATCGAATAACTCTGACCGTACACGTGTCCTTCTTGCCAATACATTGGAGCCGTCGGATATGAGTACCCATAGTGATCCATCTTGTTCACTGTCGCCACCGGCGCACCTCCTCCTCCGCCGGCGCCTTCCTTCTTTTCGCCGTCTCCGACTTCCTTCTTCTTTTCTCCAACGTCTTCGGCATCTTTCTTCTTCTCTCCGCCATCACCAGCTTCTTTCTTCTTCTCTCCGGCGTCACTTCCTTCCTTCTTTGCTTCGCTTACTCCGGCGACTGGACTCTCTTTCTTTTCGGCGGGAGGAGCGGATTCCGCCTTCTTTTTCTCGTCGGCTCCGTCGTCCTTTTTGGCGGGAACCAGAGGCTCGACGGTTCGTTTGAGCTTTTTAGAGAGAAGAGGCACAAGTTCTTTGACGTCCATCGTTCCTTTCACTGTCACCAAGTCTTTGGCTCCGTCAATAGCAACCGTTTCGACGCCTGTCCAATTTCAGTTAATATTAGTTATATTAGCTTAATTAAATTAACTTAACCTAAGTAACCTCGTTGATTTATTAATCTCCTTACCTTTGATTTTCAATATTATTTTCTTCATCTTCTGCATACATCCCTCGCAATGTAGTCTGATCTTTAAAGCCACCGAGCTCTGTCCAAAAAATAATTTAAAGCAAAATCAATAATTCATACTACTACTCTGTTAGAGTTAGACAATGATTAAGTGATGTATATGGTTTTACTTTTAGCTGGCTAATCTTTGTTGATTAGTTCATCTGCCTAATTAAGTAGTGTGATCCACACTTAAATATTGTCAAATTGCTAACGTCAGCGGTCCAAAAACTAGCGTACAATAGCAAAAACATAGTTGTTGCTTGTCTTTATTCAATTAAATTTATACCTCTTTGGGAGCGGCTGGAGGAGGAGGAACCGCCGCCTTATCTCCACCGTCGGCTTTCTTTTCTACAACGGCGGCAGCAACAGGTCCGTCAACTTTCGGCGGTGGTGGTGGTGGTGGGTTGGTGAGTACCACCTTTCTCTTGGTTTTTTCCTCTAACTTTTCTTGAAGTTTCACCGGATCGATCTTTCCGACCACCGTAAGCTTATTCCCACCTATATCCGCCGTCACATCTTTCACTCCCTCAAATTGCTTCACCATTCGCTTGATCTTCTTGGCGCAACCTCCGCAGTGCATGTCCACTTTGTAAACAAAGGCGGAGGCGGCCGCCGCCGGGGCTGCCACGGAATCTCCTCCGGCGCTCTTTGGCTTGCCGTCGGTCGTCTCAGCAGGGACTACGGTGGCTGCCTTCTTCTCTTGTTCAACTTTGACACCTTCTTGTTTCTACGTACACATAATTAAATATATCAAGAAAAGTTTGGATGATAAAAATTCAAAATCAAGCAACAATATAGAAAGTCACTGACCTCTCCCATTCTTGGTTGAAGATAAGTTTATTAGATATATTTTGTTTTTTTCTTTAAATGTTGTATTTGAAGTATGAAGAAATGTTTGAACGATAGGAAGTAGAGGCAAATGAGTGTATTTATAGAGACGAGAGGAGTTGGTTTGAGCGTGGAGATTGTTGGTATTATATTATTTGATACCTAATTTTACTGAATATTTATATGGTTTGATGTTACATGTATGAATCATGTGTTATGCGTCTATATGAAATATTGTGTGTATTGTTGGGGGCTGAGGTCAGCGAGAGTGGGCGTTTGACGCCGGTTTGACACAAGTGATGGTACGAGACACGAAGGCACTAATTTTTTTTAGTTTTCGAAAAATATTAATTAATCGTGTATCATTGGTCGTTGCTTTTGAAAGAAAAAAGGGTTATATCATTTTCTTGGCTTTGACTACTTAATGACTACTACAGTCTAGATTAACCTAATCTGAATCAGTTTAAGGTAACAAAAACAAAAACAAAACTATACATTCGACTACTAGTTCACCAATAGCGTTAACATATTGTAATATATAGTAAGAATTCAGAGTAGCAAGGTAAGTGGATTAATACTATATTACAAAAACTCGAATTTATTGAATTACAAAATTTATGTGCCATGATCATACCTCAACTATATGAACTCTATATTTATTGATTGAACCAAACTTTTGATCACATCATTTTAGAGTTTTCTATTTCTGAAAGAATTTCAAAAGAAATGAAAGACAAAGATGATATTTCTTTTCTTCTGATAAATGGTGGTGGATAAAGTTATTGATTGTGCAAATTGCATAGTCTTGTCTTATTCTAAGTGAATTTGATGGAACTCTTTCTCTTCTTCTTTTGATGTATATAAAATTTTGATGTATTTTAGGATATATTTTTTTTAAATTGATTCAAAAAAGATTCACGGTGGTCAAGAAATTCACCTTAAAAGATTAAGCCCGTTAAACTCCTGATAAGATCAGATCTACATTTTAAAATACGATAACAAAAAAAAAAAAACAATCGCACATGGTTTATTTTGTCAAGTAGTTTGACCTATTTATATATTTGGTACTAGTACAAAGCAGAAATCTAGATTTGTGTGTGTAACGTGCATATATTAGTAAATTATCAAAATAGAATGTGCACATTATTATTTATAATATATGCACATTTTAGAGAAAATTGTAGATGTTTTCGAGTATTAAGAATGTTGTTTCCACGTTTTGTTGTAATATACTATTCGTTTCACCTAACCAATGCGTAAACACTACTTTACTCAATTCGTACAGCACTAGCTAATAGCTCCCATAATTTGATGTTTTTATCTTTCCATAATTTAAAAAATAAGTTTGCTACTTCGCAGAACAATTATTGAATTAATTAATTTAATCACTTGGGATTTTTAAGTTCGGTCCATGGAAGCAGCGAAGAACTGCCAATCCAAAAACATGGGCTGCGTATAGAGACAGATAGACCTGAGGAAATGCGGATAACTATTGACTTTTATGTCTCTTTTGCGAACTAATTAACTTACTGAGTTCGGTAAGTGAACAAAAAAAATGATTTCAAAACTTTCAACAGTTAAAAAGAAACAAGATAAGAAAATGTCTCAAAGAGTTTGCGTAATTGCGTTTCGTTTGTCCTTTTACCGGTCCATTATGTCAACATCGTGTTTTGTTGTGTTTTGTTGAATCTTTTTTATATGATCTTATCAGTGACGTAATACCTGAGGTGGACACGTATGATTCTCACATGAGATGTAGAATTTGATCGAGAACTTTCTTTTCTATTATCTAACGTTTTCTAGTTCATAGAGTTCACTATCAAAATTGACCTCAAACACCGGCGTGAGTTTGTATTTTGAAATTCTATGTTCGTGTTTTCGAATTCTATGTTTTGTAATTCGTGAGTACTATAGAGTTTAAAGTATATGGTTTCAATTCCCTTTCAGATTCAAGTGGCTTTGTTAAAGATCGGATGTTGTTACAAGTGGCTCATCAATACTAATTAATGTTGTTACGGCATGTGGACTTGTTCGGCACTTCAATGACTATTAGTATTAGGAGATAAATGTAAAGTGGAGATAGTGTCAATAATATCTCCTTAGAGTGAAGTCTATCCAATATTAGACATGTAACTTGTGCATGTTAATGAATACAACTAAGCGTTTACATTTATTTCAATAACTCTCTCAACAGTGAATTGATCAAACTAAACAAGTTCGATATCTTCACTCGTCAGGTTGGGGATGAAGCTCTTAATTTTATGTACAGATTGGAGATTCACGCTCGTTGAATATATCATATAAAGTAATTTTGGCTAGAGTTTAAGAGTATAATATAGGTACTTATTAAGAACACATGGAAAAGAGGAGGCCATAGAAACGATTCACCAAATATCATGAGCATAGAAACGATTTGTTATGCGATTGCACATTACAATAGATTACAAGGTGTTCAATCGGATATTGGTTCGGTTTTCCAAGTTTTCGTTAATAAGTTAAAAAAATAATAGCTACCATATTTACTTCAGTATTGTTCGGTTTGGAAGATATTTTTGGTTTCATTATTCTTGATTTTCAGAGAGAACATTGTTTTAAAGTTATTGTTTCTAGACCAATCACGTCATATTAGTAATTTTGGTCAATAATAAATAATTTTTCGTCGGAGCGAGAAAATGAGACTATTTTTCTGCATAAATTGCAAGGTATTGTGACACTTGCTATGATTTCAATATGTCAAATGGATATAAGAACTCCGGCGACAATACAGGAAGCATAACAGTATGGTGGAGCTTATTTGTGGTTACTTCCATATTACTTGGAGATGGGGATATAAGTTCTGTTACAACTGTGGAGTCGAATGGAAGTTCAAACACATTTCCGATTTGGGAAAATAGGTGATTGTTTATGTATTGTGTGAAAGATTTAAAATAGCTTAATTTAAGGGTAAATGTGGTTTTTGTTTTGCTTTAGGCTTCAGTTCTTGTGGTTTGTGGATTTTTTTTTTTTTTTTTTTGGTTTTTTTTGAATGCTAGGAAACAAATTACATTTTAACTCGAATGTTCAAGATCCAAGATTAAAAAAGTGAAACTTGCCATCTACAGATGAAGTTAAACTCGGTTGAAGTTTCAATTTGGTTTGGAAAATTTTGTCCTTAATTGAATTTGGTTTTCTTGTGTTAAAAGTTTCTTCGGTAGAAAGTAGTTACAGATATCTTAAAAGTTTCTACGGTAGAAAGTAGTTACAGATATCTCTGGTAGTGTAGTTTCATATTATTCTTTCCTTTTGTCAACCAAAAATCGAACTGAGCAACCGCATATGAAGACCAGTTTTCAAGTTTTGGTCTTTTGGTCTTAAATTTGACAACAATTTGGACAGTTTGTTTCACTCTCGTCCTAAATTTGAATCTTCTTCTCTTGTAATGTCGAATCTAATAAGGCCAAATTAATTAACATATGGGCCTAAGATGGGCCTCATAAGTCACAAGGTTATTCATTCAAACCCGCCGCCAAATTAGGTTAATTTATACCGAAACAGAGGCATTACTAGGGTTTCTCTTCCGCATCGTCGTCTCCAGCTCCTCGTGTGGTTTTTCGATTTCAAAATCGTAAGTTATCTCTTTGATGCTTAAATTCGTTTGAGATTCTTACAATTAGCCATGAAATTTCACATATTGATGATTCAATTTCACTGACTTGTGCAAAATTCTGCAACGCTGTGTAGTAGGAGTGTAAAATGGGTAGATGCCCGACTAGAAAGGTGAAGAAGAGGCGTTTGTCTCACAAAACAGCTCGTCGTGACAAATTCGAAGTCAAAGATATCCTTTTTCTCTGTGATGTTTGGGAAATTTTAGTTTTTTTTTTTGAGATAGTTTTCGCATATAAATGATTTGATTGCAATTGGGATTTTTGTTTTTCCTTGACGGATAATTTTTTTCCTTCCACGTGACGATTTGGTGTATACTGAGCTGCGAAAACCAGAGTCGGAGGTGAAGCCGTTGCAGCTTGACGAGGATTTGCCTGGAATGGGACAATTCTACTGCTTACACTGCGAGTAAGATTTGCTGTTTCTAATCTTAAAACGTTTCTGGTTTTGTTCCAGATTGAGTAATTTGTTTGTTTTCATAACTACTTGTGTATGGTCTCTGATTCAATTTGTGTCCTTTGGTCTATACTTTCAAATGTTTCAGTCGATACTTCTCAAATGCGTCAGTGCGGGATGATCATTTCAAGACTAAAAAACACAAGAAGCGGTAAGTTTGACTCTCTCTCGACTTGGTTACATTTGGGTCTTCTTGCATTCCTAGACTCCTCTAGTGTTGATGTTAATGGAATTTAGTTTTTGTGTTCCTATGTTTGAGGTTTGAATTTTTACTTAATTCGTCGTGGTATTAGTAGTAGTACTATTAACATTCTGTGTGTTCTGCTTGTAATGTTCAAGCTAAAATTGTCTTGGCAATTTTTTATATACATTTCATCGCCTATATTGATTGGTCACTGATGTTTATGTTTTCTCGATTTGGATTTTGGTGCGATTGCAGTGTGAAGATAATGAATGGAGCAGCGCCACACTCACAACTCGATGCAGATTTAGCAGCGGGAATGGGAAAGCCGGACAATGGTCCAAAGCTCATGGCTGCTTGATTTTACTGTTTTCTTTTTGCTATGTTAAAGTTTATGAAATATAGCCTTTGTTTTGGATTGAATTATGAAAGCCAACTGCTTAGTTTTTCATATAACAAGAGAGTACAAGATGTGTATCTGACTTCTAAATTACATCTTCCATATTCTAATTAAGTGGCGTAGACGTACCAGTAAGTTCACAAGCACAACCAAACCCAGCTTTTCAGTGAAAAGCATTGATCAGACGAACTCTTAGTTCACTGTTTATATGCTTCTGCTACAACGATTTTCCATAAATAACACTCGAAAAACACAAATTGAGACGAAGATCTTGAAAGAAACTTGTCAAGACTTTTCTTGATTTTGTTAAAA